AAGATGAGGTCAACATGAATATCAATCACTCAACTGTAATTGTCCTTTAAGGAAGGCAAGGAGAGACTGCCTCCCTCCATCCGTCTGTCTCTTTCCACCAGCCTCTCTGTGTGTGTGAAACTCGCACCCCGGGGCTTCCGCGCAAGAAAAACGGTAATGAGGTAGATTGAAGGAGGATGATGTATAAACTCAGCCAATCAATGTTACATAATAGCTGCTGATCGCTGTATTAACCGGCCTTGTTGTCTCTGTCACCTGGAGCGTTTTTTTATTTTTTACTGTTAGTCCTCAAACATCTTCGTGCAGTAGCTGTGGGCCACACGTCTGTGTTGGTTTGAGGCTGTAGGATGTAATTTGTAGCCAGCTACAGCTTTTAATCCACCTGGCTGGAGGGGCGGAGGACTGGAGTCAGGGGAGAAGAAGAAAAGTTGAAGGCGGAAGAGGGGAAGTTGTGTCGTTTGTTTTTGACCTGATAGGATGCTTGAAGAAGAAAAGAGCACTTCCTGATGCTACCAAATACAACCCGACCTCATGGCTTTTACAGAGTGTGTCTGTTGTTTGGCGGCTTCAAAGTATTTATCCTCCTATACCTCATTCTTTCTCGCTTACCTCCACTCGTGAGTGCGGTGCTGGGATAGTGAGGGCACTGGAGGGGACAATAATGACTAACTCTGTAAAGGTAATGATAAAGTACCGATGCTTTAGACTCCACTCTGGCTAGAGGCACCGCGGCTGAGAAAATTACAGCCATCCGTGTGTGTGTGTGTGTGTGTGTGTGTGTGTGTGTGTGTGTGTGTGTGTGTGTGTGTGTGTGTGTGTGTGTGTGTGTGTGTGTGTGTGTGTGTGTGTGTGTGTGCGGGGGGGTAAAAAGGATGGAGAAAGACAGAGAGCAGAAAGAACAACAGCAAGTGCTTCAGTCAGGACAGAGACAAAGACAAGACTGCTGTGATTCATTTCCCCTGCCAGATATCATAGCGATCCAGAGGCCGAGTGCTTTGTCTCTCCTCTCTCCATCCATCCACGAGTGTCTCTTGACCCGTCTTTTGCCAGCCCTCTTGACTACCCATCTTGTCACCTTTGCCCACGTCCCCTCTACGTGTCTCTCCCACGCGGTTCCCATCATGCCCGGCTCCACCGCCGTCACTTCACCGTTCTGAAACGCAGCCACACAAAGGAAGCTTCACCTACATGGGAGTTCAGCATATACATAAACAGCGTAAGCATAGGTTGTCATCTGGGTGGGTGTGTGTTTTCACATGATTGTGTGTGTGCTCTGGAAAAGAATACCAAGGAGCCTGTGTTTGCTGTCTGCTGCCTGTCATTAGAGTAATAAAAGACTTGCTGTGCTGCACAGTGAGGAGCTCTCGTCTTTAAGGTTCCTGTTTGGCACAAATTGCCAGCTGCTGAGCTCTGATGGATGTTTGCACGCGGGCCCAAAAACACAGGTTCCACTTTAAACCTCTGATGCATGAATTATGAAATATTCAACCATGATTTTTTTAACAATTTTTTTCATTCCTCTTCAGGTGTGAACAAAACAAATTTCAACAAATATTTTCTGTAACATTTATTAATGTCCACCTCAGTGGACAGTGTGCATTCTGAACATGAAATGTGTCGGCTTGACTTACTGAAGACCAAATGGAGGGGCTCGAATGCAATAAAATCTTCAACAGCTGTGCTTAATAGCAAGAAAATAAATTACAATGTTGAGTACCTGTCCACTGTAGTGACCATTATGCATCAAAGCTCCGTTATGCTAAAGTTTAACAGGAGAAAAGGAGCTTTTTTCCCTCTGTCTCTTTCCTCTGTCATCCAAAAGTGTGTTTTAATTAAATACTGCCTCCCTGCAGGCCCCAGAACGCACACTACTCACTCACACACACTCATACACACACACACACACACTTAGAATCAGAAATCACAGAGTTCTCCTCCCCTTCTGTCTGAACTGCTGTTCTGTTTGTCTCCGCGGCCCCCCTCGCCAAGCCCGGAGAGTGACAGGCTGTGTTTTCAGCCGATGTTTGAACACCGACCGATCGATGCAGGACAAAGGGAAAGAGCGAGGCTGAGGGGCGAGGAGGGGCAACACAATTGGTTATTGACAGAGAACTCGGAGTCTGAACGAATGGAGGCGACGGCTCAGTAAAGAAAGAGGAGGGGAGAGCGTCGTGAGCGAGCTGTGTTTGCGATTCATGTGCATTGTTAAAGATTGTTTTGAGTTGTGTTGACTTTCACTGTTTCACTTGTTTGTGTGTACTTCCATGTTTACATACAGAATTATGTGTGCCTGTTATTGAGGGAGTGTATGGCAGGGTGGACACTGCAAAGAGGGAGCAGAAACGTGCGTGCGTGTGCGTGTGTGTGTGTGCGTGCACGTGCGTGTGTGTGTGTGTTTGTATCAGAAGAACTAAGGGTAGACAGACATATCGGGCCGATATTTGTCCTTAGTAAAGCCGATTTAAGGTCAGGCACATCCTCGGGCAGCCGGGTGCTGCTGCAGGATTTAAAAGTGTTTTTACATTCACTAATTACATCCGCACAATAAATACTTTAAATTAACTTTATTTATGTGTCTGACTTTAACACTGAGCATTGCACAAAGTTAAGATTTAACAGTTGGTTAAATTCAGAGTTCAAGAAATGTTGTTAGTGACATTTTAGCATGACAATAAGGTGGATTATGTCTAGATATCGGCCATCGTCAGCACCATGTCTCCTACATATCAGCATCAGTATCAGCAACAGAAGCACCAATACTGGTCGACCTCTTAGAACGACATAGCAGGATGGCATTATTGTGTTTTCTTATTTTAACCCTTTAATCTGAAAGTCACTTATTGAAACATGCACTAAACTTGACTAAACTAAACACTAATGAACTCAATTTATCCAAAAAAATATGCTTGGGTAAGAAAATAAATAAATTAAATTCTACTAATACTACTTAAATTTTCATATCATTACTTTAATAATTGTATTAATTTGCTTTCTGCCCTAACTCTTGTTGCGCCAAATGAATAAAATTGTGCAAAAGATGACAAATGACAATTTTTCATAGTTTTTTTTTTTTTTGCCAAGCCTGGATCACACAGCAGGATAATTATGCAGATAATTAGACCTCCATGTTAGACAGTCCTAAGGATGCACAACTATGGCTCCAAAGATAATCTTATCAGATATTTCTGTTGTGTGTGGTGGGTTAAGAGCTCTCGGATCTGATCAGAAGCAAATCAGGACCGCTTGGATCATAAACCTGGGCTTTCGAACGTGTTTGAATGTGACTTGTAGCCAATCAGAAAGTGAGGTGACCGAAGCACGCTGCATGCTCCTCCTCCTCCATGTTTGTTTCGTCCAAAGTCACGTTTGATCTTGCAAGATTTCCCATCTGACTAGTTGCACCAACACTATTGTACACCCATGATTTATTTTTTATCTCCATGGTTGGAAAATTAGCCGACACTTTAAAAATCATGCAGCAACTCTTCCTGCTGCAGTTCTGTGTCTAGATATAACAGAGGGGTGTAAGGCTCTATAGTTCAAAGTTGAAACTCTGCTTTAAGTCGTGATTGAAAGAACGAGCACATTTGTGCCAAAATGAAGCAGAGCTGTGAGGAATGCAGGAGGATGCATCATGGGTCGAGCCAGCAGAAGCCCTGCTTTTGTGTCCTGCAGCCTCAGCCCTGCAGAGCTCTGAGCCGCGTCTCAGTCTCTAGGAGAAAACGGTCTGTTTTTAGAAACACCAAATGGGAACACAACATACTAGAAGACGGTATCTTTTTAAAGTAGTTTCTCTTGTTTCCTGGTAGAATAACTAATCAGGATTGGCTTAATACGTTCCATAAACAGAGCAGTGCAAATTTGCCTGGTCTAAATCAGCTGTATCTGCTCCCACGCCTCTTGATCCACTGAGTGCAGCAAATGAGATTTAAGAAGTGTGAGACTGCTGTGTAAGAATGTGTGTGTGTGTGTGTGTTTTCTGCGTGTGTGTTTATGTCAGTGGGAGAATAAAAAAACTGGCTGAATATGCGAAGAGCTGTTGGAAATCTCCTGACTGGTGCTGATGCTGTCACTCTCCTGCTCTCTGCTGCAGTTATCAAATAAATGTTTATTGAATTCGGATCAGTTTCATGAGCAGAAGCAAGTTTTCCACTGAAAGGCTGGAGCTGTGTAGAAATTTAAACCCGGATTACACTAAACTGCATGTGATAATAGGAGCTCAAAGGGAGACGATATTAAAACAGTGAATGAAAATATTGTCACTTCCCAACACCTACACCTTTGAAACATTCCCAGACAACGTGAATCTGCATACCAGGTGCATTTGCATTATGCATAACAGACAAATGTGGAAAAACAGAAATGTCTGGCTGTCTTTGTGCTTTTCTGCATCTAAAATCTTCCATTTCCTCAAGTGCACCATTTGTCAAAGTGATATACAATATTCTGTATTGTGTCTAAGACTCGCCTAAAGCATTGCAGCATTGATTCACTGCAGGCAGGGGCATTAACCCATCTTTATTAGGGGGAGAAAGTCTGCCCTGAAGAGGTCAGGAATTCTGTGTCCTTCCTGGCAGGAGAAGCTTGGCAGTGCTGCCAGGAGGGATGTGTCGCATCGGAAATGTCAGAGGATAATGTGCTATCAACAGGACCTATATGTGAAAGGTCAGCGGCTCTTCTCTTCAACCCGAGAAGCATGGACGCATCCAGAGAGACCAAAGCAGGAGGCCTGCACTGGGCAGATTAGTGGCGATACACAGAGGCTAAAATGTCACTGTACTCCTCCGCTTACGCACCCTGTCAACACCTTAACTGGCTTCTTAAAATACACCTAACACCCCGTAGCTGGACTGAGATGCATAAGAAAAGCTGTCACACACTTACTCACGTCCATTTACTTGGACAAATCGGCCATTTTGCTTTTGTCTTTCTTTTTTTCCCTTGGAAGTTTGCTGGTTTTTCCCTTTGGAGAATAATCATCTTAATTTCTATGTTTGCAGAGAGCAGCGACTACAGCGAAGCCGAGGTTCTCCCCGACCAGTTCCCGTCAGCGCCAGCGGAACCCCTCCCAGAATTCCTGCTGGAACCTGAGGACGGATTCATTGTAAAGAACCGGCCGGTCCAGCTGCGCTGCCGGGCGTCCCCGGCCACCCAGATCTACTTTAAATGTAACGGAGAGTGGGTCAATCAGAATGATCACATCACCAGAGAGAGTCTGGACCAGATCACAGGTACACACACACACACACTCTCTCTCTCTCTCTCTCTCTCTCTCTCTCTCTCAAGTAATGTCACCTTGTATTTCAAAGAGATAAACATCATTCTTAATTACCAACATCATTTTCAGCTATATAATCCATTAAATCCATTAGGATTTTATGTGCGTGGAAACTGCTTTTGGCATTCAGCCAGTGCATAAATTAAATGTGCTGTGAAAAATATGCTTCAATGATCCCCCCCTCCCCTCTTTCTGCATCTGCACACAGGTCTGGTGGTGCGAGAGGTGGACATCTCAGTATCGAGGACCCAGGTGGAGGAGCTGTTTGGGCTTGAGGACTACTGGTGTCAGTGTGTGGCCTGGAGCTCAGCCGGCACCACCAAGAGCAATCGCGCCTATGTTCGCATTGCATGTCAGTGCTCTTTTCCCTCTGTGTGTGTGTGTGTGTGTGTGTGTGTGTGTGTGTGTGTGTGTGTGTGTGTGTGTGTGTGTGTGTGTGTGTGTGTGTGTGTGTGTGTGTGAGAGAGAGAGAGAGAGAGAGAGAGAGGAACTGGAAGACATTAGGAGACGGTGAAAGAGAAAACGTTTCTGACTTTTAGCTTGTCGTACGTGTCAGCTTAAGTATTTATGCAAATAAATCTGTTGTAGCGCTCCATCTCAGTCCCCCGCGGTAATGTGTGGTGCCGGGTGATTGACACGTTGCATGTTTATGAAGTGAAAAATGTGACAGAAGCTTTTTGTAGCTTCACATAGTGTGTGAACGCATGTGTGTCTGTATGGCAGCCAGTGTCACCCAGATAGATTGAGTGTCAGTTTGCTGTTGAGGGGCATCCATACAACGTCTGACGTCATTGTGTGTCACCCCCTGCAGACCTGAGGAAGAACTTTGAGCAGGAGCCTCTGGGGAGGGAGGTGCGGCTCGAGCAGGAGGTGCTGCTGCAGTGTCGGCCCCCAGAGGGCATGCCTGCTGCGGAGGTTGGTGCTCCCGTCTTCCTCACCTTCTCATTTAACTATTTTAACACTCTTTGAAGGTCCGAATTATCTTTTAAGAACATCAAAGCAGAGATTAAACTAATCAGACAAACACATTTTGAATGTCTGCTTCAACACTGACAAAAAGGATTAAATAAATTTACGTCGTCGTCGTCTTCCTCCGCTTATCCGGGTCCGGGTCGCGGGGGCAGCATCCCAACTAGGGAGCTCCAGACCGTCCTCTCCCCGGCCTTCTCCACCAGTTCCTCCGGCAGGACCCCAAGGCGTTCCCGGACCAGATTGGAGATGTAACCTCTCTAACGTGTCCTGGGTCGACCCGGGGGCCTCCTGCTCGCAGGACATGCCCGAAACACCTCCCTGGGGAGGCGTCCAGGAGGCATCCTGACCAGATGCCCAAACCACCTCAACTGGCTCCTTTCGATCCGGAGGAGCAGCGGTTCTACTCCGAGTCCCTCCCGAATGTCCGAGCTCCTCACCCTATCTCTAAGGCTGAGCCCGGCCACCCTCCGGAGGAAACTCATTTCGGCCGCTTGTATCCGCGATCTCGTTCTTTCGGTCATTGCCCAAAGCTCATGACCATAGGTGAGGATTGGGACGTAGATCGACCGGTAAATCGAGAGCCTGGCTTTCTGGCTCAGCTCCCTCTTCACCACGACAGATCGGCTCAGCGTCCGCATCACTGCAGATGCTGAACCAATCTGCCTGTCGATCTCCCGATCCCTCCTACCCTCACTCGTGAACAAGACCCCGATATACTTAAACTCCTCCACTTGAGGTAGGACCTCTCCCCCGACCCGGAGTTGGCAAGCCACCCTTTTCCGGTCGAGAACAATGGTCTCAGATTTGGAGGTGCTGATCCTCATCCCAGCCGCTTCACATTCGGCTGTGAACCTCCCCAGCAAGAGCTGAAGGTCAGAGCTGGATGAAGCTAGGAGGACCACATCATCCACAAAAAGCAGAGACGAGATTCTCCTGCCACCAAACTCGACACACTCCACACCATGGCTGTGCCTAGAAATTCTGTCCATAAAGGTAATGAACAGAACCGGTGACAAAGGGCAGCTCTGGCGGAGTCCAACCCTCACCAGGAACAGGTCCGACTTACTACCGGCTATGCGGACCAAACTGCCACCCACCCCATACTCCTGGAGCGTCCCCCACAGGGTGCCCCTGGGGACACGGTCATAATCCTTCTCCAAATCCACAAAACACATGTGGATTGGTTGGGCAAACTCCCATGCCCCCTCCATCACCCTTGCAAGGGTATAGAGCTGGTCCACAGTTCCACGGCCAGGACGAAAACCACATTGCTCCTCCTCAATCTGAGATTCAACTATCGATTGGACCCTCCTCTCCAGTACCTTGGAGTAGACCTTTCCAGGGAGGCTGAGGAGTGTGATCCCCCTATAGCTGGAACACACCCTCAGGTCACCCTTCTTAAAGATGGGAACCACCACCCCGGTCTGCCACTCCACAGGAACTGCCCCCGATGACCACGCAATGTTGCAGAGACGTGTCAACCATAACAGCCCTACAACATCCATAGCCTTGAGATACCCAGGACGAACCTCATCCGCCCCCGGGGCTCCGCCGCTGTATAGTTGTTTGACTACCTCAGCAACTTCTGCCCCCGAGATTGGACAGTCCATCCCCAGGTCTCCCGCCTCTGGTTCCTCCTCGAAATACACATAGGTAGGATTGAGGAGCTCCTCAAAGTATTCCTTCCACAGTCCGACTATAGCCCCAGTTGACGTCAGCAGCTCCCCATCCCCACTGTAAACAGTGTGAGTGAGTTGCTGCCTTCCTCTCCTGAGGCGCCGGACAGTTTGCCAGTACCTCTTTGGAGCCGATCGATAGTCTTTCTCCATTGTCTCACCAAACTCCTCCCATGCCCGAGATTTTGCCTCGGCAACTGCCACTGCTGCACCCCGCTTGGATATCCGGTACCTGTCTGCTGCCTCCGGAGACCCACAGACCAGCCACGCCCTGTAGGCCTCCTTCTTCAGCCTGACAGCTCCCCGAACCTCTGGTGTACAACAGCAGGTACGGGGGTTGCCACCCGACTGGCACCGGCCACCTTGCGACCACAGTTAGCAACAGCCGCCTCAACAATCGCAGAGTGGAAGAAGGCCCACTCGGAGTCAATGTCCCCCACTGCTCTCAGGACGCGGTCAAAGCTCTGCCGGAGGTGGGAGTTGAAGGCCGTCTTGACAGGTTCTTCTGCCAGGCGTTCCCAGCAGGCCCTCACTATGTGTTTGGGTCTGCCAGGTCTACGCAGCATTTTCCCCAACTGGATCAGATGGCAGGGGAAGTGACCATCAGTGACCATAAGCTAGACTTTCTTTGTCTGAACGAAACATGGCAACAACCCAGCGATTTCTCACAACTCAATGACTGTACTCCTCCCGGATTTGTTTACCTCTCCAAACCCCATGGGTCGGGCCGCGGCGGTGGTCTCGCGATACTCTATCGCGAGACTTGGAAGGTCCTTCCCGTAAACCTTCCTCCTCTCACCACTCTGGAATGCCTCGCCTGTCAACTCTCCGGCCCGACCCCCACAATAATTGTCACTGTTTATCGTCCCCCCAAGTTCAGCTCTGAGTTTTTAAATGAACTCTCTGCTCTTTTATCCCATCTGTCCACCCTTTCCCCAAATGTAATTTTACTTGGTGATTTTAATATTCATATGGACAATATGGCCCTCCCCCTCAGCAAAGACTTCTCCTCATCTTTGGACAGCCTCAGTTTTCATCAGTATGCCAATTTTCCCACTCACATTAAAGGTCACACCCTGGATTTAATCTGCTGCTCCGGCCTGACCCCCTCCAACTGTACAGCTGACCCACTCCCTTTCACGGACCACTTCCTCATCTCCTTTTCTGTTCCCCTCCGTCTCTCCATCATCAAGTCACCACGTATCATTTCTTTTCGTAATATTAAGGACATTGATCTAGCCTCCCTGTCCTCCAGTTTTGCCACCCTGACCCCTAATTTGTCCTCTACTCCCGATGATCTTGTCATTCAGTACAATAACGGTCTGGTTTCTATCCTTAATTCATTTGCTCCCATCAAATCCCGCTCTGTATATTTTACTCGGTCTGCTCCATGGTTCACCCCTGCCCTACGCTCCTTGAAAACTACCAACCGGAGGCTTGAAAGACTCTACAAGAAAACCTGTCTCACCATCCATAAAGACTTATATTCTGCTCAAATTTCTCTCTACAAGGACTCCATCTCCCATGCCAATTCACAGTATTACTCCGGTCTCATCTCGTCCAACTCCAGCAACACTAGGGCATTATTTTCCATCATGAACAGCATTTTTCAGCCTCCCGACTCCTTACCCATCCATCTTTACTCTTCAGAAACCTGTAACTCTCTCCTTCAGTTTTTTAATGATAAGGTCAATAGAATCCATCTCTCTTTACCTCATTCCTCCCCTCCCTCACCTGATTTATTTGAACCCACCATTCAGTTCTCCTCCTTTGAACTTCCCCATCCCTCAGAAATATTAGATTACATCACCAAATCCAAACCTTCCACCTGTCAACTGGACCCTATTCCAACAGTTTTAGTTAAATCCTGCCTTTCTTCTCTGCTCCCTTTTATAACGGCCATTATTCATTCCTCACTATCCTCTGGTACGGTCCCATCCCTATTCAAATCCGCTTCAGTCAGCCCTATTCTAAAAAAACCTGGTTTAGATCCCAATGATTTCAATAACCTGCGTCCCATTTCCCATCTTCCCTTCATTTCCAAAGTCCTAGAGAAAACTGTTGCATCTCAGCTCCATTCCCATCTCACCCACAATAACCTTTATGAACAGTTTCAGTCTGGCTTCCGTCCCCACCACAGCACAGAAACAGCTCTCATCAAGATCACTAACGACCTACTCATTGCTGCTAATTCTGGTTTAATCTCTATTCTTATTCTCCTCGATCTGAGTGCGGCCTTTGACACCATTTCTCATCCCATCCTCCTCAATAGACTCTCTTCCTTAGGCATCACTCACACCCCCCTCAGCTGGTTTCAATCTTACCTTACTGGCCGCACTCAGTTCATCCAGTTAAAATCCTTTACCTCAGAACCCTCCCCAGTCAAGTCAGGTGTGCCCCAGGGCTCTGTCCTGGGGCCCCTCCTCTTCATAGTATACCTCCTCCCTATCGGAATAATCTTCCGCAAATTCAATATCCAGTTTGCTTTGCGGATGACACCCAGCTCTACATTTCCAGTAAGCCCAACTCAACTCTCCCACCATCCTCCCTTACACTCTGCCTCTCTGAAATCAAATCATGGTTCACCTCTAATTTCCTCAAACTCAACGGCAATAAAACTGAACTTCTTCTAGTTGGCACTAACTCCACCCTCTCAACATCTGACAGCTTTTCTTTAACTATTGACAGCACCATAGTCTCCCCCTCCCCTCACGTCAAGAGTCTGGGTGACATTCTTGACAGCTCACTTTCTTTTCAAGCTCACATTAATAACTTAATTCGGTCAGCATACTTTCATCTACGTTCCATAAACCGTCTCCGTCCCTCACTGACCCCTCACACTGCCGCCATTCTCGTCCACAGCCTCGTCACCTCCCGTATCGACTATTGCAATTCACTTCTTTATGGTCTCCCCAACAAACTCCTTCATAAACTGCAAATGGTTCAGAATTCAGCAGCCCGTATTATCACCAGAACCCCTTCCTTTCACCACATCACCCCGGTTCTCCAGCAGCTTCACTGGCTCCCAGTTAAATTCAGGTCCATCTTCAAAATTCTCCTCCATACCTTCAAAGCTATCCACAACCTCTCTCCTCCATATATCTCAGACCTTATAAGTATTCACACCCCATCCCGTTCACTCAGATCTTCTTCTTCCATCCATCTTGCGGTTCCTTCTGCCCGTCTCGCTACCATGGGGAGCAGAGCTTTCAGCCGCTCTGCTCCCCGTCTCTGGAACTCACTTCCCCCAGACATCAGGAACATCGACAGTTTTACCCTTTTCCAATCAAAACTCAAAACACACATGTTTAAATCTGCTTACAACCTCTGATTTTATTGAACTGTTTCTCTCTTTGTTTTTTCTTGTTTGGGTTTTATTATTGTTTTATTGTATTTTATTACGAGTTTTCTGTAAAGTGACCTTGGGTGTCCTGAAAGGCGCTTTGAAATAAAATGTATTATTATTATTATTATAACTCACCACTCACTCTGTGTGTCGTGGTGATCAGTTGACAGCTCCGCTCCCCTCTTCACTCGGGTGTCAAAAACATGCGGCCGCAGGTCAGATGATATGACTACAAAGTCTATCATCGACCTGCAACCTAGGCTGCCCTGGTACCAAGTGTACCGATGGGCATCCTTATGTTCGAACATGGTGTTCGTTATGGCCAAACTGCGGCTTGCACAGAAGTCCAATAACGAAACATCACTCGAGTTCAGATCAGGCGGGCCGTTCCTCCCACCCCTCCAGGTCATGCTGTCATTGCCCACGTGAGCATTGAAGTCCCCCAACATGACAATGGAGTCCCCTGATGGAGCACTATCTAGCACTCGTCCCAGGGACTCCAAAAAGGGTGGGTACTCTGAACTGATATATGGCCATAAGCGCAAACAACAGTCAGGACCCGTTCCCCGTCCCGAAGGTGCAGGGAAGCTACCCTCTCATCCCCCGGGGTAAACCCCAACACACAGGCAGAGAGTCTTGGGGCTAAAAAAAAAGCCAACCCCAGCCCTTCGCCTCTCACCCGGAGCAACTCCAGCAAAGGACTGTCCAACCCCTCTCAAGGACTTGGGTTCCAGAGCCAAAGCCACAGCCTTTCTCAGTGGGCTAGTGGTAGAGTGTCCGCCCTGAGACTGGGAGATCAGGGGTTCGACTCCTGGTCGGGTCATACCAAAGACTTTGAAAAAATGGGACCCAATGCCTCCCTGCTTGGCACTGGGCATTAAGGGGTTGGATTGGGGGGTTAAACCACCAAATAGTTCCCGAGCGCAGCTTGTCTGCAGCTCACCGCTCCCCCAGGGGATGGGTCAAATGCGGAGAACAAATTTCGCACACACACCTGTGTGTGTGACAACTAATGAGACTTTAACTTTTAACTTTAACAATGCTATGTGTCGAGGTGAGTCCGACTATATCAAGCCGGTACCGCTCAACCTCTGCCACAAGCTCCTGCTCCTTCCCCGCCAGCGAGGTGACGTTCCATGTCCCAAAAATCCAGTTTTCGTGTCCGGGGATCGGACAGCCAAGGCTCCCGCCTTGGTCTGCCACCCGATCCACATTGCACCGGACCCTTCATGTTCTTCCTGCGGGTGGTGGGTCCACAGTTGGATGACGTCACTGTAAATTTACCTGTTGCATTTTTACATCTTCAATAAACCTTTTTAAAAACACTAAAAATCCAACAAAGATCTTCTGTGTAGTCTCACCATTAGAGCTGTAAGAGCTTATGTTCATCTCTGTTTTCTGGTGTATTTTTCTCAGACAAAAGCAATCTACCAAATCAAAAAAACAAAATGTAGATTCAGGTTTTACCAAGCTGCACTTTCTCTCTGTTACAGCTGTGTTGCAGAAAAAGCTGAATAAATGGTCGTGTGGCTACAGAAGGGCTAATTTCAGAATGAGTTTGACTTCAGACTGAGTAAATAACAGTGGCTGTAGACACTATAATGTGTTATTAGGGAGGATGGGTTGTGTTTTCTTTTCCTCCTTGGAAAGAATGATCAACTTTTAAAGGCATTTGATCACTGCCGTGTGTTGTGACGGCTTAATACCCTGCAGGTTTACAATGTTTACCGAGCAGCTGTGCGTGTGCAGCGCTGAGTCATGCTCATGCATAAACACCTGCTGATTTGTACAATGATTTTACGTTAAGAATCAACACCCAGAACACATGGATTAGTTGTTCTATCTGCTCTGTAATTTTGTTTTTTACCCATTATTAATTTCCTGCCTTCGTAATCAACGTTCTTATCATGGTTTCCTTGGTGTGTCATGATCTCCTGCAGGTGGACTGGCTCAAGAACGAGGATGTCATAGATTCGTCACAGGACTCTAATTTCCTGATCACGATTGATCACAATCTGATCATCAAACAGGCTCGACTCTCGGACACGGCCAATTACACGTGTGTTGCTCGAAACGTGGTGGCCAAAAGACGGAGCAGCACGGCCACTCTTATTGTTTACGGTAATACAAAACTCCCGCTTTTTTACGCTTTCCTTCCTTCGCCACGCCTCACACGCAGATATAACCTCATCTCATTCATGGATGATGTTTGTTTTGATTAAAATTTTGGGAAGGCAGGTCATCCCTGTGTTCCTTGGTTTAGCAGTGTCGAGTCAGACCCCGATCGCCTCAAATCTGAGTTTAAAGCAAAACTTAAAGGATTCTTTCAGCCAAGTGTGTGTCTGTGCTAAAGTTATAGATGAGTATTTCACAATCATCACTCAGCTTACTGAGTGCCCTCAGCTGGGAGAAATAGAGATTATAGCTGTGTTTCCACTACAAGAGTTCTGGGAAATTTCTGGGTGGGGGAAAGGTGACTACTAGGAAAGATGTGATTACTCGTTTCTCTCAGGCGTTGTCTCTTTACAAGACAACGGGTACTTCAGGTACTTTGCTAAGACGTCAACATATCTCAACCATTTCGGCATTGAGTGATGTCACTGGTCAGTGCCAAAAGGCGTCCACAGACATTAACTCATTCGCTGCCAGCCGTTTCCTGATCGGTAAAGCCCTTCGCTGCCAGCGTTTCTCGCCATTTTTACTGTTTTTTTAAGAGTCTCAGAACGTTGCACGCTAGGATGATGTCGACGCCAAAACAACCAAAACAAAGCGGAGACTCACCTCTTACATCAGGAAGAATCTGCGTGTTTCAAGTTTTATCCGTTCTTTCATAATCCGTTGTTGAATTGTGATCAGCAGAAGCTTTTCCGGTTCGTGCCACACTTTTTTTTACAGCAGCGGCCCAAAACGATCTCCTAACACATGGATTTTCTGCTTCCTGTCGTCTGTGGATGCTTTAGAGCAGGGATGTTTGTTCTCTCAGCGCGGGGGCTCGTTCCGATGCCCACACAGTAAAAACATGCAAATGACGATTTTAATCGTCATTGGCAGTGAACGAGTTAATAACATTAAAAGTTTTACTCTGCCACGTCATAATTTAATTATTTGGAGGACCGAGGCAGCGGCTGTGTGACATAATATTTGCTCTGTAGGAGAGCACGAAGCATCGTTAATTCTGTGTGTGTGTGTGTGTGTGTGTGTGGGGGGGGGGGGGGGGGGGGGGCATATTCTTCAGCATTTCTGAGTTTAGAAACAGCTATTTTGATTGGCATACGTTAAGCACAAGTCCCGCCCAGCGACTCTACCAGTCCATTTCAGAGTACACACCGCCCAGTTCAGGTACCCGGTCGGTCCCTGAAATGGCCCGGCGAGTAGCCCTAATGAAGACACATGCATGCCGCCAGGTCCGAAAAAATTACCCGGAAGTTTGATAATGGCAACGGGCCTATTGTCTGACCAGCTCCAGTCTTTAAAATGTCCAAAAATAAGGAATTCCATGGTGTGTTTCCCTGTCTGTGTGTCTCTGTGCCAGTGAGCGGAGGCTGGTCTTCTTGGACTGAATGGTCCGAGTGTAACGCTCGTTGTGGGCGGGGCTGGCAACGTCGAACACGCAGCTGCACCAATCCTGCCCCTCTGAATGGAGGAGCCTTCTGTGAGGGCCCGCCAGTGCAGAGAGTAACTTGCACCACGCTCTGCCCAGGTAAAGAGGATATACGTATCTTAAATAAAACATCTTCAGCAAAAATGTTCATCAAACGGAATAAATTTGAAGACATTTTCCCTTTTGGTTCTCCATGAAATCAGGCCTCAAACTTGAAGTAAATCATGTTCGAGAGCAGCACTTCCTTTTTCTTGTAGCTGCTAGAGGAAGGAACACAGTGCATTTCACTCATGCACCATTCTGATGATTTTTGCCTTGCTGCAACCCAGTCCTAAAGCAGCAAACTGCAAAAACACCTCCCTCCATTACGTCACACCCCATCATAGTGTCACACCAAATCGCCTTCCACCTGGAAGTGATTGAAGTCTCTGAACTGCAAAATTGCTCACACATCTGCTGTTGTTTTCAGTGGATGGAGGTTGGACGGAGTGGGCGAAGTGGTCCGCCTGTGGGACGGAGTGCACGCACTGGCGCAGCCGTGAGTGCCAGGCCCCCCCACCCATAAATGGAGGGAAGCACTGTAGTGGAGGCATGATGGAGAGCAAAAACTGCACAGAGGGGCTGTGTGCAAGAAGTAAGTAAAGTGATGCAAACAAATTCCTCCCTCTGACCTTTTTACGCTGATCGATTTTGCTGCACTAATCCAAATAGTTCAACTGTGTGACGGCTATCAGAGTCCTGGCTAAACGTTTGATGCTTCAGGTGGTTGTTCGAGTGATAAAATCCTGCCAGCAGTGATTTGATTGCTTGTAGTTCACCGCATTTCAAAGACTTTTTTCTTTTTTAAATATAAACGTGGAGCCGTATTCCCGAGGTGTTAGGCCAGTGCACCACAATGAAAGCGCAAATGTGCCGAGAGATGAAAGTGAAGCGAACTAAGTCACAGACAACATGATTCATGAGGGAAAATTTAGCTTCAGAGACGGCAACTGATCCAGATCTGAAAAGCACAGATGGAAGCGAGAACAGAAAAGGAGGGGAAGAAAAAGAAAGACTGAGCGCGAGCTAGGAGAGCGGATCGAGTGGGAAGTGAGCATGACACGGCCAAGTCAAAAAATTAGCACAGGGAAGAGCATATGAGAGTGAGTCAGACTCACACTGACACCCAATGTGCTGCCCGTGATGAGCTGGGAAGGGTCCAGCCGACAGTGCATCAGAATCCTAGTGTTGCACATCCACAACGATGTGTTTAAGTACACACAAATATGTATGTGTATGTATGCACATATATAAAGTAGGGGTGTAACGGTACACGCACAATCCCAGTTTGATTCCTTGGTTTCAATGTTCGGTTCGGTTCATTTTAGGTACAATGGGGAGAGAATGAGGTCCTGACATAAACAGGCTTCTTCAGAGTGTGAGGATTGGACAAATACATCATCTCATTTGTGATCAGCTTCATATTCCCAGGAGGACAATAAGAACTCAGCTGGTTCTGAAAGACAGGAAGCATGTAGAAGATCTGTAAATGGGAAACGTGCTGCTGATGTGCGTTTCAGGACTTCCCTGCATGTTAAAATGACTATTCTGTGGTCACAGTCTGCCCTGATGATGTTCAGACGATCAAGTAACGGAAGCACCCTCCCGTCATCTCCCCTCTATGTAACGCTGCAGCCATAAATGTAAAATGCTCTGAGACATCACAAAGCATCATCCTCACTGCGTCCTGGAAGTCTCTAATTGCTATTGGACAAATGGCAAAACTCATGGAAGCCATTTTTGCGTTTTTATGATGCTACGGAGAGAAGATTATTTGATTTGAGCATCAGTAAGTGACACCGTCCTGAAAGATGGTTTTGATATCTTTCAAACTGCTTGGTTATGATTCACGTTGGACGTAATTACTCCCGCTGGTGGGGAAAATGTTCAGTGTTCACAGGATTAGCGTGATAATAAACACTTCAGGGTTCATAAAGGGGTCGTTTCAGTCTCCCACGTGTGAGCAGAAACACAGGCGTTCATTTTTAAACCGCTCGTTAACTCCGTGGATCTCTTTCAGATCGCTTTCACAATCATTTCTAACGGGCTTTATTTTCTTCCTTGTATAAAACAGCCAATAAATTATAGCACATTTAGCAAATGTATTTTTTAATTCAATATTTTTGCATTATTATTGCCGTTAATATGTATTTAGTTTGACTTTCTGTTTTTATGCTGATGGTTTCTTTCCTTGTTTCTTTATTTAATTAAAATGATCGTGACTTTCATTTGCTTAACAGCTAGTCCGTCCATTTTTATTATGTTTTTGTTTTCTTTTCCTTTTCTCCTCTTGTTTTTTCTCTCGTTCAAACAGATAAAAAGATCTCAGTTGAACATGCCAGCCATCGTAAGTCCACCCTCACACAATTTTCACTCTTTCACAACTTCATATTGTGTGTGTGTGTGTGTGTGTGCACGTGCGTGCGTGCGTGTGTGTGTGCGTGCGTGCGTGTGTGTGTGTGTGCGCGCGCGTGTGTGCGTGTGTGTGTGTGTAGCATATTTGTCAGCACGTGGTGTTGAATCTGTTTTGAGTCATCTCAGATCAAGTTCAGTCCAGGACGTTTATGCGTGTCTCTGTTTAGATTTTAAATCTGATCCGGTGGCAGATTCTGCCTCCTTGGCGCAGAGGAAAGTATTTGTTAGCCTTTGATTTTCCAGCCCCTCTGTGATTTAGTTTGCATTTGAAGTGATGGTAATTCCTCCAGCCTAATGTGATGTGGTCTCAGGGGAAAGTAGCCACAATAATGTACCTAATTCGCCATTGTTTCGTTTCTGGTAATAAGTGTGGACGGCTGTCGGATTCGGTTCCATCTCACCACGTGAGCACCGGAGCTCCCTTCTGCCAGCCCGTCTGCCTCCGGCTTTCTTCTCCTCCACACGTTCTGCTCCTCTCCCTTTTGCTCTGCAGTGTCTTTCACTGCGTTTATCTCCTCTCCCCTCCTCAACACACTTACAACCCCTCTGTCCTCTCAACAAATCACAGCCTTATCATCCTCCTTCCCGTCCTTTTTGCCAAATTGCTTCTCATCTAGAGCTCTCTTCCCTCTGTGTATCCAGCCTGTCTACTCCTTCTTGTTTGTTTGTTTGTTTTTCTTTCTTGTCTCCCGCCAACTTTGCTCCTTGTCTTGTTGCCTCTTTTCTGTCGTGGTGTGACTGGCTCACGTGTTTGGATTGGGTCTGGCACTGCCAGCGTTAGGAAGTTTGTGCTAAGCAGGCAGCGAAGAGCCTGCTGACCAGTCAGAACCAATCATCCAGCCAGAGAGAAGGGAGGAAACTCAACAAGGAGCAGGTGAAATTAGGGACAAGTACCCCCCATCAATCTTCCACTATCCATCCTTATTATTTAACTTTGATACGAGTCACGGCGCACTAGAAGGAGCTGTTAAACTGATATATTACAGGGACATATGATTTTTTCTTTAGTTATAGTAGTTCTATAGGCTATAAAATCATGTTTATTAAGTTATTTGCATTAAATCCCTCTTACATAATGCAATTTCAACATTTTTATTCTTGACATTTTCAGTACCTTCCAGAATGAGTTGTTTAAGGTCTCTGTCACTTTAAGAAAACAAACTGGAGCTGGCCACCCCCCACCCCCAATGCTCAGGCTGCTATAAGCTCAGAAACCAGGCTATTCCACAGGACACATTAGCATCACGTAACATCCACGAAGCATAGTACGCAGCAATTAGCTGTCATAGGTAACTGGTGTGTTTCCACCGTCCATGAAGCAGGGCCTTTTGGACGCACTGTAGTAGCACAGTGATGCGTCGCTCCATTAGATTTATGCTTGTCTAACACATCCAGTACAAAGTCTTTTTTTATTGCCGCTGCTCGTCAGCCATTTTTAAGTTTGGAGTTTTTAGGCAGCAGAGACCCACATGCCAGCACCTAAGGATGCATATAATTAATTTTCAGAATCAGAAGGGTTTTATTGCCGTGTGCGCAAGAATCACAAATTGCTGCGATACTTGGCGCAAGAAAAAAATTAATGTTAAGCAAAAATTTGAATTAAGAAATAAACACAATGAGATGATCATACGGAGGCAATAATTGCGGCTACTATGTAAAAGTCAGTGTATAGGTGCTGATCAGAGCAAATCAGTTGTGGCAGTAACAAAGCTACTGGAGTGGGCTGTTCTACGACTGACGTTCGTGAGTCCAACCACAGAGGGGAAGAAACTATTTTTGTGGAAAGAGGTTCTGGTCCAAATGGATCGAAGCCTCCCGCCAGATGGGAGCGAGTCAAAGAGACTGTGTCAGGGTGAGGCGGGTCATATGTGATCCGACCTGCACGCCTCAATGTCCTGGAGATGTACAGGTCCTGAATGGAGGGGAGTTTGCAGCCAGTGACCTTCTCAGCAGAACGTACAACACCCTGCAGTCTCTTCATGTCGCTGGTGGTGGCTCCAGCGTACCACACAGTGATTGAAGAGGTGAGGAAGGACCCGATGACTGCGGTGTAGAACTGCCTCATCGACTGTGCTGGCAGGTTAAATTTCTTCAGCTGCCTCAGGAAGTGCATCTTGTGCTGGGCCTTTTTTATGACAGAGGTGATGGTGGGCTCCCACTTGAGGTGTTGGGTGATGGTGGTACCCAGGAAGCGACATGAGTCCACCATCGTGATGGGAGTGTCAGACAGGGTTATGGGGGAAGTGGGGCTGTGTGCTTCCAAAAGTTCACAACAACCTCTGCTGTCTTGTTTGCATGTGTGCCCTTTAAAATCTGCACATCCAGTCGATATTAAATTAGATTCCAGTTTAAAAAATATAAAACAGAGGCTGTAGGTCCTTTTTGGTTTAAAAATGTAAAAACGTTTTGGTTTCCTGCAGATGCTAACAGACCAACACTCATCTCACTGCGTGGAGATACTTGACAGTGTTTGCTGCAGAATCTATGTCACTCCAGATAAACGATGAATTTATTAATGACTATGTCAAAGCCTCTGTAGTGATTGTGGATTGGTCTCATCCTGGCTGTGATCCATAAACCGTGCCAATGCTGGTTTACTGAAACAGACTTGTTTTGGCTCTTCTAAAGTTCCTGTGTGTTCAATGCTTAATAAACTTGTTTTTCACCAGGATTTGTCTGTATGTTGAGTTGCAGTCTTTCCAAAATGACAACAGAAAGTACAAAAATCACCACAGGGACATCTGTTACTGCTGAACTGTGGCAAATATACAGTTATGTGAAAAAGTATTTCAGTTTGTTTATTTTTGTTTGGTTTTTTGTTTTTTGTTTTTGGTTTATGCTCATTTTTCATCCTTTAACTCTTTTAGTTCAACAAATGTTTAGTTCATTAAATAATGATTTAATCATTAATGTGGTTAACCAAATTATTTGGAAAGCTGAATTCAGTCTCACCCTGACCCAATGATTGCCAGACCTGTATAATTAAAGCAACACTAAATAAATACCTGTCGCAGCCTTGTTTAGCTAGCGCTAATAACAAGCTAATGCTAACACAAGCAAATTGATATTTAAATAAGCTACTAAGTTAAAAGGTTCACAATGTACAAAAAAATAACATTACCTACAAGTCCAGCAGCAACAAAGCCAGGTCACCATCAGTCTTTGATTCTGTAGCCTCCTTTAGCTTCCTCAAATGAGTTTAGGCCTGTGCCTATGTTCACTCTGTGTATGAATTATGCTAAATGTGCCAATAAGGCCAACCAAAAAAAGCTAAATTCTTCTTTTTCTTCTTCTGCTTGTGCTTTATGATAGCCTTTGATCTAAAATAAGCTAACTGCTAGTCTTTATATTATTTACAAGCTTTTGCCATAAAGCATGGTTCTTGCCTGAACTACAAAGCTGTTAAGTGCCGTTTCTGATCAGCAGAGAGCTACAGAGTTCTGTCCAATGTGGAGTTGTTCAAGTTTATGTCTAAAAAGTGCTTAAACCTCTTTTTTTATGCTTTAAGAAATCATCTAAAACAAACTATAGAATGATTTGGTCCGCTCGCTGCTTTGCTGAATATAAAGTATTTTGTAAATGCTATGATTCGGTAAGCTATGCTATGAAGTTGGCTAAAAGATCTCTTTATTCTAAAGAAATTCAAGAACAAAACATACTCAGAAAAACATCTAAAGCTCTGGAGGTCTCAAACCTAAGGTCACAAGTCACGATTCAACAAAAGGGAAGATAAAGGACACAGAAACATCTTGATGATTCATAAAAACTTTTGAGTAAAACTTCTGCTAACTAACGAGACAAGTGTTGAACTTTCTGGAAGGCGTGTTGAATATGGTGTAAAATTAAGACCGAATTTCAGAAAGACATCATACCGACCACGGTGGTGATAGAGTGATGGTCTGGGGCTGCTTTGCTGTGATGGGACCATGAACTTGGCTCTCTAGCAGAAACTCCTGAAGGAGAATGTCTGAACTTTGAACTTAAACACAAAAATGCGACAGTGTAGCCGGTCAGAGGACCACAGATTCTGACACCGAGGGCAGTTTTAGCCCTTGTGGTGTCCATTCTTCCCAATCTGTTAACCAGTCACACTGAAGACTGCTGATGTCATCCCCAATCTTCTATATAGTAACAAAGCTTGAGACTTTTTTCCCTCTCTGGATGTGAGGAGCAGCTATTTTCATGTACGAATGTGTGTGGCTTGATTGATGTGTAATGTCAAAATGCTAATGTACACGTGAAAGATTCTGGTGTGGGGGAAAAGCATCAGCAAGTCTTTGCCTTGGGCAGTTTTGGACCTTTTTACAGAATAATTTTCTGACACACATCAGTGTACTCAAGGTGGTGACAGAGAATAATGTCAGCATTTTGGAATAGCCCTACCACAGTCCTGCCTAAAGTAGAAATTCATTATATTTGAATCATTCTGATCCTGAGTCTGATAATAAGCTGATGAAAAAAATCTGTGATTTCAGCCCTAAAGCAGGAGTTAATGACAAGTTTCCTCTTATTCCTCCTTTCAGCGCTGGCTCCAGGTATGGGAGTAGCGGTGTACACAGGCTTGGTGGTGGCGCTGCTGCTGAGTGTTGTAATGGCGCTATGCGTGGGCGTGCTCGCATACCGCCGCCGATGCCGCCATCTCCACGGCGACATTACTGACTCTTCGTCTGCCCTGACCGCTGCGTTCCACCCTGGCAACTACAAACCTCCCAGACAGGGTGAGCCCTCCTAAAACCAGATTTTGCTTGTAGATGAAACCTGTTTAATATTTCCCATCTCGTTTTTCCTACCATGAATTACCTCCTATGGATCAATATCTTTCTGTCATCTCCCTCATCACTTTCTGTGGTATATTTTAGTTTTTTGTTTTTTTTTTAAATTTAAAGGATTTGTCTGTGTGTCTTTTTTTCTTCTTATTTTTCTATCAAATATTAATTAAACACATTAATCCATTTCACTCTCATCTCTTTGAGCACTTTCAGCCCTCCCAGCATCATTTCTCAGGATAACAGAGCAGTTGCTGTCTCCTCCGCGTTCTGCTTACAGATAACCCGCTGCATCCCTCAGCTCCTCCGGATCTGACAGCCACAGCAGGCACTTTCCGGGGTCCGCTCTTCTCTCTGCCCCAGGGGGTCAACGACAGCCCGCACAAAATCCCCATGACCGACTCGCTGTTGCTGGACCCACTTCCCAGTCTCAAAATCAAGGTGTATAACTCCTCCACATTATCCTCCCTGGAGCTGCCGGCCGACATGAGCTTAAGCGATGGTGAAATCCTCAGTTTGAAGTCAGTTGGCACGGTGGGTCGAGAGCGAGATTATCACAGCCACACTATGTCCAGAGAGCCTGGGCTGAGCACCAGCGCCACCTTGGGAAATCTGGGAGGACGCCTCACCATCCCTAACACAGGTAAAACGCCATTCTTTAAAGAATCCTCAGCTCATCTGTGCCTGGAGAGTCATTGTCATGCTATGTGAATTACACATTAGACAAGTCAGCACATTTCCTCTCTCAGGTGTGAGCCTGCTGGTCCCGCCTGGCACGATCCCACAGGGGAAGTTCTACGAGATGTACCTCATTATTAACAAGTGGGAGAAAACAACGTGAGTGCCCTTCGTCATTATTCCTTTACTCGTCTCACTCTCATCACAGCCACCGGGCAGAGCAGACCTTTTTCTCACCTCAATCAGTCACTTCTCCATTTCAGCTAATGCCTCTGTGAAACTGTGTACCTTTATCTTTTTTTTATCGCAATCTGAGGTCAGAAATTCCATGTCGTCATGGCAATTACCTTTTTTATAAATGATGAGTGAGTATTTGTTGCAAACATGTTTGCTGTTGTAACTAACAGGTTGCCATCTGAGGGCAGTCAGACTGTACTTAGTCCCGTGGTGAGCTGCGGCCCTTCTGGGATGCTGCTAAACCGGCCGGTGGTCCTCACTCTGCCCCACTGCGCCCAGCTGGACACGCCCACACCTGACTGGACCCTCGCGCTCAAAACACAAACACACCAGGGAGCATGGGAGGTGGGAGAGCCTCAAACCACATTCAGATAGCAAAGTATTCTCATATTAGCATGATCAAATCCACCTTCCGTATTTCCCAGGAGGTGCTGACGGTAGGAGAGGAGACTTTGTCGTCTCCGTGCTACCTACAGCTGGAAGAGGAATGTTGTCACGTCCTCATGGAGCAGCTGGGAACGTACGGGCTTGTCGGCCAATCCTGCCCTCCTCGACCTGCCTGCAAGCGCCTGCAGCTGGCTCTGTTCGCCCCCAGAGCGCCATGCCTCTCTCTGGACTTCAGCCTCCGGATCTACTGCATCCACGACACGCCACACGCACTCAAGGTGCTGCTTCCTGCATCTTTTCTCTAACATCACTTTTAAAGTTAGGGTCCATAGCGAGGAGGCATCTACTCACAGGAGATTGTGAAATTTGAACAACCATACTTCTTGCTCCTGCTCCCAATGGCGCCCCCAAGGGGTAGCCATGGCCACCCCTAGAAAATTGCTGACCCCCCTCAGGAAAAGCCAGTGGAAATAAATGTATTAATGTTCAGTCAAACCATAAATTGATTGTGTATATTCAAGACATAATTGTAAAACAAAATAAAAATAATACAATTAATGAGTAAAGAAATAATCAGAATAAAAAAATACATACCGTAAATCCTCTAATATTAGCCTGTATTTAATTAACTGCCGGGTATCATATTTTGGCCGGTGTCGGAGTCGGCGGAGGTGAATAATGGCCGGTTTTTTATTGTGGCTGGGTGGAATGTGGTAACAAGCAAGTACGGAGGGCGGTTGTGTCATCCGTCTCACTTTTGATTTGCCAGCGATAGACCGCGAGGGAAACTTTAACCGTGCGGAGACGAAGAGGAGGCAAAAATTTGTTGTCAAGTTCAAAGAGAACGTGCTGATTATGCTGCAGAACACTCTGGGGAGCAGTAGCAGGGGTTGTATGAACTAGTCACTAGTCGACTTCACCGCTCTATAGTGACTTTTTATGCCTGTCATCGACTAGTCGCTGTCACGTGATAATGACCGGCAAGATGCAGTCCACGGAAAAGACAGCAGCCTGCTGTCAGCAGGTGACAAGCTCCTGCGCATCGGGAGGCAACCCGCTGTGCCAGAGCGTCGGTACTGACACCCGCCGTAAAACGGACATTTAACCAAATTGTGACGTTTACCCTCTTGCAATTTAACCTTCCCCTCACCCCCATCCTAACCTTAACCAGCTTGCGCATGCAAAGCTCTGATCGTTGATGCGCTCCAGACATCTGCGTCCTGAGCACGGCCACAGTAACATTATCAAATCAGGTGTCGCCACCTCAAAAACTAATTTAACACGCGATCGTTCATGTCAGCTCATTTCCTTTTACGTTTTCTGTCTTTTATTCTTTTATTTGTGAATGAAGCGTTTCGCTGCTATGGATCGGGGCACATCACCTGTTTTGTCAAGAGCTTGTTAAAAGAAATGTGTTTAACTTTGAAAATGTGGACACAATTTTAATTGTCAAAAACTCCAGCGAACCATTAGTTCATTTTGCTCAAATAGAAATTGAGGCCTGCCTCTAATTCTGGTCCTCCTTCCAATAAAGGCCTGGAGCTTGATGAGCTTGAGTCAAATACAGGCCCAGGCCTGTATTGGAGGATTTACGGTATATTTCTGCTGCTCACCTTTTAAGAAAGTTTTTATCTCCATATCTCCAGGTGAATTAAACAAAAAAATACATTTTAAAATAAAAATTGAAATAACATTTTAAATAACTGAAATGTATTTTTCTGAAATGTTTGTGTATGTAGAATTTTAGTTAAATGTTTTGGATACATATTGGTTTTTTTAATAAAAATTAATAAAGGAGAAATGCAATACGTCGCCACAGGCTAAACTCTCCCAGAGTTACCACAAGGACTAATTTGGTGCGCCACGCCCAAAATTTCTTTGGCCCCGTCTGGCCACCCCATCATAATTTTCTGGAGGCGCCCCTGCCTGCCCCCCCCCCCCCCCCCTTCTTTCTGGAAGGAACCTTGAAGCCACAAGTAAAACCTGACACACCCTCACTAATAGCCTTGAAGTGCACACAAGTTTTCATCGTTTTCTTGCTCAGACGCACCTGATTGTAACTGCTGAATTATCTCCTCGGAATTCATCAGGTTGTGCAGGAGCTGCAAATAACTCGTTAAAATCAAATTTGTAGCGTTCAAGCAAGAAAGCATCTACAACAGGCAGGAAACCGGCACTCACTATTGCTGCCAGCGCTACAACAAGCTAAAGCAATAGTCTGATGGAGTGCAAGGTTAAATGCTATGCTTATCACTTAGCTCCAGTACACAAAAGATAAATCCTTTTTATGCTCCCTCCTTTTCCCGTTAGCTTGACGTTTACAGTGCTGTAGATGTCTCATTATTTCACAGGTTATTTGCGCAGCTGAGTGTCACTCTCATACAGACACGTGTTGTGTTTGATTGTTGATGCTCCGTGTTTTTATTTCTGCACGGAGTGCAAATGGTTTCTTTGTTGCTAATCTGTAGGGAATATCTACAAGAAAGTTCTACAGAAAGAAGCAAAGGGTCCTGAGAAATGTTACTAGGTTTGTCGCCAGGCGCTTTTTGGGAAAAAAAAAGCCGTTGAGGGGGATCAAAAAGTCGTTAGGAACAACGACAAAGTCGCTGAGTTGGCAACACTGGTGAGGGGAGGGGCAACGCGACGCTGCGCTCCGTTCAGCGTCTCTATGGGCTCCAGTAGAGCGACAGCCAGCTGGTTTCATCCACTCTGAAAGGTGTTGATCAAAATTGGCAGATTTCATTTTTTAAACGACGATCGAGCGCGTGCAGCCGTCATGCGTTACTCAATACAGCGTCTGTGCCGAAACTCACCTAGGAACTTTTATCTGCTGCACTTAAATAACACAAATAAAAATGTATTATTTAGCGTTACACTAGTGGACCGAACCAAAACAGTTCTATCCCCCACTCCCCGTGAACCGTTACACCCCTGGGGTCTCATTGATCAAACATTGTTTAAGAATCCTTACTAAAACCGTACTTAAGCTCAGCAAAAAAAAAGTACTTACGCCAAGTAGGTTTGTGATCTATCAAACATGGAGTACGCACAGCTGCACGCAATCTCCGCTTCAAAAATCAGAGACTTATGCCTGATTCATGCTTCTCCGTCTGCGTCAGTGCAGAGACACGCAATGTCCTTGCGTGCCTGCCGGAGAGCTCCGCAAGGACGGACGGAGTCGAGCTCTCTTTTCTAAACATACGTCAGTCGAGACGGACAACGCAAGCTTGTGATTGGTCAGGGCGCCGCTGTTGTTTACAGCGCCGCCATTGCTCCCTCAAAAACATAAAGAGAGCCGAGGATAACAAGCGGCAAACACGGAGAAGCTTGAAGAATACCTCGCGAAAAAACTCTAAAAACATGAACGTTTAATTCCCCCGTGACTGGAGGAGTGAAAAGATGCGCAGCAAGCGTTTTATTTGTGGACGGAAATGACAGGAAACGTGGGTTTAGAGGTGGCGAGCGTATGAAGAGGTGGAGGAGAATGAGAGACAAATATGTCTGTGTTAAAAAGTCTCTTGTATACACAAAAAACACAATATAAACACACTATCTTGGACCGATACATGACAGGATACCACAAAACAGCGCTACGCCCTCTGTTGTCCTGGTGGGGAATTGCTTTGCAACACTCTCCAGGAGACGGAGAAGTATGAGAGCAAAACGCTTCCGTCAATCCGTGCATGTCTGTCCCTTGCGGAGCTGACGGAGAAGCATGAATCAGGCTTAACGAGAATGTTTCTCAGCTGCTTTTTAGTCACATCCCGCCCTCACCACGCCCACTTACTGCCATAAATAGTCTATGCAAAGTGCCTTGTGGATCTCATGCATTTACATAAGCCAGCTGTTGCAGCGCTCCGCCATTAACCGCAGATCAAGGAAGCGCAATTTCACAGAAGAAGAAATTGAGGTACTTGCGGGTGAGGTGGAGAAATGAAAGGAAGTGCTTTTGCAAGACAAATAAGAGAAAATCTACAGAGTGGCACAGCGTTGCTGAAGCCGTCAATGTTGTGAATTCTTCAGAGAGATCTGTGGTGGATATAAAAAAAAAGATCCGATCAGGATTCAATCCCGACTCCCAGGTGAAAGTCATGTGCGCTAACCAGTCAGCCAAACAGAGATCTCCCCTGTACAAGTAGCCAGGGCGGATGATCAATCGGGTCACTGACAGGACACACACACTGTCACACACCCATGACCTTCTGTCTCAATCTGCCCCCCTGCTGATATTCTGCATTCCATATTCTGCTCTTCAGGCTGTGTGTGTGTGTGTGTGTGTGTGTGTGTGTGCGTGCGTGCGTGCGTGCGTGTGTGTGTGCGCGCGCGCGCGTGGGGGGTCTTGTTCTGTGTGAAAACGAAGCGGTACAAGTGATAATGCTGCTGGAATTCATCCTTTTATCCTTCTCAGCAGCAGCGCTGCAGGTGCTCTCCATGTCCAAAATGTGCGTAAGCCAGGTCCTTAGTCAACTTAAAGTTGCGCACATTTTTCCGCTAAGTTTTCTTTCATAAATCCCAAAGTTTGCGTGGAAAGTTGCTTACGCAGTTTTCCGACCCCGTTTTGTGTGTAAGCAAGCTTGATAAATGAGGCCCCTGGTCACGAGATGTGTTCAATGGGGATGCGCTGTCTTCCTGCCCTCCAGCCAGAAACTGGGGGCGGGATCTTGATCTTGTGACATCAAGGGGTCAAGGGTCAAATAGTCACATTTAAGTATTTTTGGAGTTGCATTAAGAATTTTAAACCATACACCACAGCTCTAAGTCATCACATTCTGTACTTGCAGGATATCTTTTCTATCCCATCGCTTTTTATTCCCAATGTTGTCGCATCATGTCCTCCAACGAAATCGACCACACGTGTTATCTCTTTGTGATCTCATCTGTAGCGCTTCACTAACCCACCATCACTCAGCATTCAGAGAACATTCCTCCCACCTCTGTATTTCTGTCAAACATCTTTTTCTCTGCTTATGAGGCTCTTAAGCCTCTTAAAAAACCGCCTCCGTAAACTCTTAACGGTTCTTTGGAGGTCTCTAAAGGCGAAAGATGTTTTGTGAGTAACTTTTGTCTTTACAAGGATCTGGTCTTAGCCACGGGAATAAATTCCTAAAGAAGGTTGTATTTCTACGAATTGTTTTTGAATTTTGTCACATTAAGTAGCTCCTCGTACCAGAATGCTTTATTATTACAGTCATGCTGTAAATACCAAACAGGGTTGTGTCACTGAAATGGTTCCTGCTTCCATTTGTGAGCCGAATAAGCATGACAAATTGTTATTTATAGTTTTATAATTCTCATCATAAAATAGCCCTGCGATGACCGATGTTTTTACCTTCTGCAAGAAGAATACAAAACTTCCTCTCATGTTGTACTTTAGCATTCCCTACCAAACGACCCCTTCAGTATAATCTCTCGAATACTCAAGTACTCTGTATTTTTCTCCTCTGAAAATACAGAAATTATAGTTTGAATGCTTAGAGTCCTTACCTAATTCAGCAGCAGGCTTTTATAATATTTTTGGAAATGAAAGTGGAACAAAATGTTTAAAGCTTTATTAGAAAGTTAAGTAAATGACTGTTTTTCTCAGAACAAATCCATGAAGTCACAACTAACTCTTTCAGTCACACTAAGGGAACGACTTAACGTTATTTTTTTTGCTTTTTCAAAAACTTTTTCATTGAATCCGTTCCAGGTTTAGGCTGCAAATGTAAAACAACTAAAGCATGCGAGAGTGATCAAATCAGGTCACTCTAAGAAATTGAAATATTCAACCAGCAGGTGCAATTTCTGTTTCACTCGTATAATTTATTAGGCTGCAAGTATACCCTTTATTATTTCTGAGTGGCAAGTTATCGAATGAGTTAAAACATTAAAATATTTTGTTTTCATCCAAATAAACAAGAATTTGTTCTTTTTATCTATCCTAATCTCCGCAATTTGTTCTATTTCCTACATTTTCTAATGTTACCAACTGTTTTTATATAGCTTATATATAAAATTTTAAGAATTATCTTTTTTTTTAAGCTTCAAATGTTTTTATTCTGTTTATTACAAAAAAATGCAGTAATTACCCTTTTGGATGTAAAAGTTGCAAATCTGTGGAAAGTAATATCGATTTTGTTGTTGTTGCTGATGTTTACATTTTTTCCTTTTCAACTGTATGAGCAACATCATCCCCCAGAATAATTAAAGACTTTTATTTACATTCATTTATTAAATTAAAGCATTAGATTATAAACATTTTTTTCCCTTTGGTAATCAGTGGAAGTCACAAAAAAAAGGAAATTAAAACAAAAAACGGTTTTTAAGCATGTTTCACATCAGAATAATCACTCTGGAAAAAGCCGTCTGACTTTTCTGTCAGTGTTTAGTTTTAGGAATTATGTACCTAAAACAAGCCATCTCAAAAATTGCCTGTTTGTGATGTGAGAAATAGAGAAATTAGCATAGAACCACCTCTCACGTGCAAGAGCGAGCTGCTGCTGGGGGAGCAGAAGCTCTACTTTGATCCCCTACCCAATATCGGAGCTTCTCAGCTTACAGCAGTATGAGCAGGAATGGGTGGGTGTGGTCAGCTCCAGCTTGTTTTCTTAAAGTGACAGTGCCCTGAAATGGCTCATTCTGGAAGGTACTGAAAGTGTCAAGAAGAAAACTGCTGAAATTGCTTCATGAGAGGTTTGGTGCAAAGAACTTCATGAGTGTGTTTTGTAGGTGTTATAACTTAAGAAAACATGTCATGTGTCCCCTTTAATATTTTCCTTTCAGTCGGTTGTGCCAGTGTTTTCTAACCAGCAAAGCTAAAAAGTAACATGTGCAGCACAATAAACTGATTTTGTCATTCCCTTTGTGTTTGCATGCAGGAGGTGCTGGACTTGGAGAGAAGTCTTGGGGGAGTTTTGCTAGAACATCCCAAGCCGTTGCTCTTCAAAGACAGTTATCACAATCTCCGCCTGTCCATCCACGACATTCCTCACACTTACTGGAGAAGCAAACTTCTGGCCAAGTACCAGGTAGCATATTCTCGTTTTATCGTGTGAGGTCACGACAAACAGCTGCATAACCCCATAAACTTATCTTCATAACAATCTGACCTGATTAATTGTAGAAAATTGCAAAAAAAAAATTGAAATTTGAACATTTTTACCATATTTTACTTTGTGTTAAGGCTGAAAAACACAACAGAGATTGTTTTTCCTTGACCCCCGCTTACCTTATCTCTTCTTTATCTCTGGTGCAAATTAGCACACTTAGCTTTGTTTGAAACCAGACTTCTCTGATGCACATTGTGTCAACACGAGGCACAACATTTTTCATGAGAAATTTAAAAAAGAATGAAAATAAATGGAAGTAAAACAAAGGAAATGATGTGATTTCTTGAAAATCGGCTATAACTATAGGATGCTGTGGAAGAGTAACACACATTGTCACGATACGGCAGGAGGAGGTCGAACCCAAAGTGCAGAACTCAGAATGACTCGAGGCAGGAGAGGTTGTAAGAAAATAAATTCCTTTTATTAAGGAGGAGGAGCAAAATCCAAAAAGCACGAAGGATCTGGGAAACTCGAGGAGGACAAAAACAAGGCTGACAACATCTAACAATGGACTGACAACACACTGAGACGCAGACAGGGTTATACACACAAGGGCTGGGTGATTAAGGGAATTGGACACAGGTGAGACTAATAACCGAGAGGAGGAGCAGAACGGAGCAGGAGAGGAAACCAGACCTACCTGGGGAAGGAAGCAAAAATGAACCAAAGGGAGATATCTGACACAAGGGGAACCTAGAGAGGGCTGGAGAACACAAGGAGACACATGAGGGGGACGGAGGACGCAGAGCATGACACACATAGGGTTAAAAGGCGCAGCTGACTCCCAAAGCTCAATTGGAAATAAAAAAGTAAAAAAAGTAAATAAGCCAAAGTATGCATTAGAAAGTTCTTGATTTAAAATTAAATAAACTTTATTTAATCAGTTGTTTTCTGGGTGAGAACAGCTCGTGGACCTCATAGCCTTTACTGCTGCTGTAAACATCTCAGATGCATTCCCTCAGCTGCAGCAGTGACTTAACATTCTGACCCTGTTCTGAAAACCCAAACAGGCACTGTGATAGTGTTTCTAATTCATAGACTGTGTGCTTTAGAAATAAATCTAAGGAACTCATCCCTGAAAAGAAACTGCTGCTGTTTTTACATGAGGAATGTGCTGTTGGAAACAAAACCCCTTTCTTAGTTCTTTTATTTAATTTGTTGGCTTCTACAACAGGAGATACCCTTCTATCACATTTGGAGCGGCAGTCAGAGACCTTTGCACTGCACCTTTAGCCTGGAGAGAGCCAGCCTCGCCGTGTCGCAGCTTGCTTGTAAGATCTGTGTCCGACAGGTGGAAGGGGAGGGGCAGATTTTCCAGCTGCACACAGATATCCAGGAGGTGAGGATGAGATTGTTACCTATGCAGGTACAGAAAGTTGCACCGACGCTCACGCAGCTGCTTGTCCCTGTTAAACTAGACCCTCCTGCCTCACTCGCCGCTCCCGTCGGGAAGCCCCTGTCTACCTTCTTCACAAGTGGGACCGTATGCCTTTCGCCTGCCTGACTCCATCCGCCAGAAGATCTGTGCCAGTCTTGATGCTCCCAGTGCCCGAGGGTGCGACTGGAGGCTCCTGGCTCGCAGTCTGGGCTTTGACAGGTCAGATCCATCTCCCACAACCTTTAAAGTGAAGGTCAGTCACCATTAGTGGTCTATTTTCCAATAATTAGAGCTTCTTTCTTTCATTCAGGTATTTGAACTACTTTGCCACAAAGCCTAGCCCCACAGGTGTTCTTCTGGACTTATGGGAGGCATGTCACCAAGGTGATGCAGACTTGGTCTCTCTGGCGACAGCACTGGAGGAGATGGGCAAAAGTGAAGTGCTAGTTGTCATGACAACAGATGGGGATTGTTGATTGGTGCGAGGAACAAAAAAAGTAGAAGAAAAAGAGCAACCCTTTTTTGTCCCACCGCGGTGAAATAAGAATACTTGCCGATGAATATGCACATGTTGACACAAATCCTTCATCAGCAGAGCTTTTTGGTTGCTTCACACGTGCTGTATTACCTCTGCCTCACCTTCTCTTTCAGTGACCCATAATCAGCTGCTGTAGCGACATGTCAACCATCACTATGTTGGCCCGTCCAACTGCCAAATGGATTCAGCCTGGACTCTCCAAAGCAATGTTGCATCTGCAGAACAACAAACCCATTTTTTAGCCAACTGGTGTCAAGTCTTTTGAAAATTGTGTTAATCCTGTGTATCAACAAAAGTGCTTTAGGGTAAACCAGCTAACAACTAAAATCCATGCATTAAGACTCTTAAAGGTGCATTAAGTAAGAATTTTACAGTAAAATGTTCACAAAGAGGTCTAATGTCTCAGTCATATTGGAAGGAAGGTTACACTGAAACATGTTTCAGTATCAGCCAGCTGGGGCATTGCCAGGTTCTCTCTTTTTAAAACAGCCTCCATACTTCCTGGTTCAGAGCCAATCATATGTGAGTCCGCAAAGCTGCCAAGTCTTCAGCACAAACACAGAGTCTACATTTGCCAGCAAAAGGCAGCAGCGCTGTGCAAAAACTGAAACCAGAAAACAGGAGTGACCAAGAAGTTATTTTTTGGTACTTGCATATTTTTTGTTTTACACTAATATCGGGTGAAACAGGCTAGAGGCTAACGTTGAGCTAACATTGAGCTAAAAATGTCAAGCTTTTTTTTTTCATTTAGCCACAAATCTATATTACCATATAATGTATTTATCAACATATCAACTTACTGCGTATGACTCGTCTTCACTCGACACCTAGGATCATCTGACACTGAACCGTAACTGGCAACCGGAATGATACTCATGACAGGCAGTTGAGAGCGGTCTCTTTTGTTTGGACACAGGGACTGCAGTACCCATATTTGACCACAAGATGGCATTCTTACTTCATGCACCTTCAATGCACAGAAACACAAAAACGTGGAGATGAGGAGCACTTCAGTAGCAACATGAATGCAGATGACCTAACATCCCCACCTCATGGCAGGGGCCTTTGTTTTGAATGACAGGCAGCTCCAACCTGCCTGCAGCCACACACACATACACACACACAAAGCGGGGACGTCTTGTCTATCCATTTTGGATCGCTATCGAACCCCCGAGGTTTCCGTCATATCACTTTTGGCTGTGGGAAAAATACATAAATAACTAAAGCTGCCTCTTCTTTGTGGAAGGAGATGAAATAGCAAAGTTTGTTTTAGGACTGGCAGATAACTTGACTGACTCTTTTTATTCTACCAACAAATGCCTCAAAGCCTCGGCATATCATCCTGCCTCACAGGGGTGTTTCTCTTTCATGTCTCCCTGCATTCCTCCAGAACAAACTGCATCTTCCCTTAAAAGTTTCCTTTGGGGAACGCTCTTTAATTTATTATCCATATTTGTGGATTGCATTCATTGTATTTTCTTTTTTTTCCACTCATTGTCATCGACAGTATAATCATAGAGAACAGGCTTTACCGTTTGTGCTTCTTTAGATTTATCGAGCTGCTCCGTACTTTTTGTTTTATTTCTCACCCAGATGTTTGGCACACAGTTGATGTGTGTAAGGAATAAAGAAAAATGTGTTTATCTTATTTTAAATGTTGCACATCTATTCAAAACGACCCAGTAAGAATTCCTGGTGAGTTTAGCGTTAAGAGATGATTATGGGATAAATTAGCCTTATATTGAATTGATCCGGCAGCACGGGACCATGTACACTAAATTACCTCAGCACTAACGAAAATATGTTGCAGTTTATCCACTTATTATTGTATTTTATTCACATTTGTCCCTTTTTTCTCCCCTCAAATAGAAAATGTATTGATTTGTTTTTTGATTCTGGAGCTGCCTGCCTTTTGGTCGGGATCCTCAGCTAGCATTGATCTGCTAGTCATCTACAAATGTATCATTTATTGTTTTATTTCCTCTCCCTTAAAAGCAAAAACAAGTGTTCATATCTTTAAAACAACAGAAACCAAAACGCCGGCAGTATCCCTCCTCTTCAGCAGTGAGTCACGTCACTGTTGTGTGAATGAATGAAGACACGTGTGTGTGTGTGTGTGTGTGTGTGTGTGTGTGTGTGTGTGTGTGTGTGTGTGTGTGTGTGTGTGTGTGTGTTTTAGAGAGAGAGAATGTTCTTTCATGTGGGCAGGTTGATGTTCTCATACAAAATGTGTACATTATTAAGAACTGTCTTTATACGTGCTATGCAAGTGCTAAAGAACACTGAAGCATTTCAACTTCTTTTGTTTCCTGGAAGAGTAAATCTATTTTTTCAGATCAGAACATTGACAGGGTTTTGATTTTGTATCCTAAAGTGGTTTAAAGGAAGGTTACTTGTTCCCTTGGGAGATGCCGGGCCGTGTACTGGAAGTGTTGGATCACTCTCCCAGGATGTTACAAACAACACACACAGAGCGGGTTCAGCATTGGCGTTGGGAGTGCATGTCCTGCAGGTCTTTGCCATGAGGAAATCCCTGACCAGACCCCACTCAGAACTCTTTTGGATCCCCGAACACTGCAGGACAATTCTCTTTCCTCGGTTCTTGTTACACAAACTGGCCAGGTGCAGACTACAGTGTTTATCTGTCCACATTTCCCGAGCGCCTGCTGGGTTGTCGGCCATATTGCTGGATATATATATTTTTTTTATTTTTGCCGGAGCTCTGCTGCACTTGAAGATGCTCCTTTCAAAGAGGTGAAAACTCAGCCATCGTTCAAGAAGTCAAGACATTTTTACAGAAAACTAAATGGACTCAGTGACATCCTTTTGTCTCTGTAATGTACCAATTGTACATAACTGTCTAGCCTTCTTACTTGTAACTAAACATAATTTTTATGCAATAAATTATATTTCTTAGTTTAACTTCAGTGTGTGTGTGTTTTTGAGCTTTTAGTCTTAAATGGCATCTATTTCATGATTTTATCTGAAAATGTGGAGCTACTCACCCTGCCCTTTTCTTCACACCTCACTGAGAAATTCCCTTTAGGTCCATTTAGCTTCGAAAGCTTTTAACTGGCAGGGAGACGAGTCCTCACATTAAACGCTCTTGGAGACACAAACAGTTGCCTTGAAGGAGACACGGTTATTTACATCAAGGCTTCTTTTAACCTCAAGATTTTTTATGACTGCAGGATCAAACTGGGCTTTTATTGTCTAGAAAAATGTCCAAATTAGATAAGATGAGACAATTTTATTCATAAGAGTTGGTAAATGTACACGGTATAAAAAATAACATAGATCTTACGGTAAAACACCGGCAGCTGAATGGTACCGTACAATTACGGGCATTTTTTTTCTTTTATGGTAAGAAGGTATTTTTCTTGTTTTTACATTTAAAAATAGTACTGAAGTCAGTATTTTACTGTAGAAGAAAATATTTTTACTTGAAAAAAATATTGTTTTACTGTAAAACAAACATGACAATAATGTATACAATAAAATGTATGCCAATAAAAACTGTTTTTCCCACTAAAACAAAATTCAAAAGGTTTTCCTCAAATCAATTCATAGAATGAAATAACTGATTAAATGCCATTAACTCATTCACTGCCAGCTGTTTCCTGATCAGAAAAGCCCTTCGCTACCAGTGTTTTTCAGCATTTTTATTGTTTTTTTAAGAGTCACAGAACATTACGCGCTACTACGATGATGTCAACGCTAAAACTACCAAAACAAAGAGTAGACTCACTCATGCTTCTGCGTCAGTGCTAACTAGCTAGCACCTAAATGCAGCTAAGCACACCGGGAAACAGGAAGTGAATGTTCACACCATTACCATCAACAAAAAGCTATGTTTTTTTCAGTAAATAAATGTAAAAATGATAGCGTTTTACCGTTGTAAATTTTAAGGATTTTTTCCGTAAAGAAAACTATGCAAGAGTGCTTTACAGTAGAATTATGTAGTTTTCACAAAGAAAAAAATGTTCAAATTATTGTTTTCACAAATTAATTTATTTACAACAACTTCACGTAAAATCATCAGTTTTAGAGAGTTTTATAGTTGACCAGTTTTTCCTGTCATGGTTTCACAGTTTATCACTGTTAAAAATACGGTTATTTTTTACAGTGTACGTTGTTATTATTACTGAGACAAACATAAGAGATATGTGGCCATTTGCTTAGTGGAAAAGCTTAATTTACCTTTCGTTCCTGAGGCCAAAAAGAAACCAGAAGTTTATCAATTTGTGACTTTGATCAGCTTCTTTTTTTTTTTTTACCATGTCCTGTCTGGCTGTGAAGCAAGCAGAATTGATGTCTGAATGCTGGTGACAAGCCTTACAGATTTACTCTCAGGTGGAGCATCAAAGCGTCTGCTTTTAATGTCACGCCTGATACTTAAAACTTTATTGTTATTGTTTTTGAATGCTTTGTAATTCCGACCAGACACGGAGACAGAGGTGAAAGAGAAAGGAAAAGAAAAGGTGGTGAGAGGGGGGGGGGGGGGGTCCACAAAAATAAACAATAATGAACAAGAGTCTGCTTCTAGACCTGCAGAAAAAGACTAAAAAAAAGCAAAAGGGCAAAAAAAAGGGACACAACAACAATACAACAAGATCAAGCTATCACTGCATCAACTTGATGAAGAAATATATAATCAACATTGCTTAACTGAAGAATCACGATAATAAATCACAGTGCATTAAGTGCCCACCATAGTCTTAAGACATGTGTTGAACGTGCCCAAGCCCATACTTTTGAGAGCACCATGTGAGCACCTGTGTGTGTACACGCGCTTGTTTATGTAAGGTTTCTCTCTAGGAGCGTCCAACAGAGAGTGTGAGGGACCACAGATCCGCCCTCCAAAGATGCGTAGGAGACGGGGGGAGCTCCAAGTCCCAGAGATCCAGGCACTGCCCCAGAACACAGGAACCCCAAGGAGACTGCAACCAGAAAGGCCCCCGCCCCACTCAAGAGGCACAGAGGATCGCCCCGGAGGGCCACAACCAGCAGCCGGCAGAGTCCCAGGAGACATCAGCGGCAAGCCCACAGGCCCGCCCGCAGCCTCCCACCCCCTAGCCGGCCGAGCCCGGGACCCAGCGACCCGGGACCCAGGGACGACCACCCCCGCCGGGGACCCAGCAGAGCCCAGGGACCCAGACCCCACCAGGCAGCCACCGGGATCTATCAGGCAGATGCCAAAATCTTAAACCCCCAGACCCGGTTGCCACAAACACTCAGGCAGACCAAGGCACAACCCCTCACACCATGTGTGGCAGGGGGACAAAGATCTATATCATCACTTTGATCAGCTTCACCTTTCCTTGTTGATTTGTTTCATAAAGATATTTTTAGCCTCTTTTTTCCATTGTTTACAATATAATCCAAGGGTCGAGCAAGTTTTCTCTTCAGGCAACCAAACAAATTCACTTCCTACTTTGTTTTATTTAAATGAGAACATTCAGTTTCATTCTGTTAATCAAATGTTGGGATTTTGGTTCTACAGAAGAAGATGCCATATGTGCTGCATTATGGCGCCATCTTCTGGAAAATTTGGCTCAGTAGAGACCCCTCTAACCCAACACAAATAAATAAATAATAATAAATCGAAATCATGGCAGTTTATTTAAAGTACAAAGTAAAAGTTTAAAATGACTAAAATGACTTTTGCAGCTTAGTCGTTGCAAAGAGAAAAAATATTTTATGAAGTTATGAATACTTTTTTCCAATAAATAAACACAAATTTGGCTTGAATTTTTAACACTACACATTTCTGATTAATAAACTGTCAGCTGCAAGCAAGACTAATAAAAGTAAATCCAGTTATTAGATTTAATTAAGTTTGATGGATATTATAATTTTGTTTCTTGTGTAATCCCAAAGTTTAATTCAACACTTTCAAACTATGCTTGTTTTCATCTTATCTACACATATTTCACAGACTACTGCCTGATTCATGCTTCTGCGTTAGTGCAGAGACACGCAACGCCATTATCCGTCCTTGCGGGCCTTCTGGAGAGCCCCGCAAGGACGGACGGAGTCAAGCTCTCGTTTCTAAACATCCGTCTGGTCGAGACAGAGAACGCAAGCTTGTGATTGGTCAGGCCACCACTGTCATCTCCGACCACCACATATATATATATATATATATATATATATATATATATATATATATATATATATATATATATATATATATATATATATATATATATATATATATATAAACTTCTGAACCATGGGTTTCTGGAAGAACAAAAACATGAATGCAAGTCAACAGGGCTAAAAAAACGCTATTTTCAATTCAATTCAAGTTTATTTATAAAGCGCCAAATCACGACCAGAGTCGTCTCAAGGCACTTCACATAGTAAACATTCCAATACAGGTCAGTTCATTAAGCCAGTCAGTAACACGTTACCTAAGGAACCCAGCAGATTGCATCGAGTCACTGACGAGTGTCAGAGTCTTTACAGTATTTTCTAATCCCATTTGTTTTATTATTATTAATAACAATAATAATAATAATAATAATAATAATAATCAAACTTACATATCGCTTGTTTAGGACACTCAAAGACACTTTCACACATTCTCACATTCACACACTGCTAGTGATGCTAAGCTACTTTGTAGCCACAGCCTGGGGCAGTTTGACAGAGGCGAGGCTGCCATCTGGCACCATCGGCCCCTCTGACCACCGCCAACACAGGCAAGTTGGGTGAAATTTCTTGCAAGGACACAACAGCAGGACACCCCTGGCAAGAGCTGGAATCGAACCCATGACCCTCCGATCATGAGGCACCTGAGATGCCACTGTTTTGTGCCATGGATTTCACACATGATGTCAGTGAATTTTAAAAACACATTTTGATAGTTCTTGGCGCTTACTTTCGAACGGGGGGGAATGCTATTTTAGGTTATCTGTGAAAATAAGTCCAGGACTACAAATGTGTTTCACAAAAGTGACGTCATCGAACTAGACACTGAGAAAACTGAAGGAAAGTGGCAGTAAATTCATCAAACTTCCCACAGAAGGAAAGAACCACCATAAATCTGGCCATGTGGGAAGTAGCAGGTACGTTAGGGGAGAGGAGATTATGTGGTGACCGTGACGTCACATGCGACGTGCAATTTCTGGTGTGTAGACATGCTAATTACGAACTTTTACAAGCTGATAAATCTCAAAGTACATGACTGGCGTGCTCGAAACACCCTGTGTGATGTGGAAACTGAAAATCTGTACCCTGGCTGCGGGATGATTACCCCCTTGCTACCAAACCCAACGAGGAAGACCTCTAAACCTCCCAATTGGACTGAACCTCCCACTGGTGCACCTTTAGTTCATCTCCCCTGAATTAAACTCATTTACTTTCTTCTGAGTCTTTGGTTTGAGTTCACTCATTTGAGTCCTTCCATCCTCATCATGACCAAAATATTGTAAAAACTACATTTTTGCCAGTTCTTTTTGAAAATATGGAGATCTGAAAGTCACTTTACAGGTTTTAGCTTTAACACAGTTACAGAAATATTTTCAGTTAAAAATATTATTTATAATTGCATCATGAAACTGAGAAGTTATCATGTGCTGCTGGGATCATGAGGGAGTCAGGACAAATATCAAATGATTACTCTGATAAATGTTTAATGGATAGCTCAACTGGTAAGGCTTACCCGCAGACTTACATGCAGAGGACCCGGGCTGAAATCCAGGCTGGGACAAATAACAACGACCAGTCTAAGTCATCAGGTAAGGCCCTTGGTGCTAAGTCCTACCTCATGTCATGATGTACAAACTACTGGCTGCAGTATCACCTGGCTAAATAAGTTTTGATACAAGAAAGGGTTTATTTATAAACAACATTGATATGCAAAATTAACAAATACTTTAATTTGATTTCAATCACTGTAAATTAATTTACAGTTCTTTAGTAAAGGTATTTACTGTAAAATCTACATAAAAACTCTGGTAACCACAGCTGCCAGGGATTTCCTGTAAAAACAGTTTTTTTTATTTTACAGTGTACAGCAAAAAGCGTTAAAAACTACAGCGTTGCGCGGTACAGTCTGCATTTCCGTCTTTTTTCTGATTGGTTGTTTTTGAGCTGGCTAATACCGCCCCTCAAGTGCCTCTCTGCCTGTGAGTTAGAGACTCTTTCTCTGTACAGAATTGAACAGAGGATGAGTCTGGCGGTCGAGGCTGTAAAAATCACACCCTGTGGTAAAATTAGGTTACTGCAACAACTTTAAACTATTCTGGAGCTTTTTGCCAGCCGTAATCAAATTACAATTGTCGGCACTGCAGTGTTAGCTGACAAGAGACATGGCAACCCCACACTCACTGATGGTAAACAGCCTTGACACCCAACATCCGCCAAAGATGTTCCATCACCCCAGAGGTGAAGTGAGTTCCCCTATCCGAGTTAACATGTTCGGGGAGACCGAACCGGGAAAAGATGTGGTTCATCAAGAGGACAGCAGTTGTCTGAGCCGTGTCGTTAGAGGCCGGCAGACACTCAACCCATTTGGTGAATGCACAGGTCACGGTCAAGAAGTATTTATTACCTCTGCTGGACTTGGTCAGGGGCCCCACCCAATCAAATTGCAGGTCCGATCACGGTGTGGACGGCCCTCTACTCTGAAGAGGAGCTCTGTGGATGTGGTTAGATGGTTGAAATTGACAGCAAACCAAACAGCTCTGGATGTAGTCTGAGACATCTCGACGCATCCCCGGCCAATAAGCAACCTGGCTCAGGGCACCGAACGTGGCCTTGACACCTTTGTGCCCAGATGAAGGAGAATCATGAGCTTGTGCTATCATACCCACTGGACCATCTGGTTGTCAGTCTCCCTGAACCACTGCACTTGCTGGGCATGCAAAGTGTGCATCGAGGAGCAGTCTGGACATCAGAGTCATAATCAAATGTGTTTTATTGCCATATGTGCAAGAAATCACAACATTAGGAAATTGCTGCTGCACTTGGTGCAAGAAAAAATAAACGATAAGCAAAATTTTGAATTAAGAAATAAACACAATGAAATTATGATAATACAGGGAGGCAATAATTAGAGAAGCGGCTACTTTAAACAAGTCAGCGTAGGTACTGGTTAGAGCGGATCGGTTCAGGTGCAAACGCAACACAGGGTCGGGTGACAGAAGCAACAGGAGTGGGCAGTTCTCGACATTCATGAGTCTGACCACAGAGGGGGAGAAACTGTTTTTGTGGCAAGAGGTTCTGGTCCTTTCTGTGCCTTTTTATAAAGGAGAGGTGAAGTCCATGATGAAACACAAAGCTACAGAGAGAGATGGTAGAAACTGTGGATGAGAGAAGAACTGGCACGTGGGATTTTCATCATCCAGAAGACAGTGGGTAGGATGAGGACAGTGGGACGTAATAGAAGGGAAGAGGTTGTACTCTCCAGATTATGTTTTGGTCATACAGATTATTATTGCTATTATCATTTTATCTTGTGGCTGCTGGTATTTTAAACTTTTATTTATTTATTTATTTATTTATTTATTTGTTTGTTTATTTATTTATTTATTTATTTATTCGTTGGGGGGGATTCTGGTAGTGCCTACTTTCCAGTAGGGGGCGATAAAGCACCTTTAAGTTGCTTAAACCGCCAGAAAACATCACAGAGAAGAAGCGGTGACAGTTGTGCTGAATGCGGCACTTGAACTTCTAGCAACATCAGTTCAGTGATGAGGTATGTGTGTTTTTTTCCCTGTGCTTTATTCTTTAAAGCAACGTTTGACCCGAGTTGGGTAATTTAGCTACGTAGGTGTAAGCGCTAACTAGCTTACTAGCGTTAAAACTTTATGCTAACATAATGAGAAAACCGCGAACTTAAACAAAAATAACAACAAAGTGAATTACCCCTAACGTTATGTGTTGTTTTAGTTGCAGCTTCGTGTAAATCTTGGTTAAGTTTCTATCCGGTTGTGTCTGAGTAAGCATAAATACTAGTTCCTCATTGGTGACAGTCAGATTAAAATATCAGCTGTTTTTTATTAGCTTCGTTAAAAACTCAAAGCTTGATTTATTCCAGGAAGTTATGTCAATGAAAGCCTGTTTTACTCCGTTTTTTTACCACCTTCTACCATTATTATTCTACAAGTGGATCGCTGCTGGCTTTTTTCTCGTGGTTTAGAGGTTTGCAGAAGAGAGGTGTGATGCAATTGTTGCTGCTTTGAGTCACAAGATGCCCTAAAACACAAGCTGTGAGAATCGCAGAAGAAGGCCCTATAGGCAAACATTTTTCTGTGTGAAGACTTCTTAGTTCGCCAGGTTGATACACATGTGGGACTCTTACATGTTTAATTTAGTGTTGATTTAAAAAATCCTCTCATCTGATCCACAGCTTTCAGTCGAATACCATCCTCTTCTGTGCTGTGCAGCTTTCCTTTTTGTCTCCCATCTTCACTTACCTCGGTCCTCTGTATGAAAATGAACCACGCAGAAGCAGCACACCCAAGTGTCAACTCGTCTTACCTTCCAAATTTACACGATGAACAAAGTGCAACAGAAGATGAGGGTGAGGACTGTGGTCCTTCTGCATCTCTCGTACCAAAACTTTCCTCGACACCCCTCGCTGTGCGCTTCAGTCCAGAGGACTCGTATAATCTGGTTTACATCATCTTTTTTGTGATGGGCATCAGCTCCCTGCTGCCCTGGAACTTTTTCATAACAGCCCGGGACTATTGGACCTACAAACTTAACAACAACACCGTTCACGGTGAACAATCAGACCTCAGTGTAAGTAGCAGAGCTTCTCTGTGATCTTCAGCTCCCTCTGTGTGCACAGAACTTTGTGTGTTTGTCAGTTTCTGCATCTTTAGGACAGAAAATAAAACTGATGGATACTGATAGCAAGTTTTATTTCATAAATTCATAAGAAAAAAAACCTTTGCAAGAAAATCAAGCAGATAAATGAACATTTTATTTCTTCTCTTCCTTTCAGTTTACATTTTGTGTGAAAGCATGTGAGAATGTGATTGTTCTCTTGTTTGAAAGGATCCTTTAACACAAATGCCTGTTCTTTCTCTGCAGGTCAACTTTGAAAGTTATCTGTCTGTTGCCTCCACAGTACCCTCCCTGCTGTTTCTAATACTCAACTATTTCCTTGTAAACAGGTTAATATCTTACACATAATTAAATATATCAGCAAATAGATTGTGTTTTTATTTGAGTTAACCAATAGAAACTACAGAAATACCCAGTCAGTCTTTGATCAGCTCGAGCCTAATCCCAAGTGCATCTGTGTGTTTATTGACAGGTTGTCTCCAAACTTTAGAATCCTATCATCTCTCATTGTGATGCTGTTGGTGTTCGTGTTGACCACGGCGCTGGTGAAGGTGGATGTGTCGGACCGCAGGACAGAGTTCTTTGTCGGCACTCTTGCCAGTCTGGCAGTCCTCAGCGGAGCCTCCAACCTGTTATGTGGCAGCGTGTTCGGGTTTACCGGATATTTTCCCATGAGGATCTCTCAGGCCCTGATAGCAGGTGGCGTCCTCTGTCAGTTTTAGAGCCTGGCTTTAGTTTTTCTGTCAGGTTGCTTCAGATAGTGGAGGAACTGATTTCCTTACACAATTGGTAAAATTACCAATCCATTTAGGGGGATTAAATGTTGAAATCAGACCCTGGACATGGCCCGGTTTCACCAGATGCTTTAGTTAATGCTCTAATATTTTGTCTGCTTGTCTGAAGTCTGGTTCAGTAGGTTTCCGGGTATTTGATTGCGTTGTTTTTCTCTCCCAGGCCAGGCCATGGGGGGTACGTTGAGTGCAGTAGCATCAGTAGTGAACCTAGCTGTAACTGAGGACATAACCAACAGCACACTCTACTACTTCCTCACAGCTGATGTCTGCATCCTGCTCTGCATCATCGCATATTTACTTTTGCCCAAGCTGGCTTATTCAAGGTCAGTTGCAGCAAAATTGTTTTTGTCCTTTCTCATTCTGCATGTTCCGAACACATGATTTTAAAAATTCTCCTCAGTTGTCAGTAATTTTGTATTTATAGCTGCTTGTTTTACGCCATCAGCAAGTGAAAACTAATCTTCATTTGCCATGTTGTTAATGCATCAAGCATGCTTGATCTGATGAGATGAAATAGTTTGACAGTTTAGTTCCACTGAAAGATGATTTGAAGATAATTCGGTCATCAAAGCAACAGCTCACAGAACAAGTCCAACTTTTGTTTTCTGTTTCTAGTCACTACATTCAGGCAGCAAAGCGTGTCGGTCCAGGATCCATCAGCGAGAGTCGGACTGCACATGCTGTTCCACCCCTGCAGCCCATCTTGAAGAAGGCATGGGTTCTTGGTCTGAGTGTCTTCGGTGTCTTCTTTGTCACCATCTCAGTGTTTCCATCTGTATCGTCGGGGATCCAGTCTATGAACAAGGACAGCAACAGTCCGTGGACCACCACATACTTTATGCCCATTACCAGTTTCCTGTTATATAATGTAGCAGACTTCTGCGGCAGGCAGGCGACAGCCTGGGTGCAGGTCCCTGGTCCCACCAGTCCAGTCCTGCCGGTCCTGGTGCTGTGTCGCGTTGTCCTGCTGCCGCTCTTCGTGTTGTGTAACTACCAGCCACGGGACCACCACCACCCTACTGTTGTGTTTAACAGTGATGTGTACCCCATAGTTTTTAACTGCCTTCTAGGTCTTTCCAATGGGTACCTGGGCACGCTGCCCATGATCTATGGGCCAAAGGTGGTACCTCGGGAGGTGGCGGAGGCCACGGGTGTGGTGATGACGTTCTTTCTCGCCCTGGGATTGGCTGCTGGGTCTGCGTTTTCTGTGCTGGTTGTGCACAGCATCTGAATTTTGAAACAAAAACCTGCGAACAACACTACAGTCAGTTGAAACTGTGCCAACAGGAGTGTTGAAATGTACAGCGAGTTGTGTTTAAGGGAAAGTGCAATCAAGCTTCTCATTTTCACCGGACCAATAACTATTTTTGTTGTTTCCAGTCGCCGTTGTTCACCTTAAGTGTTCTATACACAAACTTTCAGGTCATATTGAAGAGATTAGTTTGTATGTAACGGGTTGCTTTGGATAATCTGTAAATCAGACATTTTGTAAATTGTAATAAAAAAAAGTAGATTTAAGTGAAAAGTTGTGTAAACTAATACTGAAAGTGTGCTGAGCTCAGCAAGTCTCAATAAACAGGACGTTGGGGAAAGGGGGGATTGAGTTCATTCTGATTTTCACATCCTCTTTTCAACGTTTTTCTGAGCAGGAAAACAAGAAACATCTGTTCATGTTTGACGTTCGCTCTGGTCCACCTCTAGCAAGCCAGCTGTCGCCATCTCAAAGGTCATTTTTAATCACCTACCCAGAGGGTTTAAAGGGGACATGACTTAAGTTGTAACAGTTCTACGGTCGATACAAACCAAGTTTATGAAGTTCTTTACACAAAGTCCCTCTCACAAAGATTTCAGCAGTTTTATTCTTGCCGTTTCAGTATCTTCCGACACCAGTTGTTTCAGGGCTCTGTCCTTATAAGAAATCATAAAACGAGTTCAAGTGAAAGTATATCATTTCCAGTGCTTTATTAGCAATCAGGCAACCAACAACGGCGTAACAGAAATTTTTGAAATGGTGAATCAAAGTGATTTATGCATAATTAAATAAAATTGCAGGAGATCAAAATAATGTTAAAATATACATAAACTAATAAAAACACTAAGCCAATGACTTTAGCTTATATGTAACTTGTTGAAACTACATAGAACATTTTTCAATCATATCAAGTTCAAATCTTCAGATCTTCAAAAGTAATTTAAAAAAATGTAACCTGACTGTGCCGTGCCAAATGAACAAATTGCACATGCAATAACAACCATTGTCCAAGTCATTTCAGAAAAGGCTCCAGCAGGCCTTGGGGTCCACTTTGTTAGCACTAGGGGCTTCACAGGATGTGCATGTTGCACTCCTCCCTGTTGCCAGCCACGACCTCACATAACTCTGTGCATTAAATTGATCCAATGGTGGTCCGTTGCATTTGAGGAAAATCGTTTTGAAAGCCTTTTGATGTGAAGTGAGTTTCTTTTATCAGTGAGTGTCATTCATTGAACTGAACGCTCGTTCACATCAACTTGATACTGCAATGGTGTGGGCAGCTTTAAGAAGAGCTTCAGGGCTGCTGGTATCTTGGAAGCTTTTAGGTCTTTATACTCCCTAAATCCTGAGACACTTTCCCTTTCCTCAATTTTGAATCTCACATAAACGCCTGACCTCCGCATCGCCGTACTGAATATCTGGTGTTGCAGGCCAGGAGTCAGACTGGAGGACCTGGATATCCTTGAGGAGTAGACTGTCTTTATAGTCGAGGTTCTGCTGACATGTAGCCGGTCAGAATGGAGTGCAGGATGACTCCTAAGTTGTTGGAGTCATCCTGCACTCCACATTTACAGCCAGGCTACGGAAAAACTGCGGGATAGATTTTTGGAACCCTTTAATTTTCATGCAGCTTTACATCACTGAAGATTTTCTTCTCTTCTGCTTCAATTGCCACTTGTGTTTGTGGGCCAGGTGTGGATACTATTGACTCAAAGACACGGATTTGCCGGGCTAGCAACCTGTCGGCTTGGTCCAATGTCACATCTCGTCTCTGGAGCATTCTTGAGAGGCCACTGAGTTCTGTGAGAGCATCATACATGACACTAAGATTGGCCACAAAGGAGACAGAAGTAAGAACGTAATTAAGTCCTTTGTATTTTGCTCTCTCTTGAATCCCCGTTGGTATCAGCAGCAGCACTTGTGAAGTGCATCTGCAGAGCTTCATAGTTTTCCCATACTGCTTTCACTGTTCTCTCACTTGAAGCAACCCAACACACTGATAAAACACATCCTATCACAAGAAGACGCTGTCCAACACTATGAGCACTCTCGGTTAATTCTCTTTGGTTTTTTGGGGATGCATGGTAGAGGGAGTACAGCTGATCTAAAAAAAATTGAAGTGATTGATTCCCCCAGCCTCCTTCAAAACATCACATACTGCCAGTTCCAGTCTGTGGTTGGAACAATGCCAGACAAACTAGTTAGGGAATTTGCAACAAAGCTGTGCAGCTACACCTGCTTTCCTCCCAAGCATCACTGATGCTCCATCAGGGTCAAAGCCATCCTGCTCCTGCTGCAAGATCACTCAGGTGACGTGGTAGTCCCATAGAGATGTGCCTCTGTGTCTGTGGTGTCTGGCAGGTGTAATGTGACTTCCGACAAAGGCTTATGCGCTCCCTCCTTCACGCACTTTGAGTGCGTCACGTGCGCTCTGTACACGAATGGACTTGGAGTGGCGGCGCCGCCAGCCCCCCGCTTCATCCATGCACAAGAGGCGAATGGAGTGATTAGAAAATTAGAGAGGGGCGGGGCCAAAGGGGAGCTTGCAAAAAGGTTTAAACAGACGGACGTGACGTGCAGCACGTCTGAGCGTTCCAGTACTCCATGAGAACGTTCTCAGCTCTGGAGAAGTAGCGGTACTCTAAAGAGATATTTTTAGAAGTGCCGGTACTGAGTACCGGCGCGTACCAGCCCACTTAAAGCACTGCTTTTTATAAATAAAGAACTTAAGGACCTCTATCTGCTCTTGATTGAACCCTTGTGTTAGAAAGCTGTTTACACCTGTAGTCATAAGCGGGTCCATTTGGTCCCATGATTTAGAAATGTTTAAAATCAGTAGGATAAAGACATGTCTTTCTTTTTTAACCCGGAAAATCAACTTTTAACTAGACCAATTAACCAAACAATTCTCATTGTTGATTTTAAGGTTGAACACTGTGTGGCTGTGTGCGCACACATGCACCTGCATTGACCATAAACTGAACATTGAAAATATGGTGTTAACGCAGGTATGTTGTTCTGAATTAACCATAATCTAAACAATGAAAATAAACCATAATTTGAACTGCGTGTGTGGGTGTGTGTGTTGTGATGTGGGCCATAACTGTGCACATTGGGTCATAATTGAACTTCAGAGCAACCCATAGCTTTTAAGTGATGCATACAACAGCCAGTTTTCTCTTCATTTTGGACCCGTAACGTCACAGATGCAACTTTTTTTGAGACCTTTCGAATTTACTAAAATTGTGAAAATTGATTTTGCTGCATTTAAATGGGTGTGTCTGAAGATTCCAGGACAAAAAAAAAGTGTACTTGTTAAATTTGAAAACGGGTCAATTTTGACCCTAACACAACAGATGGGTTTAAGAAAAGTTCCATTTCTAAATAGTACAAAGTTGATGCCTAAGATGTTTCAAACGAGCCGTCGCCTTCTTTGCACAATGCCCTGCTCACCAAATTGCTAAGCACTGTGATTGGCAAGGCCGAGACTGCTGAGGTTCCCATGGAGCTTGCCTAGACCGTCCTGCAGAGCTAAACAGTTTTGCGTCTGATTTCTAGGCTAGTAGAGAGCCACATGGTAGCAGTGGGAGTTTTGTACATGTCTCATTTAAACAAAAACAAATCTGAATAAAGTCAGCGAGGATGGGTGGGGAAAAGAATGGAAAGTAGTTTGGGAATCACTTTATTAGTTAAATTCAAATTCACAAATCAACTGACAATTGGCAGAAAGCATCAGGCAGACATCTGGATTTGTAATTCTGTGCATTAAGACACATTTATAAACATTAAGAGTGCAAACAATGGGAGGTAACCTCCAGATCAGCATAAAAACAGCAGATCTACAAAATGTGTTTGTTCAAGGATCAAACATACTGCAAAGAAATGCCAGTTAGTAGTACACAAGATTTGTTCTCCCATTTATAAGCAAATGTAGCTGATGGGGGGGGGGGGGTCTGAAGTTATTAACATGATCCTGAAAATTAGTTTTTTTATACTTCACGCTCAACAAAAGAAACTAAAACAATGAAAATGACTGTAGCTCACATGTAATCACCCCCACCCCCACCAAACACTTGGGAAACAAAGAAATGAAGTCCAGTCCCTTTCCACCTTATTAAAAAACATTTAAATCACACACTGCAGCTGTTTTAGCATGTTACAAATCAAAAGAGTGGAAAGCAGCACTACAGTATTTCATCTCCCCTGCAGCTCAGGACGCAGTAGTTCTCTATGCCCACACATGGCGTCTGCAGTGGGCCACAGCCTGGAGGACACAGAACAAGTGTTTTAGACAGACAGGCCTCCAACATCGGAGTTTAAAGCATCAGTTACCAATGTTCTTTAGGCTTACACACAGAACTGATCTACTCACATTGCACAGAGAAGCCGTTTGCATGTTCTTGCACCAGAAGTCTGGTCCCCAGGAGCAGCGCTCTGTTCCCAGCAGCTTTCGCGTCGCTTCAGGGCACGCTCCCACTTTCTGTTCCCACAGAAACGTCCAGAAAGTCAAAATGTGAAACAATTGATTCAGCAAAACATGAGTTAAGTAATAAACCTGTAGGTAGCATATTCTTTAAACAGATAAAACTTACTGTGCACACAAAGTCTGGGTCAAGCATCTGGAGCATCATCTGGACAAGCATGGGCTCGTACTGCTCGATCAACTGGTCACACTGTTGATACACAGATGTTATTACAGGTCAGAACCACAGCAGGGGTTTATTCTAGAAAGCAAAGCTACAATTTACCTCGGTCCTGTAAGAGTCTGGCAGGAAGCTGCAGACTTTCTTGACAGCTTCCTCGATCTCAGCTTCTGTAGCATTCTTCTCCAAAATGCCATCTATGTATTTCACCGCCAGCTTGCACACATCACAGTATCCTCCAGCCTCAAAACGGGGCTGGTTCAGTACCTCTGAAAACAATTACTGTTATTAGCTTAAGGGGAACTGTTAAAATGCATCAAAAATAAGCATATACAATATGCAAATATACATAAGCTTTTCTTCTTTCTGTCCCCTTTTTCATTTGGGCTTGTAGTGATTTTTTTCTGTATTTTTATTTTAATGTCAATAAATGAAAAATGAAATAGGAAAAAAATGATTCCAAATATCAAATAATTTAAGTGATAACTCAGGGTTTCCCTTACATAGCCGAAATCCCACCGCCACGCCTACAAGATCCCAAGTTTTTTTTGTTTTGTTTTTTTTTTTGCGCCATTTCCCAAAGAAGCAGCGGGAACTACTATGTTGTCGCTTGTGATCACAGCCGGCGGGCAGCAAGGAGGAGCAGGCAGGGCGCAGTTACAGCACAAGTTACTGAGTTTAAAATTAGAAAGGTAGCAGTGGATATAATGCTTTTTGGTTTACATGTTTCAGCAGCATTAAGATAAACAAGTGTTGACGATCTTGACAGGTTTTCCTCCAGTGCTTACTAGGCCAGGTTCTCCTCCCCCCACCAGGCTAAGCATCACTTATTCGTGTAAAGTTAATTAATTTATTTAATTTTCATGTCTGATTTTAACCGCATCTAATACTGTATTACGGCGTGAGCGCAACAGCGACAACTTAAGATCGATGTGTGAGCAGCGTGAGAGGTCGGGTGTTTTCATCTGAACCCTTAAAACCTCCAGCAGGCTACGCTGCACTATTGACGCGTTAGCGCACGGCGCTAACAACTTAGCGATGCGACATGTCTCGGAGAAAGCGTACAAACATGTTGGACGCTTCTTCGGAAGCGGGAAAATAACACTTCTTAAGCAGAGCACCACGTCGCCTCGGCTCGTTCACGGCCGAGCCGGACTGAGCTAGATAACATTGACCCAGCACAGCCACTGGGTCGTTGGAGCTGCCCCGTGACTGCCTGATGGAAAACCAGCGGGTTTCATCAGACTCGTAAAGTTTGTTTTTGCTGGGGACCCCCTGTATTTTACCGCTCCCTCCTGCAGTCTTCCCCTATTAAAATTTAAAATGGTTCTGTAAATTTCGTGTATCAATAGAAACAATCTCTGCCTCTGCAGCTGCAGTAAATGTAGTCTCCAAATAATAAATAAGAGGTGCATTCATCTGTGTATCTCCTTTGATCCGCATGAGTGATATTCTCAGCACCAGAACAGTGAAGCAAACTGATTCCTGAGTTTGTTAGTAATTTTATTTATTAGGTGCATCTGACCTGTCCTATTTTTCTCTGAAATGAGATCAAATCAGTGCTTCTATGGGTTGGCTCCACTCTGCACTAGAAAATTTTACTTTATTTAGAGACGTGTCATAATTCCTCCCCCCCCGCCACAGCTGGAAAGATTCCTTGGGGAAACACTGTATCTTACCAACAAATGCACGGTTGGCACCATTGCAGAGAGCCAGAACTGTGCACACAGTCTTGGGGTCGGCCTGCTGCACCAGCAGCTCAATAATGGCCTGTCCGTATGTCTCGACCAGGTCCTTGCACTGGGCAGTCAAGGTGGAGGGCAGGAATGAACACACACTCTCCACGGCATGGACAATCTGCTCCTGATACGAAAACAAAAACACAATCCAGTGTCCAAGCAGGCGTTCTTTAGTCCACTTAATGCTCACGGAGACCGATCGAACCTCTGTAGCTTGATCCTCCAGCATTGACTCGACCTGCTTCATCACAAACTCACAGATAGCACAGGCCGGGGGCTCATGGACACGCACCATTTGCTGAAACGTAAATAGATCACATCTCATGACTTTCTACAAGTGACTACTTTTTCACTAAACACAGAGGAGTACGATTACTGACCTTAACAGGAGTAGACTCCACCCTCATGGCAGGAAAAAGCTGAGCAGCAGGGACGGTCTTGGCAGGCTGCAGATCCAACATGGGAGCAGACTTCACAGCAGCACAGAAACCGGCACGAGAGCAAATGTCTTTGGGTTCCTGAGGATAAAGGGAGAAAATTAGTCCGCAATTCTAAGTCAAGTGGCTTCAGCAGAAGGACCTTGTTGTGACGTGCTGTAAAAACACACATAAGAACCCTTCCGCTGCTTCAAAACGTGCAACTCTTAGTTGACCCAAGTGAGATGAAGCAACGAGAAAAGTTACGGCGCCCCTTTTATGCAACACATTATGTGCTTTTATATGAAGTGACACAATTCTAACATGCATGCTTTTGGTGTGTGGGAGAAGCCGAACATGCCAACTCCACGCAGAAATGCTGCAATTAGGACTTGAACCTGCCATTACAACTACTCTGCTATAGGTCAGTATCCACAGGAGTGAGGAGAAACAGAATAAAGTGTTTGGTTTGTTAGATCATTCACCTCTCGCAGTAACAAGTGTTTAGTACAAAATAAAAGATCTAAAAGGGTTAAACATAAACTAAAGACTACAAGCCAAAGAGAGGGACCTACCTGTTCCTGGGGAGCAGCATTTAAACGCAGAGTAGGTAGAAACAGAAAGAACAGAATGACATGAATGAAGAGTGGAAAAGACAATAGAAGTTAACTCATTCACTGCCAGCCGTTTCCTGACCAGTAAAGCCCTTCGCTGCCAGCGTTTCTCACCGTTTATTTTATTTATTTATTTTTTAGAGTCACAGAACGTTGCACGCTAGGATGATGTCGACCCCAAAACAACCAAAACAAAGCGGAGACTCACCTCTTACATCAGGAAGAACCTGCGCGTTTCGAGCGTTATCCGTTCTTTCATTATCCGTTGTTGAATTGTGATCGGAAGCTTTTCCGGTTCGCGCCTCACTTTTTTTTTTTTTACAGCAGCGGCCCAAAATGATCTCCTAACACATGGATTTTCTGCTTCCTGATCACGTGACGTATGCGGATGAAGATCGGCTAAAGAGCCGAGATATTTTTTCCTCACGGTGCGGGGGCTCGTTCCGACGCCCACATAGTAAAAACATGCAGTGAACGGTTGAATTTAAAATGACAACTTTAATCGTCAATGGCAGTGAATGGGTTAAGAAAAAAATATTTCACAGCGAGCATTTTAGAGCTTTAAACCAAAACTGAGGCAGCTGTGCAGAGCTGCTGTAAGAGCAAAAGGTGGGTTTATATCAGTGTTCACATGCTTAATGAGGAATTAGTGCTGATGACTGATTAGAACAGAACATTCTTAACATTTACAACTGATTAAAGAACTCACCATGGACATCAGCTGCTGGATGACAACCGTCCCATACTCCCCAACATACTGTTTACACTGGAGAGAAAATGCCATCAGCCCACCTCATAACTCTGTGTGTGTTTAAAACGTGTGGATCTTTGGAAAACTCACAATGTCACTCATGCCTGGCCCCAACAACTCGCACTGCTTCTCAATGCTAGCAATAAGAGCATCAACAAAGGTGGTGTTGGACTTGGCTTCATTTTGGGCATCGGTCAAGAACTTGACACAGTCGTCACATACCACATCGTTTTCCTACAGAACGGGAAGAGTCAGAGCCAAATAAACACTTGGCAACTAAATATCCAAAACATCTAGTTGACAGATGGGACGGCAAGAGTGCACCTGCTTTTGAGTTTCCTTCGATTCCTTCAGGTTCTCCTGAGGATACAGGAGCCCAGGGACATTGAGGAGGAAAGGAGACACTTGTAGAACGTCATTCTCTGGGATTTCATTGGACATGAGCTTCTCCTGGACCGGAAACATGGCCAGGGACATCTGCTGAGACTTACACAGTCCCATAGCGCCACACACAACACCAGGATCCTGCTAAAAACAAAAGTGGTGTTCTGTTAGAACTTTCTGCTGCTGCAGGTGAAAGCAGCAGCGAGAACTAGAAAAAGAATCCTTGTCACGAAGTTCAGCGTTAGCACAATGACTTCTCTGTTCCCATTTGGATTTAAATTCACTTCCTCATCAATAGCACTTTTTCAGCTGGCTGCACTTTGTTCACACTGCCACTTCTGTTCCCCCCACTCTTCAGTTCACACCAGGAGCAGCTAGACTGTCTAATACAGGTCTTAGGAGAATCATGAACGTAAGTGAGTTTACTAAAACTTACTCAACAGGATTCAGACACGCCTTACCAATTCTCCGGTGATGATCCCGTACAGAATGGGGTAGTAGTTATCCACAATCTCTTTGCACTCAGAAGTTAAATCTTTTTCAGGGATGAGCTGGCAGGCCTTCTCCAGGTACCCGAGAATCTCAGACTGCAACGACAGCACAAGTGATCCTTAAACCCTTAAAACAAAAGATCTACCAACACTTCATCTTCAAAATTAAACATGTTGTCTTTCAGTCTTACCTCAGTTGCATTGTCCTTCAGCAACTGTTCCACCACCATCAGCACCTCTTTACACAAGTCACATGGTACAGTTTTCTAAACGATTGAGGAAAAAAAATCAAACGAATTAAAACAGCAACACATTTCTTGAATTAGAGAATAAGGCACAAAATATCCAATCCATCTCACCAGCTGGGGTTTGTTCCACACATTCTGCTGGCAGTGAGCCACAGCTCCACAGAGAGACGCCGTCTTCACATTCTGACACCAGTAGGGGGCGCCACGGGCGCACTGCTCAGTGCCCAGCAGAGGAGTAGCCACAGCTGCAAAGTAACCAATAGTCTAGTTTAAAAACATGAGAAATGTTTCCCGTGGTGCCATTGCTGCTTTAGTTTAGATTAAAATGCTCACCAAAATTAAATATCGTTTTAATTTGATCCAACACTGGCGTGTGGACATGATTAAAGTTTCTCCACCATAAAGCATAAACATTTAGGGAAAGTAATTTGTAAAGAAGCATCGTTTCATTTCTAGTCAGACCAGATTTCTATGAAGTTTCTCACCATTAAGAAATGTAAATAATATTTTTATTCTTGTAGTACTATTACTACTACTACTACTACTACTAATAATAATAACAACATTTATTTTTATCATTTATATTAAAAATAATATATTATTATTAAATGCAGTTGTTCAGAGTAGGGTTGTACAGTTCTGGTTAAAATGAGAATCACAGTTTTTGCTTAAAGTTGAGATCACAATTCTGATTTTTTTCCAAAATAAGTATTTATCGCACTTATTACTTGCACATTAACTTTGTAACAGCTGTTACTGAACATGACAACAGTAAGTGTCTCTTGTCGTCTTTTACATAGACACCTTTTGAAGAAGTTATTTGAACTATATTCTCGCTGCTTGTAGGGTGATGAGGTAGATAATTGGTATGTTTCTTAAAATGTAAACCCACAATTAACAAATCATAACATTTAATATAACACCATTCTTGACCATGGCAGGACCACAACAGAGAACATAGTCCTTTATAATCTAGCCAGCTGCTAAAAGTCATCATTTGGAAATTAGATTAATTGAATGAATGAATGAATGAATACAAGTATGAATTGAGATCACGAATTTTTTTTTTAACGATCAATTGTGCAGCCCTAGTTCTGAGGTTACTGAAGACCATAGTTGGGGGAAATGAAAATGTTCCAATGACAAAAGCTGTATTCTACTAATATTTTTATATCTATAAATCTCTAATATCTATCTAATTTCTTCAGAAATATTAATTGTCTCATTGACTGAGAAACCGTGTAACACTTTTTATGAAATACAATTTGTCACCAAGCTTTCTTATTCAATGCTAAACATGAAAATATTCTCCAACCCCCATTTCCCGCCTTAGCCACCAAAAGCAAATTGACAGGAAAGCAATCTGGTAGGGAAAAGCCTATCTCTTCTGCTTCGGAGAAAATTTGTATTCATGCCTCCAATCCCCTGAAACAGGAGTGATAGAGCTTTTTCCACACAGCAAACGACTCCTAAAGCATTCATTCATACCAGAGACCACAGCAGATTATTTTTTACTTTGTTTTTTTAATTTAGCAACTTAAATCTTTAACCAAAATATGGAACACCCTTCGTCTCAGGTGTTTTCTTAAAGACCGATATGAATCATCTTTGGTTTTTCAGCTGAGTCATATTGTGCCACCCTGTAAGAATAACACAAGGCAGCTCCAAGAAGCTTACACTACTTTGTTGTTGCGCACATTAAAGTAAACATGTTCCAAACTGTTTTAAAACCTTGAGCGTGGAAAAACAACAACTAATCCTATTGTGAAGACCTGCTAAACTGTGCTAGATTATGTATTATGTGGCCTTCATTCCCTGTAAATCAACTCTACCGGAAAATACCAGTAAAAAGGGCAAAAGGTTATTTTATACACATCTTTCAAAAACCAAGTGGTTAAGAAAACAAATCATCTTTTCTGTAAAGCAGAAGGGAAAAACTTTTTAGCGAAGTGAAAATAGTGATGTTGGAAATCACCAAGACGTCACCAGGAACACTTCCTGATTCCATTTTTCCAAACCCTTCAACAAAAGATGATATTCTCACACCTTAGACAAACTCGCTTTGAACATGTGATTTCAACCCTTTTAAATCAGTTAATTCAGAACTCATCTGTTGAGAGCAAAAGACCAGTGATACCAGCTAAGGGTTTCAAATACAGCCCAAGCAGCACAGATGAAACCTCTGATCAAGCGCTACAAAGCAGAAAGCACTCCCACTCTATCTGCTTGAGTCACATGAGCAGTCAGACAAAAAAAAGCTGTTCTCATGCTAACAATCCATTTGAATGAGGACATCACAGCACATGGTTTGAAGACTTCTGTAAACCATTTACAGCCAACAGAAACAACATTTTATGCATTTTTAAAAGAGTCACTAAAGTAAATAAGCACCTAATTTTAAAATGAGTCTACTTAAAGTTTACCTACCTGTTCATATTTGATTAGAATATGAACAACTGACAAAGAAACTGGTAGTTTGTATTAAAGGAACACAAATTGAAAAAGGAACCAAAATTCACCAGATTGAGCTAAACTCCTACTGTATTAAAACATACGGCTTGGCCCAAAAATAACTCTGCAAACCTCATGATGGACTACCACGATGACATAGTGCATCAAGAAATGTCTGAGGAATGTGGAAGTGCACAAAAATATTTAAAACCTGAAGTTAACCTCGTGATAAGCACTAGACAAACAGAATAGTCCACAGTTGTTTACTCTGATAACAGGAAAAACCCATTAGCATTCAGTTCAGATCCATATTTCAAACCCCCAGAAAACCCAACCTAGATACACAACACAGCCTCTTGCACTGACCCGGTGCTGAAAATTATTTAAAAATTGTCAAAATAAAAGAAACAATGAGATAAAAAATAATGTGTACGAGTAAAGTAATGATTAAAATAATAATTTAAGTTGCCAAATGTATTTAAAACAGGCCCAAGACAATAAAAACAACCCGAAACAATACTGAGCAGTTATCATCCCTGATTGTACCACATAACACACTTAGCTAACAACTCCAAATGCATAAGTAAAAGGAAATTAAAACACAAGTCGGCTCACTTAGTTATCCAATTTTTGTTTTCGGTTTTCTAATAAATCCACCGGGCGCTCGCGTGTAGAAACTGTTAGCCTAGCCACGTTAGCTAAGATGACGTTAGCTAATGGGGCCAACTGTAAACTTCAAAGAACACTTGGTCAACAAATAAAATAAATAACACAACATAGTTCACGAAAACACATTGTCACAGATTTGGCCTCACAATCATAATATTTATCTATTTTTTAATAAAAAGCGACAACGGCCTTTTAAGTGAACTTGTTTACCGACAGCTAACGCCACTTGAAACGCTTCCGCGTCCCAGATGAAACGCACTTAGCAAACAACGACCATTTGTGGTCGGAACTAAATCAAACACAACATAAAAACATCCTAAATGCAGTCCTGTGTGGCGATACTACCTGAAGACACGAAGAGCAGAGTTAGGAGCAGCATGACCGCGATGTTTTTCCAGAAGGTTTGTTTGTTGGGTCTAACGGGAACTGCGGATCAGAGAGGGAGTGTTGATGCCTTTATGATGTCTCATTGTCAGCTGACTAAGACACGTGACTCATCAGCTAACAGAGTCGAAGAGCAAGAACAGTTCAAGCTGTAGGAAGAGCGATATACATTTTTAATGGGGGCATTTGATTTAAAAAAAAATATGGTTTATGGTCTATACGGATTATGTTCATAAGTCTGCACAAAATCAGTCTCACAGAAATTTCAGCAGTTTAATATTTTTTACATTTTCAGTACCTTCCAGAATGAGCCGTTTCTGACTCTTTAGTGGCAATTTGTAGTTTTTATTATCATCAGAATTAAATAATGCCAAGGTGTTGAAAAATATTGGCAGCTTTGTAACATAACCATAAAAATCGGGTCTGAAATACATGGGAGTGGGTCTAAGTCTCTATGCGACACCATATTAGACATGTTTCCTTCTACGAGCGCCTTGAGAACAAAGTGCATTTATTGATTTGTAAGTTACAAAAATTTTGCAATTCATAAACATTGTTGTTTTAAACATTTACCTCTTTGCTCCTTGCCAGTGATGAGAGAAAGGAAGAAAACAACCTTTTGCCTCTCAAGATAAAAATCACGAGGCGCTTCACAAAAACAATAAATTAGGATATAAAAAAGATTTCAATAAAAGATTTTTAAAAATATGTTTAAAATGAGAAGAAATGTAAGGAAAGGGAGAGAGTAAAGAAATAGGAAAGAGAGAAATCAGGGGATCCTGGGAAAGGCGAAATAGGTAGAAAGAGCTGAATAAGGAGAGGGTGGTGATGAAGGTCACACCAAAGCCAGCTTGAACAGATGAGTTTCCAGCTGCTTTTTAAAGGAGACCACTGAGTCCACTGATCTCAGGCTCAAGGGGGAGAGAGTTCCAGAGTCTGGGGGCCACAGCAGGAGATGATCTGTCACCTTTAGTCTTTAGCCTTGTGATGTCCAGTTTTTCACCTACAGATTGACCTACATGCCATTAGTCAGCTGCAGACATGAATCTGCTTCTGTGCATCTGTTAATCTTCCAAGTTGCAGGAAAAGATTCAACACGACGTGTTTACACACAGATTGTCAAGACTTCAACATCATGTTCCCTTCTAAAGGTCCTTCTGTGCCAAGCCTGTCTGCTTATCTAAGCCGGACTGGACTGTTATAAGAGTGACTGTTTTCAGCTCATATGAGTTAATCATTTGTGAAATGGAATAATAATAATGTCTTGATTAATCTGTGCTTAAATAAATAAGGTTGATTGATCTGTGCTTGAATTACTGAAGTTTTGAAATGAATGTTATTATTACATTGAAAGATTTATATGAATGAAAGGATCAGTAATGTTTGATATGACAAGGCAATCATCATCTACACTCAAACACAAGGTTCATTAGAGATAAATTAAAGTTAAGTTAAACATCATGATACAAAGATATTTCCTTACCCCAAATCAGAGCATCCTGTAACTGAAAGAAGGCCTGATGTTCTGAGGTTTTCTTGTTAACACCCCTTAAAGGGACTAAACAGAGTTTTAAATTTTTATGCTTGCGATTGCCCCCTCAGGCCAAAAGCGTAATGGCAGCTTCAAAAGGAGGTTCGTGCATGAGGCGTGCATGCTGTACGTGCACACTCCTTAATGAAAATAACAGCTGAGACAGTCTCTTGTGTGTGCGTGTGTGTGGCCCGGAGGACAGAGGACAGGAGAACGCACAGCTAATTAATTAAATTATTTGGTTCAGTACCTTTCTCTTCAGCACAGCCGACAAAGGTTTAAGATGGGTCAGTCCTCCTGCATGCTCAGATAATTCCATTCCCTTGCTTGAAAAATTGTTCCAAAATGAAAGTTGAACCCACATCTTTTTTATCTGTGAATTGAATGCCGTTCGGCGAGTCTCATGTTCACATCCAGAATCGAACCTGGGTCTGAGAAGATCACTAATGTATGATGGTGTTTGTCCATATAAGGGAGTCTGATGTGCTTGTTATTTTGCTGGAGGTTGAATGATCTGACCAAGTGATAAATGACCCACACTTGTAAAGGGTCTTTTCAGAGTCAGATGACCTCAAAAAGCTTTACACTAGTGTATCATTCACACACACATTCACACGCTGGTGAGGATGAGCTACAACGTAGCCACAGCTGCCCTGGGGCACACTGACAGAGGCAAGGCTGCCGAGCACGGGCACCACCAGTCCCTCTGACCACCACCAGCAGGCATGGTGGGTTGTGTCTTGCCAAAGGACACAACAGCAGAATTCTCTGTCCAAAGTCTGGATCAAACAACCTTCCAATTACTGGAGAACCCACAAAACTTCCTGAGCTACTGCTGCCAGTACACGTTCGAATATTACACACCCAGGGATTTTTTTTAACCTTAATGGCCATCTGTTGGTAAGGTCTTACTCAAACACAAAAATACTGCTTACTTGCAATGACTTAGGTATGTACTGCCCCCAATCACCAGGGAAAATAGACACCGTCACTTTAAAGAGCAAGTCATCCCCTACCGGAGTATTACTCCACTCCCACTTCCTGTTAGAAAAATGCAACACATGCTGTTGCCTAGCAGACCGAGAGGGCGGAGCCGCTAAGAAATACACACACACACAGCCTCACAACATTGTGACATCATATGGTACCAGCTAACATTCTAGGGCACCACTTAGCCAATAGTGATGGCAGATTTACAGTGGGGCAAAAAAGTATTTAGTCAACCACCGATTGTGCAAGTTCTCCCACTTAAAATGATGAAAGAGGTCAGTAATTTTCATCATAGGTACACTTCAACTGTGAGTGACAGAATGTGAAAAAAAATCCATGAATTCACATGGCAGGATTTTTAAAGAATTTATTTGTAAATCAGGGTGGAAAATAAGTATTTGGTCAATAACAAAAATTCAGCTCAGTACTTTGTAACATAACCTTTGTTGGCAATAACAGAGGTCAAACGATTACTATTGGTCTTTACCAGGTTTGCACACACAGTAGCTGGTATTTTGGCCCATTCCTCCATGCAGATCTTCTCGAGAGCAGTGATGTTTTGGGGCTGTCGCCGAGCAACACGGACTTTCAAATCCCTCCACAGATTTTCTATGGGGTTGAGGTCTGGAGACTGGCTAGGCCACTCCAGGACTTTCAAATGCTTCTTACGGAGCCACTCCTTTGTTGCCCGGGCGGTGTGTTTGGGATCATTGTCGTGTTGGAAGACCCAGCACGTTTCATCTTCAAAGCTCTCACTGATGGAAGGAGGTTTTGGCTCAGAATCTCACGATACATGGCCCCATTCATTCTGTCCTTAACACGGATCAGTCGTCCTGTCCCCTTAGCAGGAAAACAGCCCCAAAGCATGATGTTCCCACCCCCATGCTTCACAGTAGGTATGGTGTTCTTGGGATGCAACTCAGTATTCTTCTTCCTCCAAACACGACGAGTTGAGTTTATACCAAAAAGTTCTACTTTGGTTTCATCTGACCACATGACATTCTCCCAATCCTCTGCTGTATCATCCATGTGCTCTCTGGCAAACTTCAGACGGGCCTGGACATGCACTGGCTTCAGCAGCGGAACACGTCTGGCACTGCAGGATTTGATTCCCTGCCTTTGTAGTGTGTTACTGATGGTGACCTTTGTTACTGTGGTCCCAGCTCTCTGCAGGTCATTCACCAGGTCCCCCCGTGTGGTTCTGGGATTCTTGCTCACCGTTTTCATGATCATTTTGACCCCACGGGATGAGATCTTGCGTGGAGCCCCAGATCGAGGGAGATTATCAGTGGTCTTGAATGTCTTCCATTTTCTGATAATTGCTCCCACAGTTGATTTTTTTCACACCAAGCTGCTTGCCTATTGTAGATTCACTCTTCCCAGTCTGGTGCAGGTCTACAATTCTTTTCCTGGTGTCCTTTGAAAGCTCTTTGGTCTTGGCCATAGTGGAGTTTGGAGTCTGACTGTTTGAGGCTGTGGACAGGTGTCTTTTACACAGATAATGTGTTCAAACAGGTGCCATTAATACAGGTAATGAGTGGAGGACAGAAAAGCTTCTTAAAGAAGACATTACAGGTCTGTGAGAGCCAGAGATTTTCCTTGTTTGAAGTGACCAAATACTTATTTTCCACCCTGATTTACAAATAAATTCTTTAAAAATCCTGCCATGTGAATTCATGGATTTTTTTTCACATTATGTCTCTCACAGTAGAAGTGTACCTATGATGTAAATTACTGACCTCTGTCATCATTTTAAGTGGGAGAACTTGCACAATCGGTGGCTGACTAAGTACTTTTTTGCCCCACTGTAAATTCAACTGCAGCGCAGTTTTTACCTGACGACGGCACAACACTGACAGTTTTAGGCAGAAAATTTTAATTTGAACTAAAATGCACTTAAGTGCAAAACTATTGACTACACGTGTCTACAGCACGATTAGACACACATTTGTATAGTTTATCATAAAAAAAGTTAATTTGGGGGTGACTTGCTCTTTAAGGAAGACAAGCTGGCCACCCTCACTCACCTCTTGATTGGCTGCTATGAGGGATGGAGCTCATGCAAATGGGAGAGCCTCCAAGTCTAGTCGCTGCTCCTCCAGCATCGGCAGATTGGGGGAGAGGTTTCTAAGCCAATTTTCTACATTGTGACATCATAAGAAGCAGCTTTTGTTGTTTTATAATTTATAAAACCAAACACAGACAGAAAATAGATTGACAGATTTTAAACACATTTCGATTGTTTAGAGGCAGAAGAGGCCCAAACGGCAGCACAAAAGATGTAAAAGGTGAGTTTTGTAGGATACGTCTCCTTTTAAAGCTGACCTGGAGACAGAAACTCATCAGAGCGAAATACAGATTGTCATTTCTCATCTGTGAATAGTTTTCAAATTAATACCCCGTCAATAACTGCCTTTACATTACTATAATAACCACACAGTTCACAATGCCTTAAAATAAGATAATAAACAAATTAAAACTAGAAAAAAATGTTTATTATATGACAATTCAATCCAAATTCAGGTCAATAGCGCTGTGAAGGTCAAGGAGAGAAACTGCGCTCTGTTCTGTCCAGATTAGGAGAGGTGGAAACCTGTAAAACAATTTGGACAAACATCACACGGTTAGAGTACAATCAGCCCAAAATCAAACAAGTAAAAGACACGTTTCTATGAATGACAATAAAAGTAGAGTCACTAGTATAAATGGGAATATGTATAATAAAGGCTTGCAAAACAATAACAGAAGCACCAGTCAGTCTGTGTTACTTTTCTAGAGAGTTTGTCTACAAAAGACGACCTAGAATCAGAGAAGCTGTAAATCTTGTGGGGTTGTTTACCTTCTTTGTGAACAGCTTTTGGATGAATGACTCAAAAAAACAGCACATAGATTCATTAATAATCATTTTGGTTGAGTTGCTTTTAACTATCTGGAATGTTTTCTGACTTACTTTAAGATGTTTGCTATTTTAAGAAAACTGCTGTGTCATAAAAGAAAGTAGTGAAGTAAACATTCATGACATCACATGACTGCTGACACAAAGTCAAAAGAACTGGCATGTTCAGTTTCTGGTTACAAACATCTCGCTCTGGTTAGGACAGGTGTTTTAAATAGAGCCCTGTGGAAAAAAACCTTCATTTTGAATTTCTTCTCTTATTTTGGCATCAATTTAAATGTTTTTCTTTGAGCTTGAGGTATTTATGGTAGGTGTCTATAAAATAATATAAAATACATAATCTCATGGAAATCAGAGCAGATGATTCAGCGCTTTAATGCATTGAAAAGAAGGATGCTGATATTGTCAGACTCTTAATTTCTGATACCGATATAAACATACCGTAAATCCTCTAATACAGGCCCGGGCCTGTATTTGACTCAAGCTCATCAAGCTCCAGGCCTTTATTGGGAGGAGGGCCAGTATTAGAGGCAGGCCTCTATTTCTATTTGAGCAAAATGAACTAATGGTTCGCTGGAGTTTTTGACAATTAAAATTGCGCCCACATTTTCAAAGTTAAACACATTTCTTTTAACAACGGTAGTTCCTGCTTCAGCCCTCTCCCCCCTCCCCCTGCGCAGCGGCAGCAAACTCACTGATGTGCCTGCAGCCTCTCGGAGTTCCTGCTGCTCTAAACATTAAAATAATTATTTCATTTTCTGTTCCTCACTTCTAATGACCTTCAATGGTGTCTGTTTGTTGCAACCACCAGGTACAAAAACTAACTTGTTTTTATTTGACTATTTTTCTGTCCTGTCTGTTTATTATCTTCCTGCATCTCCTCTCAATCCTAAAGAAAAACTGCTGCCTGGGTTCATATATATTCACCTTATGAGTTACCTTTGAACTGCAGTTCTAAAAGATCTAAAAACAGCGGAGCGCTCGCTGTTTGGCGGCCGTATCAGTGATCAGTGCGTCGGAGGACAAGGTGATGCCCGCAGCGCCCCGCTCCACAGCATGCAGCGAAACGCATCAGGCGCAAATAAAAGACAGAAAACAGTAAAGGAAATGAGCCGACATGAACGATCGCGTGTTAAATTAGTTTTTGAGGTGGCAACACCTGATTGTTACTGTGGCCGTGCTCAGGAGGCAGATCTACCGACCGCTAAAACAGCTGAGCGCTCCCTGCTTGCCGGCCGCATCAGTGATCTGTGCGTCGGAGGACAAGGTGAAGCGCCCCGCTCCACAGCAGCGATACACATCAGGCGCAAATAAAAGACAGAAAACATTAAAGGAAATGAACCGACATGAACGATCGCGTGTCAGTACCTACGGTCCGGCACAGCGCGTTGCTGATCACAGAGAATGTGATCATACGATAATTCAATAGGGAGCGTGGTTTCACAGACGCGGAAGTGATAGAGTCGGTGAAACGCCGGCTGCTCTAGGAAACCCCCGAGCGTTCGAGCGTCAACGAAGTGACACGGAAATGCCGGGCTTTCCAGAAGTAAGTAAGATAACTTACTATGAGCTGATAGTTCGTTGGATTGATCGGTAGGTTGGAAACTCTGATCATGAATCTGAAGAAACGATGACTGAGTGGTGAGCTGGAAAGGCGACTTCCGTTTATAGCCGCGGTTTGTGACGTAGGTGCGACGTGGAGGGAATCCCCGCGAGGGGCATGCTGGGAGTCCCTACTTCGCGGATTTTCACCTATCGCGGCCAGGTCTGGAACGCATCTACCGCGATAAACGAGGGATTACTGTAGTTCATACACCCCCTACTGCTGCTCTCCAGAGTGTTCTGCAGCATAATCAGCACGTTCTCTTTGAACTTGATAGTGTAATGACCTGGCTGGGGTTGTAAGCCAGGTGCATTCTGGGTATTGTGTTATATGTGTTTCCTATCGTTCTGCTAGTTCCTATGTGCTGATTTGCGTGTTGTGTGAGTGTTATGTAAGCCACAGGGAAGGTGATGTGTGTTCTGTGGAGCGGGTTGAATTAGCATGGTTAACTGACACCGTGACTCTGTGTGGTAGGAGCGTGATAGAGGATCGTGTCTGTAGCGTTACAAAGCGTTGAAGAAAAAGCCTAATAAAGGTCTGCGTGAACCCCTACTGCCTCCTGCTGGTTGATTTGGGGACTATAACCCTGCCGCTGGGACGCTTGTACTTGCTTGTTACCACATTCCATCCGGCCACAATAAGAGACCGGCCATTATTTACCTCTGCTGACTCCGACACCGGCCAAAAATTGGAGACCCGGCCTTTAATTGAATACCGGCCTGTATTAGAGGATTTACGGTATACTGATATATGCCGTGTCCCCCCTCATAAAAAAAGAAAAACTGAAACATTTTAGGTCACTAACATCCCCTAATGCCTTTTTAAATTTTAAACTTTTTCTCAGAAAAATTACAAGTACTTAAATTTAAAGAGCAAGCCATCCCCAAATCAACTTTTTTTGCTGATAAACTAGGGCTGGGCGATATGGACCAAAACTTATATCTCGATATCTTTAAGCTGAATTCCGATATACGATATATATCTTGATATTTTTCCTCCTGTAAACTGTTGACAAGTTAACTCACTTCAAGCTCTTGAGAAAAATGCATAAAAATGTATTGATTCTTGTCAAACTTTAACCGTAGTACCTATTCTCTACCAGTCTGAGCTTTAGTAACACAGGTACAGCTCTCTGCTAACACACACACACACACACACACACACACACACACACACACACACACACACACACACACACACACACACACACACACACACACACACACACACACACACACACACACACACACACACACACACACACACACACACACACACACACACACACACACACACAGTTGAGAGCCAGAGGTGTATCAAATGTCCCACAGGCACTTTTTAATTATATATTTATAATTAATGTAAAATTATTTAAATTTCATCTAGAGGTGGCCCATATTGTATAGGTCTTGTCCAGAGAAAAAAAAATCCATCATGTTAAGCTAAATGTACGATGATGTAATTGCATCTACTGAAAATCACATGGGTCATGCACCATGGAGTTATTAGTAATTAGAAAAACTAGTTATTAACTAGTTGTTAGTTATTAGTTAGCAGTGTTGGCTCATATCAGCAATTATACTGTAATGATTCAGAGTCTCTGGTTGCTCTTTTATGAGTGTTATTTTCGGGCTACTGTCGCCATAACCCACACCTTACAAACTCAACTTTCTCATCAGAATCACTCGTAACGGAGTATTTACTAGCATAGCAAACCAGAGCGGAAAAACCGGAACCGGAACAACATTTCTCACCCGTTGAGTTCGCCTTCAAAATAAAACGGTAACCCTATAGTTTAGTATTCAAACCCTTACAATATGTTTCAGGTCATTTGGCCACTCCGGCTTTCCGTAGCCGTTTCCTCATTACACAGGGGAGGGAGGGGTTTGGCTAGTCTCTCCGCACAAGCAGGATGGAAAACAGAACTCCGTTGGCATTGAACGTCCCCAAATAATTAAAAACCAGGAGGCCAAATGCAAAGTTTAGAGCAGCACATTTACCCAGAGGCTCTCAGACTGAGCAAACTTGTGAGAATACACGTAATAGCCGCTTAGAGACGGAGCAACATGTCGCTAGCATAGCGGCTAATTGCTAGCATAGCGGATAATCGCTAGCATAGCAGTTTGGCCAGTTATATCGATTTAAAGATGTAAAGTCATCTTATATCTTGTTTAAAAATTATACCGATATTTAAAGAATATCGATATATCGCCCAGTCCTAAGATAAACTATATAAATGAATGTCTAATTGTGCTGCAGACACATGTAGTCAATATTTTGGCACTTTAGTGCATCTTAGTAAAAATTTAAATATTCTGCCAAAAACGGTCAGTGTCGTGCCGTTGTCAGGTAAAACCTCTGCGCCACATTTGAATTTAAATCTGCCATCGCTATTGGCTAAAAAGTACACTATGAAATTAACTGGTACATTATAATGTCACAATGCCATGTGAGCCTGTGTGTGTGTGTGTATTTTTAAGTGGCTCCGCCCTCTCGGTCTGCCAGGCAACAGCATTTGTTGCATTTTTCAAACAGGAAGTGGGAGTGGAATATGACTCTGGTATGGGGTGACTTGCTCTTTAAGTTAGTAACAGGAAAAGCGCCATATTTATTTTGTCTCCAATAGCAGCTGGATCTCATTAGTAATGTATTAATATGTATTTTTGCTGTTATGGTGATAAAACATGTATAAAGATCTGTGGATAAGAAAAGTAAGCCTTGAGTGAAGTGATGGAAGACAGCTTATGTTCACTACACAGGGCACATTTCTACTTCACAAGTTGTTCCAAATAAACTAAAATATATCAAAAAGCCTTGCATCAGATCTGTCATATTTGGACATTTGAAAGAGAAGGTCATTGGCTGCAAACTGCTCTCTATACAGGACCTGTACACCTCCAGGACATTGGGGCGTGCAGGTCAGATCACAGCTGACCCGTCTCTTCCTGGACAGTCTTTTCGACTTGCTCCCATCTGGCAGGAGGCTCCCATCTATTAGGACCAGAACCTATTTCATCCCCTCTGCAGTTGGACCCATGAAAAACAATCCTAAGACTGCTCACTCCACTCACTTTGAGTTGTTGTGTTTGCACCTGACTGTTCTGCTCTGATTAGTACCCACACTGTCTTGTATACATTAGTCATTTTTCTCATTCCTGTTACCCTATAAGTTGCTGTGTTACTTGGAAAAACAGACATAAACAAGTTTTGTGATTTAAAAACTGGGATTTTTCTGTTGTCATTTATTACAACTTTATTTTTGTATTTCAACAAGCAGGTAAAGTGTTTATAAAGCTTTCTGGTCATTTTAGGCTCTTTTTAACAGTAAATAAAAATTCTAAGACTGCCTAAATCCTTCCACATTTATTACAAAATCACCCCAGATCTTAACTTCACCATCTGAATAATTTCCTCTTATGAACAGCTGCAGTTTGTATTTTTAAATAGCATAATGGCCCTTTTTGTCATTCCTTACCTCCAGTTACTGCTCGGGGACACAACAGTTGGCCTTCGGCGCCTGCTCGTCCTTCTTCAGCACAGCGGGCCTCACTACGTCCACATCACGGTGCAGGTGATCCAACAAGCCTTCGAGGATTTTCGGAGCTGCATAAAAGTCGACTAGAAAGTAAGTCCCTCTGATGTGCTTCTCGTTGTGTTTGGTCATCTTGTACGGTAGCAGCCTTTCTCCCAGGTTCTCCAGGTCCCTCACCACCGCGCCTCGCTCCATCAGAGTCTCCACCGTCCGCCGCAAGGTAGCCGCCGTCTCCGGCCGCTGCATCGCCTTCAGGATCAGCGACAGCTCGTACCGAGGCATGGCTTCGATGAACTCGTCCTCCTTTCACTGTGTAAATGCAGCTACCACTCAGCTGCGGACATTTTCAAAGGCAACCATGAGGGAAAGGCCCTTTTTGATGACGTAAATGCATGCGTGAAGTAAAAAAAAAAAACCCGCAAAAGTAAATATAAGACATGTGTTGTTAAAATATAGCGTCAAACGTTTGAAACATATATTTTATTTGTTTCAACAATATAATAAAATGTTAATTTTTATAAGCGTGCTTCGGTAAAATTTTAATTTCAGATGAACGAAAGAGGACTCACTTCGTGCCATTTTTTAATCAAAACCCAGAGGTTTTGCTTTGACACTGTGGGCATATTTACAATCCATGTTTTAAAATAATAGATATTATCATAATTATTTATGCATGTGTTTCCATCTTGACGCATGGAAAGCAAGTTATTATTCAGATTAATTTATTTCAAACCGAGTGAACCATCATTTTTCCGAGACGTCTGTTTACATTATCATAAGGCGCATGCGCACTTGGATCACTTCCTTTCCATTTCTGAGGAGCGTGGTGAAGATGGCGGAGTCAAAGTCGGTCCCCAGCGATCTCTTTAAATGCGTTTATTCGTTTCTGTTGGAGAACAAGTTCACAAAAGCGGCACAACATTTCCTAAAACAGACTAAAGTTGTGAGTATCGTAGTTTAAGTATTTACCCGCCAGCTGCTAGATCTGGCTAGTTTTAGTTACTTTTACATTAAGCTAACGTGCAGGGAACGTGAGGCCCTGTCAGCTAGCACGTGTAACGTCGCCGGTGTTGTATCAGCAGCCACTTGTTGCCAAACTAACTCATGTTTAAGTCTTTCATGATGTTTAAGAATACCATTTGTAGAAGGTTACAGCGACTTGTCGTTAAATCAGGAACGACCGCTGGAATGAATGAAGATGTTTTCCTAAATTGTTTTTGTTTTCTGCAGAATCCTCAAGATCAAAATGAAGAAAGCCTCGTTAACATCTACAACTTCTGGGTGACGTAAGCCCCCTTTTCCTTTTTTAATATCTTTTAAATGTTGAAGTTTTGTGACAAAGAAACATTTTCAAGCAGTAGTGGGTCAGTGTATACATATGAATACACTGCAATACAAAATGTTAATCTTAACTCGGTTACATCAAAGTCTCTGTAGATATTTGTATTTAGCCATGAGCAGTTAATCAATGTTGTTTTAACAGAAAAAATTCCCTTAAATTCTTGATTGTCACATCTAATAATTTCGTAAATAGTTTGACAGACATTTAATGTTATTAAGTATTAAAGTTACAGTGTGCATTAACATCAGCCACCTGGGCAGGTGACAGCTAATTTGGCATGAAATTGATTAGAAAAGACATGGCAGTTAAGAGTAGTAGTAGTACATAATGATGAACATGGATAAAGATACTAGGATGGATGATTACTTAAGTGACTGGAAATCTTTAGAAAGTTTTTTTTAACCATATGTTAGTTTGTGTTCTGAGAAACCTACATTGTTTAGCTGAGGGCAAAATTTTCAATATTTTTGGCATACAATTAGATGGGGTGAAGCCAATGTTTTGTTTTGTTTGTTTTTGTGGAGGAGAAAAACCACAACCATGAGGTTCCAGCAAAACCACTATGCAGAAGATTATGCTTGCATGATTTATTAACGTTGTGAAGAAAAACATGGCTGAAATCTCACTGCAAGAAGGGAAAGATTGGTAGTTTCTGAGGTATTTAGGCCACTGCAAGCCCCTGCACTCATTACATGGGGGGTGTACAGCCCAAGCTAATCTCACCACACAAACAGTCACGGCAAAAAGACCCTAGAAGGTGCTATACAAATACAGGCCATTTACCATTTATACACATTAAGACTGATTTGGCATCAATGCACGTAAAATAACCGTGATTATTTTGGACTGTGATCTTAACACCAGTCATTCTGATCGTAACCTTGGATAAAAAAGCCTTTTGGGTGTAATCTGCATCATTTCTAAATGCTGATAGAATTCACTTTGCTTGATAAGGTCTCCTGAGGCTAAGAAGCGAAAAGCACCTTCCGATGAGGCTGAAGCCATCAACGGTCCATCAGCCAAGAGGGCAAAGCCCAGCGCTGAGAGCTCCAGCAGTGAAGAGTCGAGTGACTCAGAGGAGGAGAAGGCACCTGCAAAGGTGGGGGAAAACGTCAGAGATGGATTATTTCTGCTGGATCTTGTCACTGCTTGTGTTAAAATACTGTTTTTATGTTTAGGCTCCTGCTAAAGGACCTCCTCCTGCTGCTGCTGCTGCTGCTGGCAGCACCAGAAAGAAGGACAGCAGCTCCAGCAGTGAAGAATCTGACTCTGAAGATGAACAACCTGCTAAAGCTGCTGCACCAAGTGAGTCAGACGTCATCAACAGACCAAATTCATAACATCACCAGGAATGTCATTTAAATGCTTTATTCTGAATAATAGAAGCTGGTTCTGCTGCCGTCGCGAAGCCCAAAACAGTCGTTCCTCCCAAAGCTGCAGCTCAGAAGAAGAAAGAGAGCAGCAGCAGTGAAGACAGCTCCTCTGATTCTGAAGACGAGGAGCCAGCCATGGTGAGCTAAAAGGAATCCAAATAGAGTGGTGCGTCTTACTGTGTTTAATACCCACAGCAGACTCTGATGTCTGAGTTTTCCTGTTCCATAAGACTCCAGCTAAACCGACCCCAGTGAAGAAGGCTCCTGCAGCTGCGCCGGTTAAGAAAGGACCTGCTGCTGCTGCTGAATCTAGCAGTGAAGACTCTTCATCTGAGGATGAAGCTCCACCAAGCAAAAAACCCAAACCAGGTGTGGATTTGTCAATGTCCTAATGATGGATGACATCTATGTCCCAGTTTTAGTTTTGTGATGCAGGTGAAGCTTCCTCAAGTACTTTATTCAGTAACTAATACAAGCTAATGGTAAATAGGCTACAGAAATAAGACTTTGTTCAAATGGATAATTTAAAGAAATTATTATGTGGTCAACTTCTAGATGATTTAATGCACTCTGACAGCTCTGCTATTGAAATGGTTTAATTTTTTGCTTTAGTTGAGATGGGGTGAAAGGGGTGGGGTCAGTCAAAGTGCTTTAGTGATGGAGAAGAGCAGAGGGTACCAACTAGCACTAACCTTGTAGCTGTCAGATACTTTTTTAGATCTGGATAAATGTGGAATAAAGAACACAGTAAGTTCTGTCTTGTTAGGAGCCTACAGCGCAGTCCCACCTCCTGCTACAATCCAGAACGCTCCTGCTGCTCCTGCTAAAGCTGCTCCTGCTAAAGCTGCTCCTGCTAAAGCTGCTCCTGCTAAAGCTGCTCCTGCTAAAGCTGCTCCTGCTAAAGCTGCAGCTGCTAAAGCTGCTGAAGATGACTCCTCAGAGGAGGATTCCAGTTCAGAGGAGGAGACGGCAGCGGCTAAGAAGAGTGTAAAGAAGCCTGCAGCCCAACCTGCACCACCCAAGGGTGGTCTAGCCAAGAAGGACTCTTCGAGCTCAGGTAGGAGACACCAGAAATGAATATTCAAAGATATTTCTGGTTGATGTCATTCTAAACATTTTGTGCTTTTTCTTTATTTGATTTAGACAGCAGCTCTGAAGATGAGGCTCCAGCAAAACCAGTGGCTAAACCTTCAACCCCAAAGGCACCCGTTGCTGCCTCTAAACCCCAGGCAAAGGCAGCAGAGACCAGCTCAGACTCGGAGGATTCCTCTGATGATGAAGATGAACCAGTGAAAGCCAAGCCACCAGCTAAAACAGCTGCTGCTGCCTCAAAGCCTGCTGGGAAGCCACCTACTGCAGCAGAGAGCAGCTCCGACTCTGACTCCTCCTCTGAAGATGAAAACCAGACCGTTAAGGCCAAGCCGGCTGCGGCTAAAGCAGCTACACCAAAATCAAAGCCTGCAGCTGCAGCCACCGGTGGAAAAGCTGTGACTCCTAATAAAACCAAACCAGCAGCAGAGAGCAGCTCAGACTCTGAGTCAGACTCCTCATCAGAAGATGAGTCACCTAAAGCAAAGTCAGCAGCAGCGAAAACAGCTACCCCATCATCAAAGCCTGTTACTCCTGCAGCTAAAGCAGCTCCTGCAGCTAAAGCAGCTTCTGCAGCTAAAGCAGCTCCTGCAGCTAAAGCAGCTCCTGCCACTAAAGCAGCTGCAGACAGCAGCTCAGACTCTGACTCTTCATCAGAGGATGAAGAGGAGTCAGCCAAGAAAAAGCCGGCAGCAGCGAAAAAAGCTGCCACAACATCGAAGCCTGCTACTCCTGCAGCTAAAGCAGCTCCTGCAGCTAAAGCAGCTGCAGACAGCAGCTCAGACTCTGACTCTTCATCAGAGGATGAAGAGGAGCCAGCCAAGAAAAAGCCGGCAGCAGCAAAAAAAGCTGCCACAACATCGAAGCCTGCTACTCCTGCAGCTAAAGCAGCTCCTGCAGCTAAAGCAGCTGCAGACAGCAGCTCAGACTCTGACTCTTCATCAGAGGATGAAGAGGAGCCAGCCAAAGCAAAGCCAGCAGCAGCGAAAAAAGCTGCCACATCATCGCATCCTGCTACTCCTGCAGCTAAAGCAGCTGAAAGCAGCTCTGACTCTGACTCCTCTTCTGAGGAAGAGCCAGTCAAGGGTAAACCAGCAGCGGCTAAACCAGTGACCCCTACCTCAAAACCTGCTACACCTGCAGGAAAACCAGCTGCAGAGAGCAGTTCTGACAGCTCAGACACTGAAGAGGAAGCTGCCAAACCTGCAGTCAAGAAGCAAACCCCAGCAGCAACCAAAAAGGCTGCTCCTGCAGCAGCAGCTAGTGCCAAGAAAGTAACTGCAGCTCCAGGTAAAAAAGCAGAAGAGAGCAGCTCAGAGTCTTCGGATAGCTCAGAAGAAGAGGCCCCCACTAAGCCTGCAGCCACAAACGGAAAAGCAGCAACTCCTAAGGCACCCAAACCTGCAGCAAAAGCTGCTGAGTCTTCATCCAGTGACAGCAGTTCTGAAGAGGAGGAAGAGGCCAGCAAAAGTAGTAAAAAAGCTGCTGTGGCAGCCAAGGCAACCCCTGCAGCTAAAAACAAGGAAAGCAGCTCCTCGGACAGTTCTTCAGAGGAAGATGAAGCTCCACAGAAAGCTGCCACTGCACCAAACACCCCCATGAGCAACAGTGAGTTTTAAACTGGCTGAAGATGACGTGATCGTATGTTTAAATGTTGGGTTTTGTGCATCATGTGACATGTGGCAACTCTTCAGGTACCAATGGAAAGAGGAAACGAGATGAAGAAGAGGAAGAAACAGAACAGATGACCCCGAAAACCAAGAAAGTGACTACCACACCTCAGACGTTCCCAAAAGCCAATAAGAAGGTGGGTAGGAGAATTGGCTTTACGAAGCATTTTCAGTCGAAACAGATCAGGAATAGAAGCAGTTTTAAAGTCAAATAGAGAACGAGGCATGATGGAAATTCCTTTGTTTTTCAGTCTGCCAATGTGCCCTTCCGCAGAATAGTGGAAGAGCACGTTGAGGTGGATCCCCGTCTTGCAGATAACTCCTTTGATGCTAAGGTGAGTCGATACCTGCTTCAGGTGTTCTCCGGGTGACTCTTCCTTTTTGTGGACTCGTCCAGCAGTTTCACTAATCTCATTTTTGTGATTCCAGCGTGGATCTAACGGAGACTGGGGACAGAAAGCCAATGATGTTCTCAGGTTCACAAAAGGCAAATCATTCCGTCATGAAAAGACGAAGAAGAAGAGGGGTAGCTACCGAGGCGGAGCCATTTCCACCTCCGTCAACTCCATCAAGTTTGACAGTGACTGAAGGGCCTCTGGCTGTTTTTAGCTGTGGTCAGGAATCCGTGTGTCCTCTTAGCTTCCTGTAAACAGTCTGACATCATCACTGCAGCACTGTCAAAGTATAAACCTGGGTCAGACTCCATGTTTGATCTGAGATGACAGGAACGGTTTCAGCGAGGCAGATGTTCGCCGCTGTGACATCATGTGATGATCGCTTTTAGCCACTAGGTGGCTGCAGGCCACCAGTTAAAGGTACTGAGCCGGCGTTTGTGTTGTGTACCGCATTCTCAAGTTAGGATTGTTCTTACTGTCATTATGTAGAATAATTTTTTATTTAGCCATCCATGAGCAAGAGCCATTCATCCTTCCTGGTTTGTGGTTTTTGTTTTCTCTGATCTGCATCAGTTTGTTTTGTTTTTATTTGTCCACGTTTAGATCTGGAGGGTGTTTGGTCTTGTTTTCTTTTTTAGAATAAAAAATACATTAAATAAAACAGTTTTATACTGTATATTTATAAAGTTTTATTCTGTTTGAAAATCAAGGACCACTAGTTGTATTTCTAGATGTTGAGATGCCCATGTTTGCACTTCCTGTTTGGTTACTCGTGGTCTCAGAAGCATGTTTTCAAGTAAAATCTGTATAAACTTTTTTTAATCATTCAAAATGAATAAAAGCATGAAATTTATTGTTGGTGTGAAATTTTGAGTGATTTTAAATTGGTACAGAGATTTTACCTCTAGAGGCCTTGTCTCCATATGAGGACATTAAAGAGGTTTGTTGCACATAATTTCATATTTGAAGAAATGTGATTTAGTTTGTGAGGAGCTACAACAGCTCAGGGAAATGGAAATGCACCAATCAAGAGCCCAGGTCATGTCAAATGAATTTTGTACATAACCAGTTAGATATTTTTCTTAATGTCGAGCCTCTAGTTTAATGCTATGATTTATTTTAAATGCTTCAAAATTAAGGTGATTAATTATTAAGTCTTTGTTCATTTGAGCCACCAGATGGTGGCGGAACCCCCTGCTACAGCATGAGGTTACAGCTGTAAATGTAAGCAGTCATCTGATGCCACGGACCTTTCTGAGAGTGGGCTGCAACAGATCTGGGTCCGGTTTCACCAGGGAGAGTAAAGCCTGTCGGAGTGTACTAATGGAGTAGTAATGGTGTACAAATACTCTGCTCCTGTTTTAACACTCAGCTAGAAAAGGAGGACACTGCTGTAATATGTAGCCAAACTAACTGGATCTATCAAAGATGTGGCCCACTTTTACCTCAGATTAGTTTCACGAGCTAAGAAATTTTCCTAACGAGGACATATTATGCAAACCTCACCTTTTGTGTTGTCATGTATGTCTCTGTCTCTATCAACACTCCAAACATGAAAATAAAACATCTGTTTTCTGTCAGTGTTGGTTTTAGGAATTATGTCTAAAACAAACCATATAAAAAAGTCCCCATTTGTGATGTCACAAAAGGGTAAAGCAGAATAAAACCATTTCTCACAGGGAAAAGAAAGCTGCTGCTGGAGGAGCAGCGGTTCTACTCTGTGCCCCTCCTGGATATCAGAGCTTCTCAGCTTATAGCACCCTGAGGGAGGGATGAGTGGGCATGGCCAGCTCCAGCTTGTTTTCTTAAGTGACAGAACCTGGAAATGGCTCATTCTGGAAGGTACTGAAAGTGTGAAGAATAAAACTGCTGAAATCCTTTCATGTAATAGATTTCAAACAAAGAACTTCATAAATGTTTTTTATAAACCAACTGTTTTAACTTAGAAATAGGTCACAAACACCATCGTTTCTCCTCAGTACACCAGCTATGAGGATGAAGTCGTTTGTGTTCATCAGGCTTCAATCTGAACACGTTTCCTGGTTATGAAGGCAGCATGTTGCGGTCTTCCAGACAGTTTTCCTTTAGGACCATCACGTCTGGAGCACAGCTGAATATTTAACAGCACTGCAGTGGCAAATTAGCTAATATTCTGACAGCTCCTGTCATCCATCACTCACAAAGCTTAAGTGGATGCATTTCAACTCTGGGAGGAACAGCCTGGACAATCCTGACAACCGCAGCTATTTAAAAGCGTATTAATTAGAAAACGTGACTCGTTTTCCTTTAAGTTACTGAGCTGGCACAACCAAAATCCTGCTTTATTTAGGAAATGCTGGTAAAGTTTTCGTTATTAATCACGAAGCCATGATGCCAAAGGAGCCTATGATTTATGAGGAAAGCCTGCAGACTTTCTAAATTTAGCCTCCATCCTCCGAGTCTGACAACATTTAGCTGATTCAGTGTTTGCCCCGAGGGGGGTGGGGGTGGGTGGTGGGTGGGGGAATACCCAGGGTTTCACACGGAAGACTTGCTTATGGAAGTTTACAGCAAAAATAAAAAAACAGTGCATATTAAGCTGTTGAGTTTTTTAAGTTGAAAATTTCAGTTGAATATGAATCCTGATGTTTTCCTAAACACTATTCCAAATTAGAAATGATTTAAACCTTCTATGTGAACTTAATTCTAGCCTTAAGCCCTGAGAAGAACACGGGTACGGACAGCTGATCAGAGGACGAATCTGCAAACCGGCAGTAACTCCTGAGAGCCACTTCCGCATGTCAGCTCCGTTCCAGGCGGATGCAGCTCGGTGTGAGTGGACGGGCTGCGGGACAATCTTTTAATGGGCAGCAGCGGCCGACCACGGTCCGTCTTCTCCATTTCAATTAGGCCAAAGTAGCTGACTGCTCCTGAACACACAGCCATATTTTGTCCCTCATGAACACAGTAAAAGCCAAAAGATGTAATCAAAGGGCGTGTTTTTAGCTTAAACACGCAACACTGCACTTCATTACACATGACAAACGACTTAATCGATGACTCCGTGGATTCGTCTCTCTAATCCCTGACGGCCACTTCCCGCGGGTCCAAAAGGAAAGTTGAAATCATGGAAGCAAGTCAAGCAGACCACGGTAGTTAAAAACACAAAGCTCCATCACTTTTTTTATGTATATATTATTATTATTAAAACATCCTGATAGAGCGTTTTTAACATCTAGTTTATATAAAGTGTTTCATTGAGCAATAATAAGAAAACACCAGAGGATTACTGCGGCAGGAGTGAGCAGACACAACCGAGCATTGTCCAAATGAAACAGGAAGTCAAATAAAATCCGTTTCTTTTGGCTGCTAAATACAGAAAGGAACATTTGGGTTTGTAGAAGTAAAAAAAGCTGCATTCGTTTATAGAATATGGAGAAAAGAACCCTAACCCTTAAATATACCCATAAAGCTTTAGGCGGACACACTGGAGGAGCCTCTGAGACACACTGCATTGCATCAGGATGCTTCAGTCACAAAACTGTTAGCTTGAATTACAGCAGCATGCGATAATGATTGGTGACGGCCCTCAGAGCTGCAGCCCTAATGAGTTTGATGCATTAACTGTCTGCATGAATTCTCCAAATGTTCCAGACGACAGCGCCCGCCTTTCCCTCCGCTTCGCTGCACGGCCACCGAGGCGAAAGTCGACCACTACGTCTTTGGCATGGCGAAGTCCCAGGCCGTGTCCTGCGCGCACTTCCACATGGCACGCACCAGACGAGTGAAGCCCATATCTTTGGGCTTCTCCAGCCCACGCATCAGCCGCTGCTTCATGATGGCTATGAACTCCTTGTTACTAAGCTCGCCGTTCCCTGTGGGGGGAGAGGGAGAAGGGTGACGGACAAGGGAGAGAGATGATGAAATAATAAAGGAAAGGAGAGTAAGAGGAGGAAATTTCTTCACCTCCAGAGGCAATATGTGTTCAGGATTGCATACGGCGCAGAGACTCACCATCGCAGTCGAACAGAGCGAACACCACATCGCACACGTGATCCGACAGCTCCACCTTAGCCACCGTGCGGGCTACCTGCTTCATGGTAACTGGGAGATGGAGAAAAATCACTGTTTAGGAGGAACAAAGGTGTGAGAGGACACACACGAGGCTCATGAGATTGTGTGCACGATTCAAACTGGTCTGGATCAATAAAAGGCGAGGCTTTCCTTTCACCAGCGACACGTGGGAGATCAGCTGAGAGGAGCAGGGAGGGTACAGAGCTGCACAAATGGATGAAAACCTACTTAAAACTATTAATTAAAAGATTCTGATAGACATGAGGAAAGGAGCAAAGGGCAGACAAATGAAATAAATAATAAAAATCCTGATGAACCTTGATGCAAATGGTGAGAAAACCTGAGCTGAAATCACAGCAAGGATCTCATCAGAGGCCTGCTTTTGTCGCCTTCAGAAAGGCATTCCAGACTGAACGCCCACATATGAGGAAGTACAGACAGGGTGGGAAATCACCGGGTTGGAGCGCCAGATCAAGAGGAGGAGAAAAAGGAGCAAAGATGTTAAACTGCAACTATTAGGAGAGCTCCTCCAGGCTGAAAGAGCAAGGGGACAACAGTGACATGCAGATAATTTGCTGACTCATGCCTGGCAGCGGCCCATGAGCCAGAAGCAGGGTGATGTTTTCAAAACACGCTGACAAACAAGACGACACACGGCCGTGGCTCGTTAAGTGTGTACGCATGCAGCTGAAGCCAGATTCTGGAAACGGGGTCTGTTAGCGTCGCAGCTGCTCCATCAGTAGCTAGATGTGCAGACAGGACACGGTTGGAAGCTCAACGAAGGCCTGACTCATTCACTCAGACACCTTCTACATTAGAAAGCTACACATCTCAGAGAAAAATCTAAACAAAATTCACTGATTTCATTTCAGAGTAGATTTGTGATAGTTTAAAAAGATAATTTCAGATTGAGAATGGCTCTACACTCCATCTTAAACTGTAACAGCTCTTAATCACTCATTAGTTCATAGGGCTGGGGGTAAACGATTATTTTTAAAACGATTATTCTGACGATTATTTTATCGAATAGTCGACTATTCTAATGACTATTTAGAAAATTAATCTAATGATTATTTTTCTATTGCACAATTAACAAAAACCAGAAAATCTCAAATAAATTCCTCAAAAAAATTGATAAATTCTTACTGTAAGAGAATAAACACTACAGACCTTCCATTTTGTATAACACTGCTTTTATTGTGTTGCGGTTGGTTATGTTCTGGTGACGTGTAGAACTTGGGAGTGCAGGCTGCTGCCTGAGAGGTGGTAGAAGATGGAGTGTCTCCATGCTGCTTTGTTTTGGTCACTTATGTGCGTGAGGCGAGTGGTCTTACGGGTTAAACCAAACTCAGGTGATATTTTACACTAAACCGAAAACCCACAACACTCTAAATGTAATAAAAGGGAGATCTACACCACAAAAAAGATGAACTCTAAACCAAAACGTAACAGCTTATCCCAACGCAAGAAGCTGTTAGCGAAGATGCTAACAGTAGCTTTACCAACGTTAAGTTCAAGTTACCAAGTTTAAATAAACCAAAAACACCCAGCAGCAAACAGACCAGCACGGAGGAGAGACTGCTACCACCAAAACAGCTCTCCTAATGTCTGAAAGAAGCTCCTTTATGAAGGGAGAAACGCTCCCGGTGATTTTCTTCATCTGCGATAGACAGGAAGCAGCGCATCTGACCCCGGAAGTTGTTGTCCGTTGCCGGGAGACGAAGGGGCAAAACAGGAAAATAATCTAGTAGTGGACGGACATTGTTCCGGGTCTTCGGTATTTGGCGGAGATGTTAGTGAAGGCGGAGAAGAGGGCGAACTAGAGGAAAAACAGGCAGATTCCTCCTCTATTTACAAACTCCTGGGGATGCAACAAGTGGGCGCGGTGCGTCGACTTCCGGATCTGACGTCGACAAATTTTTAGAATCGAGCCGTCGACTTCGTCGAGGCTTCGCTACAGCCCTATTAGTTCAACAAATAAAGTATGTCGGAGGAGTGTGTGTATGTGTGTGTATGTGTGTGTGGGGCGGGGGAACAGGATTACAAGTCGTACTCATTAATATTCATGATTTGTAAACGTCTCACCTCTGATTGGTTAACAGCAACGTGACGCTTTTTACTACCCGTTTGCTCCACCATGGTTAGCTTTTACTAGCCGAGACTGCTCTGCTCTCTCCTGGCTGCAAAATCAACACAGCCTTCTGTAGTCTGAGTGGCTTTTCTGACCTGATCGTCTCCCCGTACATTTACCTTCGGCGGCTGATGAAGGCGATGGGGGTGAAACTATTTTCACGCTCAGCCTGAATGAGAAACTCAGAATGACTCATCGTATTTAAGAACAAGAATGACACGGATTCTGTGAACGAGATCCTAAACTTAGGCTTTAAATTTCTGAAAATGTTATTTAAAGTATATTTGTTTTTAATAAATCTAAAACATCCTATTTTGGGGAAGCCATGAACTGACCGGTCAGCAAAGTGCCCACCATCCATTCAGTGGCCCTTTATGATGACAGACTCAGCAGTCCTGTACTGTAAGCAGGAAGTCATCTGTCATGTGTGCATCAGCCCCACTTGAATTTAAATGTGCACACTACTGCAGGCCTAAGGGGAGAAGTGGTAGAAACGGATGGATGGACAAACAGATGAAGAACGGCTGAGGTAGGATTGGGAGGAAAGCCAAGCCGAGATGTGGGAAGCAGATCTGGTTGGCAGGGCTTTAACAGCTCTGAGCGGCAGAGGATGAAAGTGACAACAGCTAAGTCTGAAGGGAAGTAATTAGGATGGAGAGAATGTCAAAGTGGGCGTACCTTTATCTATAGAGGCTCCCGCCATGTGGTAGAAGCTGAGAGCCGTGTCCACGTCGTTCACGTTCTTCAGGAAAGTGAAGAAGTTCTCCACCTCCACAAAAGTGATGCCCTGGAGGGGGTGGAAGGAAACATTAGGAAAGGAAAAGTTTCTTTAGGTTTAACCAGGCCCTTAAAAGCGGAGAGATCCTGTAAACAATCTGCCAAATGTTGTGATGACAAGAGCTGCAGCTGAAGCGAGGCCTCGACTGGGAGCAGCTCTGCTCTGAGACACAAACGACAAGAGGAAGTGGGCAGAAGCTTCTGACACATGGATGACTACAGCGCTGAAAACGGACCGGGGAACAGACAGTGTTACACACACACACACACACACACACACACAGACACACACACACAGACACACACACAGACACACACACACACACACACACACACACACACACACACACACACACACAGCTGCTGCTCAGCTCATTTGAAAAGAAAAGTCAGCATCTGTTCTTGAACAGTAAATAACACTTTTCTTCTTTACGGTCAGTGTGAACCTAAAGCACGGACCGTGACACGAGATCGGGTAAATGATGAGACTCGTGGAGCGCCGAGTGGGGGGGCCGGATGCGTACGGGTTATTTTCTTGCTTTGCCGTACATCACACCGCCATCTGACTTTAAAGTGTAAAATAAAAATGACATCTTACGTTTTAACAACGTAGACAGACTTCTGAAAGACGTTGGGGGTTAGGAACCTGTTGGGTCTGACTTCACTAGGCTGACTGACGGGGCGCGTTACGCTAGAGAGAAGAGCTCCTTTGGTTAAAGTGGGGAAAGCTTTAGCTTTACATAATGAATATTTATATTGAGCATAATAATCTGATCTGCTTAAAAGATACACGCACAGCGAGATCATTTTTGCTTTCAGTTCTACTAAACGGACACTAGGGGGCGCTAAAAGCATGCCAAAACTGCCTAGTCTCCCTTTAAAGTGACCATGTGTTTTCCCTGGCGATAGGGGGCAGTAGATACCTAAATCGTTGCAATCAAGCAGTATTTTGGTGTTGGAGTAAGGCTTTACCAATGGATGCCCATTAGGATCAAAAAGCCCTGGGGAGTTCAAACTTGAGCAAAATAAAGCCTAATTTATACGTCTCCGTTAGCTCCACAGGGAAGAGGCACGCCCACATGGACGGAGACAATTAGCCCTCATTCTTCTCCGTCTCCTGGGGAGTGTGGCAAAGCAATTCCCCGCCAGGACAGCAGAGGGCGTAGCGCTGTCCTGTGGTATCCTGTCATGTATCAGGTCCAAGGTAGTGTGTATATATTGTGTTTCTTTGTAAATACAAAGAGACTTTTTAACATAGACAAACGTGTCCCTCATCCTCCTCCACCTCGCCATCTCTAAACCCACGTTTCCCGTCATTTCCCTCCACGGATAAAACGCTTCCTGCGTATCTTTTCACTGCTCCATTCACGGGGGAATAAACGTTCATATTTTTAGAGTTTTTACGCGAGGTATTCTTCAAGCTTCTCCGTGTCTGCCGCTAGTTATCCTCGGCTCTCTTTATGTTTTTGAGGGCGCAATGGCGACGGTGTAGACGGCAGCGGCGTCCTGACCAATCACAAGCTTGCGTTCTCAGTCTTGACGGACGGATGTTTAGAAAAGAGAGCTTGACTCCGAGCATGTCGTAGAGCCCTCGAAAGGACGGATAATGGCGTTGCGTGTATAAATTAGGCTAACCCCGGCTTTCCACAGGAGCCGTCAGCAGCACGTTACTGCAGCAGCACGTCATAGCTGCTGATAGGAACCGCTGTGGTCAACAGAACCTTTTCCGTCAGCAGCCGTCAGCAGCGCGAGCCGGCGCGTCTCAGGAGCAGCATGTCGCGGCCTTTACGCGCCGGTTCTATTTTCTACGCGCGACGCCTCTGAAACGGGTCAAGTTCAACATTTTTGGGGAAGGAAAGACAGGAAATCGGACACGGAAATGGAGAGAAGCTCCCGAGATTTTCAGAATAAAGAACGTACTGCCTTCCGGTTGCTTTACTTTTAAAAAAGGTTACTAACTGCGGCCCCGTGAGAAGTTATCACCTAGCTAGCGGTCTCCTTTGTTTTTCAGGTCCGTATTGGCGATTATAAAACAGACAGAACATAAAACACAAACCATGTTGTAGTTTTCTCCTGCTTGTTGTTGTGTTTACTGACGAAGTCACTCGTGTGACTTTGTGCTCGGTCGGTGACAGCTGCTCCCCTGCTGCTTCGCGTCTCGTGGGAAGGGCCAAGCAGCAGCTCACGCGAGCAAGACGTGCTGCTGCAGTAACGTGCTGCTGACGGCTCCCGTGGAAACCCGGGGTTATAGAGCACATCTAACTCCCCTTCATCACCGGCAACAAGTGAAGAGGCAAATGTGTAAAACAACATTTCAGAATGGTGAAAGTTTTCTAACCGTTTGTTACAAATCAGTAAATACATTTTGTCCTCATGGGCTCCCGTAGAAGGAAACATGGCGTCTAATATGTCGTCCAGAGACTTAGACTCACTCCCATGTTTTTTAGACCTGATTTTTATGGTTATATGTTACGAAACAGCCAATATTTTTCAACAGCTGGGCATCATCTCATTCATTTCAACAACATTTTGATGGACATTTCCAGAAATGAATGGTAAAAACTACACATTGTCTCTTTAAAATAAACAGCTAGGTTTTTATTTTTGAGTGATGAAAGGAAGAACTCCCTTTCATAATTTCTACAACAGTTGTAATATTTTGGAGATATTCTTCCAAACAGCAACAGATCTTTCGGTCATAAGACAAAGGAAAGGGGCAGATGAGTTGTTCAGGTGGACGATATCATCTCTCAGTGAGACCTTTTATCTTGGTCTCACAAATACAATTTCCCAGCATCATCTCCTTCCTCCCTTTGGGCGCACACCACACCTGTCAGTCACACATCCTCCCACGTAGGCCAATTACATTCATCACCCCCCAGGAACACCAAACGACCCCTGTCATTTTTCTAGAGGCTCTGTTCAAATGGGAATTAAATTTGAAAAATGGATTTTTCTACCTGTGCATCCTTAAACATCTTCTTCAAGCCTTTCTGCATCTGCTTGAGTTTACGAGACTGGACGCCGCTGTACGCCAGCAGCATCCCTCCAAACTGCCTCTCGGTGATCCTGCCGTCTGCAGGGTCGTTCCTCTCAAACTGTGGAGGGAGGGGGAGAGATTCAAATGATTAAAAGAATGATATTTAATAGTGGTGTCAGATGCTGTTGTTGGTATTAAACCTGCACGCCTGCTTTACTCTGCGTCGGACTGGAACGAGGCTCAACAACAGTGAGTTTGCATTGCGCCGGTTCACTGCAGCAGATTTCTGTCTGAGGAGGCTCGACAGCTAAAATGCTCTCTGGCTGCTTGCTTGTTCAATGAGTTGACCTCTAAAAATATTTCAGTCTTTGCACTTTTGGCAGGAAGTGAGCAACTAATCTGAAATAAGCCTGGGGTGGACGATTCAGGCGGGATGTTGTGATTTATGCCTCCTCTATCAGGTAGATACACCTGTAAAGTAAAAAGTCCCTTTGAGAACAGCTTCTAGTGTTTGGTTCACACTCCTGTACGTTTCCATTACAGGACTTGTGGGAAATTTCTGGGAGGGGGAAAGGTGACGATGGCTCAGTCCTCTCAGCTGTTTACGCACAACATCAGCCCTTCCAGGACCGTGCTAAGAGGGAAATTAAAGACAATTAAAAGGTTCATTCTGTCAAAATATGTCGTAATTTACTCTATTTGGGGGACGGCTGTGTGACGAAAAAGCAAGATTCAATGATCAGTTCTCTGTTGGAGCCCAAAAACCTGTGTGAATTATGGTGTGTGTGTGTGTGTGTGTGTGTGTGTGTGTGTGTGTTCCACCCATCCCAGTTTTTGGCTTTTGGAGTCTAGAAGTGATGATTTTAAAGCAGCTTATTTGATTTTCCTTTCATTCTGCGTCATTCTCTTATTTTACAAATGCAGCTTGTTTGGTGATGTAAAGTCCCAGAGGGGATTTGTTTTCATAGAATACAGCTTGTTAGTATAGAAGCTAACAATACATTTATTATATCTCAGACGTCAGCTGCGGAGTGTTGCTAAACCATTCCCCATCCAGGACAACAGAGGGCGTAGTGCTTTTCGGAGGAATCCTGCCACCCTTACAGTCACGTACACGGTCCCCGGTAGTGTATTTACTGTTGTGTTTACATTTTTTTAATTTATTTCAGAAACTTTTGAAGATGGACAATGTTATCCCTCATTCCCCTCCACCTCTTCAGGCGACCAGCACCTCTAAACTCACACTTCTTGTCTTTTCCATCCATGAATAAAACGCTAACTGCATATCTTTGTACTCCTCCTGCTATGCGTTCTTCGTCTGTTCCATGTCTGACGCTAAATATCTTTTTACTCTTTGAAGCGGCAAATACTGTGCTGTTGACAAATTTACAGGAAGCGGCTTCCTGACCAATCACAAGCTTGCGGTATCCGTCTCTTTGGACCGACAGTTAAAAATTGGGGCATGTCTCCGCCACTCTCTGCAAGCCTGTCGGACAGCTCTTGCACCAACGGCGACGCGTAATGGCGTTGCGTGTCTCCGTCCCCGCGCAGCTGTATAAATTAGGATGAAGACAAATGCATGCTGTGAAGGTTTGGGTATTATTTCTTTCCCCTAATAAACTCGTTCTTAGTGAAAACCATCTCTTCAAACAAAAACTTGATCTGCTTCAGAAGAAGCTTCTAAATGTATTTCCCAAACAAAAGCAGCCTTCTGGGACTGAGGAGCAGACGTCTGAACGGCAAAAGAAAATACATGAATCCCATTTCTAACAGAAGCCTGTAGAGGGACTATCAGCTTGAAAACACAACCAGACCACAGTCTGACGTCTGATCGAGTCAACATCGGATAACGGCACAAAAAAGTATTGCTTTGCATATTTTCTCTGTAAGCAGATAATGTCCTTAAAAGCCTTCAGCTCAGTCTTCACAAACGCCACCTTCTTTATCTGATACTTCTCCTGCAGACACTCGATTTGTCTCAATGAGAGGACGCCTTCCAAAGTAGATTTAATTCCGATGTTTACTGGATTGTTTTCTACTCGAGAGCCTAAACCTGATCACAGATAGGACTCATCGGCCTCTCTGCAGCCGTGTTGCTTTATGCGGAGCATTCCTCGCTGCACTTAAGAGTTGTACACGCAAATGGCATGTGTTTCAAATCTTAATGGCTTAACACAACCTTAAAAATATGTTCAAAGTGGGAATTTACTTAAAATGTTTCCTTCTGCAGTCACCAATATCTACAGCTAACAATATTACACCAAAGTCCTTATCTATCACCTAGGGTTGTCACGGTAACCGGTGTTGCGGTAAACCCCGGTAAAAAAGTTGACAATACCGTAATAATAACCGTCTTGTTTTTTAAAAACGATATTATCTCGGTGGATTACCATGGCTGCGGTGTAGGCGCGGTGACCCTTACCAGCCACCGTATCATCTGCTGAAGTTGCCGGCGGCACATGCGCACTTTGTTGTTTACAACCAAAACTTTCTTGAAGCTAAAGCTGAAATAATGGCCAAAGGAGGAGACGGCATCGCTCAGGACATTTATTATCCCTCAAAGAAGACAAAGTGGGAAGTACGGGCATGTTTTGGATATTTGAAGATTGCCGAGGGACAGTTTATAGAAGACGGCTATCCTGTTTGCAGCACGTGCAGAAAAAGTGTCTGTGAAAGGCAGCAACGCCTCAATCTCATGACACATCTGCGTGACCATCACCCACAACTCTGCAGTCAACGCAAGGCAAGCTAACGTTAGCGTTTTAGCTAAAGTGCGTGATCCGAGGATTTGGGTTGAGGGAGAATGCAACGAGTCGCTATATAAAGCAGCCGCAGCGCCGCTACCTGCATATAAAACATGTCGCGGACACCCCCATGTTGAAATGACGCTATGCATTACGGGGCTCCCAGGGGCAGATAAGAGTTGGTCTCTCTCCTAGAATAATTATGAATTTAACAATGATTACTGCCTGATGACATTTTCCCACATCTGCAAAGCTCACTGGAAGGACACAAACCGAGGACAATATTTTCCTGATATAGGGTTTATTACTCAAGTAAGGGTAAAAAAGTATCTGATTAGAAGGCTATTTGAGTACTGAGTATCATCTGATCTAATATTTTTAAAATGATGACATTAAACAGACAAAAAATAAGAAGTTATGGGCAAATATTGGTATTTTAAAGACTAAAGGGGAACAACGTAAACAAATAAACAACATAATTACAAAATAACACATTTTAGGCTAAATTTAGACACAAACTGAGGACAATATTTTCCTGATATACAGGGTTTATTTAGTAACACGTTAAAAAAATACCGCGATAATACCGAAAACCGTAGTAATTTTGGTCACAATAACCGTGAGGTTACATTTTCACATCGTGACAAGCCTACTATCACCTCTAGTTTGAGCACGTCGTGCTGCAGTTTCCTTTGAAACTCCAGGAAGCTGCTGATTGTTAGCTTTCCCTTCAGGTCCTCTCCAAAGAAGTAGGTGGTGAGAGCAGAGCTGCAGCCGGCTGTCTTCAGGGTGTTTCCTGTGGTGGAGCGGTCGCGGTGTCGCATACCCATACTAGTCTGTGACCGTATGATGCTCTGGACCTAGAATTAATAAGCAAAGTGAATCAGGCCTCACAGAAGTAGTTGACCTCTTAAAAATTCTAATTATTTTAAAAGTTGCACATCTTTCCAGACTTATCGTCTCGGTACATGTTAACCATCTCACCTGTTCAAACTCCTCCAGGTCCACCTCTCCATCGCCGTTCAGATCAAACATCTTGAATGCAATCTCAAAGTTCCTCTGGGGAGCTGCACACCGCAGAACACAAACCCACACAGAAAGAGACGTTCTTAAATCTATCCATCACACTATGAAACGAAAAATCACTCTGGATCGACCCAGAAAACAGCAGAATGGTTCAATACAGAGCCAGTAACGATGTATCTTTTCCCTTCATCTCCACTGGGAATGAGCTGCAGGGCCTCAGTGGCTAAATAAATATCCCTCAGAGTGAACAAGAACCACAGCACGGTTTCCCCTCTATCTGCACTACTCTGTATGCAGATACTGTCTATTATTTAGCTCTAAATACATACTTGCTGCCCCTTTTGAAAAGTGACCATAACAGAATTATCCTGTAGGACAAAAACCCCAAATCATCTTTACGCTGATGAAGAAAGCCCACTCTAAACGAATCCTTGGCTCTTTACACATTAAGATAATAAAGTCACGGACTCTTCCTGACCTCTGCAGCTGCCCTGAGGCTTTTTTGAACAGACTGGTGCATCTAACCCTGTAAACTGCAAGGTGCCTCGGATCAGACTCCTTCCAGCGACCCCTAACCTGAGACACCCGATGGTTTGTTAAACAGAACCATCTGGAATGCTCTTTCTGGAAACGGGGGTGAGCACCGTCAAAAAATGATTAGGCAGGTGTTTGGAAGAACCATCTGTTCATTACCGTCTATCCAGAAAATGCAACCAAGAACAAAGAGGAGGCGGTTACTCCAGCTGCTACCAGCCAAAACATTCTGAGTCTATAGAAACTTTAGGAGTTGATCTTTGGTTTTAACGAGGAATCTGCTGATGCAGAAGCATTTACACAACTCTGCAGGGATCGGACAGCTGTCACCTCCGAAAGCCACTGAGGATGGAATCTGATTTTTGAATACATCATTATGCATATTTTGAAATTTGAATCAGTTTTACATCCACTTTCTATTGATTATTAAAGGTGTGGAACACTGAAAACACAATTTTTAATTACCATTTCTGAAAATTATCAGTCACTCAGGCTGAACATGAAAGCAGTCTCCTACACCGATCTCCTGCGTTAGCTTCTGACAGAAAATAGACGGTGAAACTCTAGGATCAGAAAAGCCTAACAGATCTACGTCACACTGTCACTTAACATTCATGGACTCACCCATCTGGACTCCTGACGGGGAAGGCTGTTGTTGGTTTAGCGTCCGGAAAACAGCAGAGAATGTCTCAGCTGGAAGCTACCAGTTAGCATTAGCAACTCCACCACACAGCAGAACTCCCTCAGGTTTGTGTTATTTGTGGAGATGAAACATCAACGCTGCAAAGCAAACGGACCACAACTGCTAGATGCACCCCACTAGCTGGTGCTTCTATGTAAATTAGGAATTGTGAATGAAATAACTAAACAATAACAAACGCCACTGGTCCATGACGGCTCTCACAAGGTCTCTGGAGGATGTTTGGAACAAACCAACAGGATCTTTAAAATAAAAAAAAAAAAAGACAGATTGGTCTCAAATATCCACCACCACAATGTCTGAAATAAACTTGTGCATGAAGTCCTGCATTTGTATAATAGAGTGAAACCAACCCTGAGGCGCCCTTGAACGCCGTTTTCAAAATGACTGCCAAAGACTTTCTCCATACAGATCATAATAAACAGTCTAATCTGATGAGATGAGTTTAAAGAGCATTCAGGAAGAGCCAGTCGTGCTTGATTCTTATTACCATAACTCAAACATTCATGTGTATCTCCCTAGCTTCTGCAAGTCTTAGCTCCAGCTACTAATGCATACCAATACAAAAAAGCCCCTGAAGAAGCTGGTTTGATACAGACAGGTTATACCAAACAAGCCGACTAATCTTATTTTTATATTTAGAAATGTCACCCTTTCCAGGTCTAAACCCAAATTTACACTGGGTGGTTGAGTGGCGTGTTACGCAGCGATGCCAGATAATTGACACCGACGCCTTGTATGATTTCCTGTTTAACCCAATGTTATCAGCCGAGCTTGATGCATTCTGAAGCGTTCAGCAGCTAAAACGTACGGTGGCTTGTTCGGTGTAGACCACGACTTTAACGGCTTCTATCAGCCATGGAGACGCGCCGCTGCTGTAACACACAGCTCATGCACCCGGTGCAAACTGGGGGCTGGAAACCAGAAGGAAAAGTTACAGATTTGATCCGCGGTCAATGCTGAGACCCGGGACACGGCACTTACTTGACAGCACGGTGGTGAGGAAGATGTAATCAGAGAAGGAAATCAAGCCACATTCTCCTAACGTGTAAAATATGCTGTCCTCATCTGCAAACTTCTCTCTCTCCTGGGCAATTTTCTACACATCCACAACAGGACACAAAGAAAAATAAAACACAAGACTGCGTTAAATAAACATTAAGACACCGACACACTGTCCTCATTTGTTCACACACAGTAAAAATAGCCACAATGTAAAGGGGTTAATAACAGGTTATGACAGTAGGAGTCATGCAACTGCTGCAAACACACAAACAGGCGGGTGAGGATGACGGTGAAAAACAATTAGTCTGTGTTCAGACCGTCAGAAACACAGCGTCCACCAGAGGCTGCACTCACAGAGTGAAGGTGACAGAGGGAAAACATCATGAGAGACTGTAACTAACGCACGCACGCACGCACACGCACGCGCACACACACGCACACACACACACACACACACACACACACACACACTACTAACCACATCTGGAAAAACACCAAATTATTTCATAAGACACCAAGTTAATTTAACAGTTTTTCAGTGTAAACTCACAGCATGGAGAGACACCTCATCACACACGCACGCACACACACACACACACGGACGGACAGAGTCCTACTTGTAGGACACCCCGTTAAACAGAAAGACAGAGCATGCCTAGTGACAGAGGAGAAGGCGGGGCCTCAGTGAGCCCTCGTAGAGTTACCTCCGTCTGTAAACAGCGTCCATTTCAGAGGAGGAGAAGGAGAAACAACTGTTAGAAAACACTGTGGCCTCTGCTGTGTTTAGCAGGGCCTTAAATGACAAAAACACACAGGTGCATTCATAGTGACACACACAACATAGACAGAAACATTTGTGTACAGGATAAGCCGGGGAGACCACTCAACAGATTACGTCTGATGTACATTTGATTGTAATTGGTCACCATGATGCAGAATCATCCGGTATTCTTTTGATGAATGAATCTAAAATTGTCAGGTGATCATTTGGAGAATGCAGAAATTGAGTGGTGGCCCCCTCTTCACATCCTCAGAACTGAATTACTGCTACTACAGAAAACTAATGAGCTTGTAAAACCTCAGACTCTCACAGGACAACAATGCAAACACTAAATAAGAGTCTCCATGTTAACATTTATTTTTCATATTGAACATCTACATTGATAAAATGGAAGAAAATGGTTAGAAGGGGAAGATAAAGGTTATTGTGGAGACAAATGGAGGACAAAGGGTGGTGGTTAATGGTAAAAAAATCCCCCCCCCACGAGAATGAAAGATTTCAGCTGAAGAAGTTTAGAGGTAAAAACAAAGATGTTGGAGGTTGGTGCCGATTTCCCAATGTGGAACAATAAAACACAAAGAAGGTCCTCTAAGCCTGGAGTGAGACTAGCACCAGTCAAAAACCGCACGCACGCACGCACGCACGTGCGCACGCACACGCACACGCACACACACACACCCTGCATAAAAACAGCTACACACACATAAGAGTCAAACTGGGTCTCATTATCAGAACTGAGGCAAAGAGCACACAAGAGCTTCCTTTTTATTGGCCTGAGTCGAGGACAAAAGCAAACACCTGAAAGAATAGCCTGTACCACCTCGATGAAAACCAAACAGATATAACTGCCAACGAGAGGAATCCTTGCATTTCTAACAGATGTTAAAGCGTAATTCTGTCTGTTAAAAGTTAACATAATTCTATTTTAAAACTCTTACAGTCACTTTGTTTCTTCACTTATTAAGAGCTCGGATCCAGCAGATACAAATAAAAAAACAAGCTCCACTAAACACACCATACTGTATGTGGTGCTCCAAATCCATTTGTCTCTGAATATGGGACACTAAAAAGGTTATGCACCTGGCGGTGCACCGCTCAAGGTGCGTGATGTGATGGAGTTAAGATAAGCACACCAGATCAAAACCTCCAGTCAGAGGGAACTAACTGGATGCATCTCAACAGAAAAAAAAAAAGAATTTAATGAGGCCCGGTCTTCCCTCTGGAATGTTTTGAACCCAAACATTCAAAGCTGCTTCCTCCTTTTTCAACAAGTTAACTTAGTGCAGCGTTGATACATTCAGTATTCTGCAGGAGGTGACGGCCCCTCAGGATTAATCATTTTATTTAAATGCTGGATGTATTTTGTTCACACACACCCTCCTCCACTAGTTCTGCATGTGAGTTTCTCACCATATTCTACAACTATCTTTAACACAAAGACTTTAGCACGTAATAGTCTTGTCCTGCAACCTGAGCCACACCCGCTTAAAGTGCGAGTGCATCCATCTGCTTCAATAACACGCAGCATGTAGTTCTTTTTGTCTCATTCATGCAAGAAACATGTTGCCAACAGTCTTCTGCTTTTCCCGTGTGATAGTTGGCGAGCTACAGATGGTTAGTGTTGTTCAGTGTCTATTTTCTGCCGCCCTGACATTCACACTATTGTTGCTGGGAAACAGCTAATAAACACCGGCTTAACTCAGATGGGGCAAAGCCTTTAGTGTCTGGGTTCTGTCGTGTCCTGGCTGAATATCACGCATTGTGCTACCAACATGATCTGTTTTTTATTAATCACGTCTGAGGAGGATGGCAATCGTTTATTTTTTGGTCTGTCTGTTGCGTTGGAAATCTTTGGAGAATTCATTTTTTGAAAATTGTCTTCTTAATGAATCCCCTCTAGGCACGAGTTTTTAAAATCAGATGTAAATAAAACATTTTCAACCTACAGACTGAAAATCCTTGAGTTTACATTTTATATTAAAGTTCAGAAATATATCATTTTAAATAATTTAACATTCTCTCCTAGAAAGGCACACTATGCAACTTTTTCTCATTACTAATGACTTTCCTGAGCTAGTATGTGCTAAAATGAGCCTTTACAGGGTTAATTACATGTCACTAAGACCCCCACCGCCCTCTGTGGTCAGAATACCACTAGATACACTAGAATAAGAGCTTCACTCTTCACCTCTAAGCTTAATAAAAACGCTTCTTTGCTCCATTGTCCTTAAAACAAATTACAAGTTTAATTACACACACACACACACACACACACACACACACACACACACACACACACACACACACACACACACACACACACACACACACACACACACACACACACACACACACACACACACATGGGGGGGAATAACTGGGACCTGCGAAACAAGCTCGTTCTGGGTGATTTCTGCCTAAAATGTAATTTAAAAAACAAATATACAAACGAAAAATGTCTATAAACAGATCCGCTTTAAGCTTTTTAGTTTTCTACGGCTAGTTTTTAACAAACTTACGTTTAAAACTTCGTAGCTCTCTCCATTTTCTCTTCCTGTTGAAAATCCACAGCCGGTGCGCAAAGCATGCTGGGATAGCCTTGTTCTGGGAGGATACAACAGACCCATCCTCGAAATGTGGGCGGAGCGAGGACGCGTTTGAGGACGCGAGAATGAGTATTCTTGGAATTCTGACAGTACTTGTCGCAGCGCTGTGATGTCATCGACCTCAAAATGCACTCTTACAAGCATCCTTCCCGTGGATTCGCAACGTGTGGATCACTGGTAATGTTCATGTTTGTAAAAATGCGTTATGCAGAACAACTTCCGGTTCAAAAGGCTAACAGATCCATCATCCAATCAGTGATGCCTGTTGTTGCAGCATTGGTACCTACCTCTTCTGGTTTGTTTTTTGTTTTTGCGTTTGGTGAATTCGTTGTTGCGCTTTGTGATTTGTTTTTGCGTTAAGTACCTACCTTTTCCGGTTAATTTTTTGGTTTTGAGGTTTTCAATTTGTTTTTGCGCTTAGTGATTTTTTGTTGCATTTAGTGAATTTGTTTTTGTGCTTTTCAATTTGTTGTGCGTTTTGTGATTTGTTTTTGCATTAAGTGATTTTTTGTTGCGTGTTTCGATTTGTTGTTGCGTTAAGTGATTTGTTTTTGTGGTTTGCACTTCAGGGCCACCGTAGAAAACAGAACAAGTGCTGCTACGCAATAAAAAATATAACTTTAGTAGGTATAACACTATAACACTGTGTGTCCAGGCGCCTGACTTGGGAGCTGATAGCTGCTTAAACTTGGCAGTCTGTGAGCCCGCTGCAGTGCTTTGTCATAGATAAGATCTGTGGCCAACACTGCAGCTGCTGGCAGCAGAAAAAAATAAGGGCGAAGAGGGAATGAGGGAAAAAACAACGAGCCAAGCTGTACAATCTGTGCTCCTAATTAAAGAAAAGACACTGTTAAAACACAAAAACAGCCTCTTCTGAATGTTAGGACAAAGATCAAGGGGCCAGATCGAAATCTGCCTCTGCAGATGAAGACCAACACGCTACAACAAGAGTCCCGTTGTTTCCATAAATGTTTGTGGGTTCTAGATTTGATGCACGTCACGCGGGGGTTTAAGGGGAGTTTACCAGTATAACATAAGAGACATGTGACAGCACAGAGCGAGTAGAAGACACAAGGAGCGTTTAATATGAAACTGTACCTGCATGTCCTTCGTGCTGCTGCGTGTGACATCATAGCTGAGGGGCTTCCTGTCACTTTGCAGGTAAAATATGAGACACGAGTTTCAGGGGAGACAGAATTCATAACAACCTGCTGGAGGGTAAAGTCGACCGGGGCCTCAGCCTGATATTTCTAGATTGTGGTTGATAGCTGACTGTGTGAGCCATAAACTCCATTTAATGCTGCCATCACGACGCTTTAAAGACAACACGTGACCATGAGTGGTCACAGGCCAACATTTACTCAGGCAAACCTAAAAATAAGTTGAGCTTGAGGCCTAAAGACCACCATGTGTGCAGAACATTAATGTGTACCATTTCTATTTCTGATCCTAAGGGGAACCACAAACAGACGCTCATTTATAACTAGTGATGGCTCGGGGAGCAGAGCCTTGAAAATGGCTCCCATTGGATGACTCATTAAAGAAAAGCAACTCAATGATCTAAATCGGTTTACTGGTTAACACACAGCCCAACCTCCAACAGAGATGAAGAACAAAGAGATGATGGGAGTCAGAATAATCTTAAGTGTTGATGTGTTTATATGAGACACCAAAACGGACAGAAAGGTCACAGGAATCACATGAAAACAGAGCAGAGAGTCCGACCAGCGGCCCCAGGGAGCTTCCTGTGAAATCAGAAAGGGTGAAAATAAAATCAGCTGGAGTGAGAAGAGGCTTCTCTGGGCTGGAACCGCCTCCTTCAGACTCCCTCTGAGTGACAGATGTGTATTTTACATCTCAGCAGGTCACACAGACACCAGTTTGTTGTTTTAGGAGAGAAGGCCACAACTCGCAGAGCAGTTTCATTTCAAATGAACTCCTGACTTCAGAAACTCTCAACCATGCTTTTAAAAAACAAAAACACATGCAGCACTGACATCCGGACAATCCAGAGGATGGATTTGTGAAAGGCTAACAAGCACATCAATACATTGCTGGCAGAGCCATTTCTAGATCCAAACCACCCTGTGATGCCACCATGCACAGAGAGGAGGCACCACCACCAGTTACTTTCTCTCTGAGGCACAGGAAATAAGAGCAGTGCATGCTGGGAAATCAAACAGCTAGAGCACTAAAGCATGTGGAGAGCTACAGCTGATACTTCTCAGAAATGAAAGAATGAGAGGAAAATGTGTTTGTGAAGCAAGACACAGGGAGTGCAGGGGAACAGCACTGCTAAGATATCTCATTTCAACAGCTCTTTGCACCTCAGCTTTTGAAACGACATTTGTCTGTGAAATTTGGCTTTGGGGTCTGACTTCTGTAATGTAAATGATGTAGCAGCACTGCAGCATTTCATAATCCCTGCTGTGGTCAAGTATAGACTTCACCTTCAATAATTCAGCGGGGAAAGCATGGCGGCTGATTTGAAATCTAAACAAAGTGCACTCGGAAGGTCGTCAACACAACATCAGTTAAAAAAAAACAAAGTTTCTGTGTCTCATGCACCCACAAGGGGGTGCTTGGCCACTTCGCTTTTGGCACTCCCCGTTTTTTTCATGACACACAGGTTATAACCTGCCTCATCTTTCCTTATCCTGACTGATGGAGGCATTTCAAACTTGTTTAATCAATAAAGTCAGAGCTCACATATCTCCACCCAATATAAATGTGTGTGATAAAAGTAGGGTAATACATTTAAAAAAAAACTACCGGTACACATTTATGCAGCGGATGTGAGCAGCTGTAGTGCTTCGATATGTGAAGTTTAAGAAACAAGAAGCAGGGAGGACTAAGACAACAAATCAGGGTTTTCTGCAGCCAAATCAGTCATTCGGGGTGTTTACGCCGTGGCATCCTGTGTTTATACAGGCCACCATTCGCTTCTTCCGTTCTCCAATGGCTCAAATTTTCCCAGATGTCAACTCAGCATTTAAGTTGCAGTTTGCTAAATGCTAATTTTGGATGCCGTCCTTTCAAAACTGGCTGTAAACTAAAGTGAAAGCACGATTCACAGCATTCTCACGCTTGCTGAAGCTGAGCTGCGACAAAGGAAAGGTCCTAATTCAGCCATTCCCCTGAACTGATAGAAGTGAACAGCTACATCCTTCATTGGATTAGAAGTGTGAGCAATCAAAGGTTAAGAAACAAAAGAGAGAGAGAGAAATGTCAGGGTAAGAGGAAGTACACAGGAGTAGGAGTGGAGAAGAGGTGACTACAAGGTGCAGATTCTCATTCAGGTGCACACATGCTGCTCGGCACACACCCCATACCTGCCAGAAGTCCTGCAGACAGGGAGGGGCATAACGACAAGGAGTCGAGGAGGGAGGGAGGAAGACAGAGGAGAATTAGAAGGGGGCGGGGAAGTGAGTGGGTGGAGAACGGGAATCAGCGGACGGTATGATTTAAGGAGGAGGCAGAGGAAAAAGCAGGGGTGTAGAATCAAGGACCGTAGTTTTCATGAGAGAGGGAGGAAAGACCAAAAAATGGAGGGATTATTTGCTATGGGAATGATAGAGGATGCTAATGAGAGCATGGGGGGGTGGAATCAACAGTTAAGAGGGTTGTTGTAACATTTCTGGCAGCTGAGGGCATGTTTGCATGATGAGGGTAGAAGTAATCACAGAAACGCAGGCGGGAACAGACGCTGTGTTTGAACGTTGGACCACATGGAGAAACACCCGGTGATGAACAGAAAATTCAAACAAGTTTAGTCAACATCAATAGAAACTTAAAATAACCATAAAATCCTAATTTTATTAATCAACCAAGAAAAAGGTCATAAAGATTGATGGAGTCTAAATTTACATCTATTTTTAATACAGAGAACTGCTGTAAGTGTAGAAAGTACGAAGCTCATTTAAATATTGGACCAGAGTCATCTACTGGTATCAGCTATTACTTTGTGATGCTTTACTACATCAACACACACCAATGACGCTCCTCCTGATTCCTCACATCACCTCCTCCTTTACTACTGATATTACAAAATGTGCTTTTTCATTTGAGTCCTACTTGGTGTCATTTCTTACTTTAGCATAAACTTGATTTAACAGCTTCATGGCAGGTGATTGGATGGCTTCCTTTAACTAAAGAGCCCAATAAACCACGGAGAAGGGAGTCGAGTGTGAAGAGGGGACAGGCGACGCTAAAGCGAGAGAAAGACGCCAGTCCTTCTGGTCATGGGAGACAAATCTCTGGGGTCGACCGGAGCTAAATACAGTATCGTTTTTAAAAAAACAAGCACCCAGAGATTTGCATGGCAAATAATAAAACATGTGGCCCTGAGATAAGGGTGACATTTACATAAGCAGGCGAGGGCCATAAACCAAGAGTGGACCGTTTAGATTTGCTGCTGCCTCAGAGATTAATACTTATTTTTGTTAAGCTTAAAATATAACCGCTCAACTTTAAATGTGGGTTATTAAAAGTTTTCGCCTCAAAATAGTGTTATTTGATGAAACCCAAGATCAAACTTGACAAAAAAACTGACTCATTAGTCTTACAGATTTGAGAGGTTCATCAATATGGAGATTAGTCAAGAGACGCGTAGCAGCCGGAGGACTGATGAAATTTGTAATGAGGTTAGAAATTACAATCATCACACTTCTGATTCACCAATATTAAATGAATAAGAATGAATACCAGGCACAAGGGATGCTCACTGTGCCTTTGAAAGGGAGCAATGGTCACAAATCAATATCAAGGAAAGCAATAACGATGATAATCAGGTTGATGTATATTCGTGATTTCTTCTTTCCTGACAGTGACCAAGTAAGCGTAGCTTTCTGCGATCTAAAGGCCAGCTCGAGTCTGTCGCTGCCATCCGTGTTTGAAATGTGTTCTGAAAAAGGACAGACTAGGTGATTTTGAACTGTGGTTGAGTGAAGATCTAATCACAGAAAATTTCCAACAAATAAGCCAGAAAACAAAGTCAAACCCTTAAAGGTGTTTCAAACAAATCCCATAGAAACAGAAACAAAGAAACATGATTTCTGTGCAATACTGTGTTATAAAACCAACAGTGTTAAATAAACCTAGAAAGTAGTGAAATGAAGGAAAAATCACATTAAACCTTTATGGTACTTTTACAGTTTAGGTCATTTTAGACTGAAAACCCTACTCTATAGGCTTAGATGAAAGTAAGATTGGAATGTTAAACTAATTCAGAACTACGTTTAACCCAGAAAGTTTAAGTAAGGATTAAAAGTCGGGTTCCTGAGTTATCAGTGGAACCTCAAAAAATGCGGTGTTGGTAAATTTCTCAAATGCAAATTTTAGATCCTACAAATTGCCTAAAACAGCAGACATTGTTTTAAGACCTTGAAACATGCAAATGATCTGCAACAATGCTAAGAGGAGTCAGCATAATAAAACACTTTCTGTGTGTCTGTTTCAGCTGAACTGATCCTTTAGGCTTTTGTTGTTGTTGTTAGCCTTTTTTTTAAAGTCCCTGTTGACCGTACAGCCGTCATCTGAAAACAGCGTGTTATTATGACAGCTTTTTACTGCATACATGTAAAAATCACATAACTGATAGTTATTTAGTATTAATCTAAATAATCTACAAGAGTCCAAACTAAATTAGAATTAAACTAAAACTTCAAACTAACAAATGAAAAATGATCCTGCTTCTGACCTTGATGATAACTAAAGTGAGTTTCCAGCTTCTTTAGAAACAAAACACCAACTTCTTACCTTTCCATCATAGCGCTTCACGATAAACTGGTCCAGTCCAAGATCTGAAAAACACAAGAGACACGTGCATGTAAACAACACTATGTGGGTATCTGGTACACCAGCTGCTCATAAAGGGACACCAAGATTTATGTCCAGAAAGAAGCTGAGCATTTAAATTTTGCATCATTACTGAAACTCAGACAATCAATGACACAGGCTTAAGATTGATAATAGCCATTAACATCCCATTTCCATTTTTCGTGTCCTTTAAGGTAAACAGTGATCAGTGTTCAGCTTTGATTCTCCTGAACATCAGTTATGATTTACTGTACTTTGGTTCAAATTTAAAAAACAAAAATAAAGAAAACAAAAAAAAGTTAAGGGGGTTTATTTCTAAGCACAGTAAAATAAATATGTTTTATTTAGAGTTGGATTCAGAAGTAAACAAACCCTGTGAAAGTCCATCACTCTCCTCTGGTGACTAGATGATGATATTCTGTTGTTTCTCATATTGGCTTCAGGTGTTTAATCTAATCCGACACCAACAGTAAAACAAATAACGCCTTAAAAAGGGCTTCAACAACAACTGTTTTTTTTTTTTTTACTATTGTAAACTGAAACTTTGTTGGGGCTCAAAGTGACCCAGGAGCCCTGATAAATGTCCAACAAGAACCCCATAATAATGCCCTACAACAGAAAGACTGGTTAACCACGACCACTCAGCCTGGACAGGAATGTTAAATGAGCTGATTAGCCAGGTTACCTGGACGGCTCCATGACGCTGGCTGAAGTTAGAAACTCTGTGTACAGTAACTGGATAAATCAATAGGCCAACTATGGATCTATCATACACTGTTCACACAACACACGAGCCAACATGGCCGCCCAGCAACACACACGTCGTCTTTTTATTTACACACTTTTCTTCACACACAAAAATAGGATTGTCAAGAAAGCATGTTTGCTGTGTTTATGAAAAAAAATCCCAAAACTTCTATTTACTTCCTTTCATTCGTCTTCCTCCTCCAACCCCCATTAACACCCGTGTGTCTGCCAACTACAGCAAGCCAGAAGGACAACAGACACCAATTACTACACAACAGCCTCTGGGTCTCCCGAGTTTTCGGACTCAAAGGTCCAGCATGTTGTGTTGAAACTATCATTATAGGCATATTTTTAGGTCAGACGTGTTGCTAACCCTTTTACGGTGTGAGCAGTCCGGTCGCATCTGAGAAATGGGGTGTACAGTGTGAGAACTGAAAAAGTTGCACAGTATACACCCGGCTTGACCCTTTGCAAAGTCTAGATATTCCAGTACATCCCAGAACATTACATGTGTGCTCCAACATTCTTATTTTGCTTTCCCCTCATCCAAAAAGAAAGTTAGCAGCAGTTCAAGCTAATGTTGTTCTGCAGTTATCATTACCGCCAAAACCAATGCTGAAATGGGTTGGGACCAGGGCTGAGCGATTCTGGAAGGTAATCTAATTGCGATTTTTTTCTTCAATATTGCAATTACGATTGAATTCATGATTATTTTCTCAAGGGGCTTGTTGTATTTGAAGGTGCAACGCTCTGCAGCCAGGGGCACATCCCTTGAAGAAGCATAGGTATTGGCATCAATTGTGAAAATGTATTTGCAGGAAAGAAGTGTGTCCTATTTATTTAAGTCTTTTGTGTTTAGAGTTTGTGACAACTTGTCCATGCAGAGCTTCCGTAGTTCAGTTACGTTCATAGCTGCTAGCCAAAACTCAGTGGATTAAAGTCTCTTATGGGTTTCTAGCTAAACTAAAATATCTGTCTGCACTCATTTGATTAATGGCAGTTTTTATTTTTATTAGACTCCAAATGTAATAATTTGGCACGATCCTAATTCGTAAATTGTAAGAATGTAATCGGCGATATTAGCATTAGCATCCCTATAGGTTTTTCCATTTATATTAGCATTGTGCTAACCACTCGCTGCCAGTCAAATCGCAGCATTTGCGATTAGAAAATCTCCTTTTGTCACATCGCAATTTAACTGCATATGCAATTAATCCTTCAGCCCTAGTTGGGACAAACAAATATGAGGGTGTGTGCGTATGCCTATGACATGTTAATCCAGCTTTTCTCAGAACTAACAGTTTCTCCGTGGTCAGTACAAGAAGATACTGACTTTTTGGTGCATTTGACACCCCAAACAAACAAGGAAAGTGTGGTTTTTAATTCTAGAACCCCTTTAAGAGTCAAAAAGAGCAGAGGAAAAGTACTGACTGGCAAAGCAAAGGGAAAACACGAAGCTAGGCTAGACACTTTCAACATGATAATGAGGCAGAAGTGTTGGAGTGAGCGAGGAAGGCAGCACAGATGTGACAAGCCCACATAAGTCCTGATTAAGTGTTAACTGCAGTCGTGGCTCTTACTGTGAATGAATGCTTCACAAGTATCAATCCTTTCATACTCACTTTTTAACCACTAGTCTATAAGTGAAGCTAATGTACTCCCATCTAAAAAGTGTCACACAAATTTAAACACAACTGAGCACATTAATCAGCAGAGTGGTTCTGAGAGACATGTATGCCAAGTGAAGCTTGCAGCCTTCACAAACCTCTCATGGCTGAAGATCGAATATCTGACAGCGAATCATTGCGTGACGCCTGAGATGCACTCTTGAGTTGGACCTGTTAATTGATACACCAATGGCGGTGGTGTGAGTCCCACAAATTCAGCCTGGCCATCCATCTATTCATAGTTAGAGATATCTTTGAACCAAGAATTTTCATGTAGAACAGAACCACACGGCTTTCAGGGATTATATGATCCACAGAAATAACCAGTAAAAACCTGCATGTGTGCACTGCTACATACAAGATTCCTTCACTGTACTAAAAAAGTGAACTTCTACAAAATAAAAAATGCATGCCAGTGGTTACAAATGTGTTACTCTCAAATGAACAAGTAGCGGTGATGAAAAGGAGGAGAGGAAGCTCACTCTCAGGCTGTTTCTCGTTGGGCGTGATGGAGCGTATGAAGTCCTGCGGTGTCATATAAACCTCGGCGTCTCCATTCTCGTTGATGACCTTCAGCGTTGCAAAGTAGCGGAAAATCTTGTCTGGAGTTGAGTAGGCCCTTATTCTGTTCTCATACTCCATCACCTGACAGGAAGGAACACATTAGTCCCATACAGCCAGGCATCAACGAGCCCAAACACCAGCTATTTGTCAATTATGCACCAAGTAAGGCCAAAATAAAGGAGAGAGAGCAGAGAATGTAAAGAAGAAAAAAGGCTGCAGGTTGCAGCTAGGAAAGGTTGTCAGCCCTGATAGACAGGTATATTAACCTCACAATTGAACCAACACACAATCAAAACAGGAAGTCGGATGCGTTCAGGGTCGGCCTGAGTGGCAGGTTTAAATGAAGGAAGACCACAGACTGATTCCAGCATAACACCAACGCCTGGCACGCTGATATAGTAAACACAAAACTAATTCTTTCAGTTCTGTCACTCCCTCTCCCTCTCTCTCTCTCTCACACACACACACACACACGTCATCTTAAGTGTCTGTTTTCACATAGCCATCCGCTTTTAAGTAGTGCGTTTCAAACAGATGCTGAGAACCTGACAGAGCTGTGTGTGTGTGTGTGTGTGTGTGTGTGTGTGTGTGTGTGTGTGCGTGCACAACCGGAACCTCATAGGTGGTTATTTCATCTGACACAAAAAACGATGTTTACTATAGCAGCTCCCTGTGGGGGAGATTTTGAAAGCTTTCAAGCTGCCACTTGATTTTGATGACAGAAATTGTTTGTGAGGCAGCGACACCGTTTCTGATCAGAGCCGTTTCCTTCTGATGACTCTTCACATTCGCTGCCGAGTGGAACCAGTCTGCTGAATCTAGCTGCAGGTATTCTGATGTCCAACACACGCCAGTTTTGTTGGAATTCTAAACCAACTTCATCTATAAAATTCAGCACATCCCTCTTAAGACTTTTTCCTGTTTAGCATGCATCTAGTTATTTCTGCTGTTTTGAATAAAGGAGGACTGGTTACACGATGTTTTAAAAACGTACAACTTTGCTAAATCAGGTCTGATTTAGAAATAATTTCAGCAAAAAATTTGTTTTGTTCTGTCAAATAGATAAAAAAAAATGGATTCGTCATAAAATATGTTTATTCATCCATTATATATATTTTTTCTCCTAACAACTATAAAAATAAAATTATATACTAGGTTACTTCAAGGACAGTGAGAGCATAAATTTGCTCTTTAGCACAACTCCACGTGGCCGCTGCAGTTTTCAGGTCTGCACCCTTAAGTCTGATTTACAGCTGTGTCATATCTGAACGTGAAAAAGAAACCGTCCCATCTGCTCACTCTTACAAAACTGTTTATCTGGCATTAAATCAGAAACTGGGTCTCTCAGGGACATTTGGCATCTGATGCCTAATTACAACAATAAAATTCTCAGGATAATTCATTTCTGGTGTGGATGACAAATGCATGCTCATTACCTCCGAGTGTGCGCCTGTAAACATTCTGTCAAAATCTACCAGCGTTAGCATTTTAGACATTGATTGTTTTTGTTTATTAAAAAACACTCAGCTCTGGTGTCTGAATGAATGGTTGCGGGTTTGCTGCTCGTTGATTACCTTGCGGTCACGGAATCCAGAACGGGGCTTCTTCTTTTTCCCCTCTTCACCTTCATCTTTTGATTCATCCCCACTGCTGGACTCCACCGACTTCCCTGACTCCACCTCTGCATCTTTCATGAAATCAGTCTCCTCTCCACCTGGTTGCCCAGAGTGTTGAACAGAAGGCCCCGCATCAGCATACGCTCTGTTTTTAAAGAAACAAACACACAGCTTATTCTGACGATTTCATGTTGTCACACGTGGCTTTTTATGCATCGCAGTTCTTTTCTGTGTTTCTCTCATCCAATTAAAGTTAAAAAGATCTGTAAAAGTCAGCGGTGCAACTGGTAACAACACAAAACGGAGCTTAAACACCAGCGGGAGAGAGTGCATGCTCTGTCCTGATTAACTCTTCCAGGCAATGCGGAGAGGTTTATGAAACTCCCACTTCACTGTATTCCCGAGACTACACTGGATACTGGAATAATAATAATAAATAGCTGAGGCTGTCTGGGACAGACTAAATAATTCAGTTTAATGCAACACTAGGAGAATGAAGCCTGAGGTGAAGACCTGGAACAGTCTCATCCCATCAGTCTCAAATGCCCCGAGGCTCCATCAATCACTCCGCCTGCTGCAGCTCAGTCATTCTGTCCCAGCTGCTCCACCCCTCTAACACCCTGCCTTAACTGAGCACCTGCCTCTTTACAAATGAATAACCATAAAATGCATGGGTGAATGAAATGGGACATGCTAAAAACCCAAACTGAATTTGAAATCTGCACACGTCCACACATCTGATGGTGACAGCCCAGGATGACACGGCGGTCTTTTAGACATGAAAACATGGCGCATGAGACAATACAGATGAATAACTATTAATGTGAGCCAACAGCGCTTTCCTTGTTGTCATTTAGGAGGAACCTGCTCAACATCTGCTTACAAACTGTCAAATGAAGTTTTGCAACTCAGTTTTTTTTAATCCGTTATATTTTTTGAAACAAAGATGCAAAAACATCATTTTATCACCTCTTCCAGAGTACTCCTGCACCAGCAGACACACCAGTTACCCCTGCGAGGGCTGCCAGCATCAGCCTCCTCCGGCCAGATCCTCGAACTGCATCGCTGTGATAACGGCGGGACAGCTGCGCTAGACCCACCGACACTGCAGACAACGCCCGCAAGCGGAACATTCTGCAGAGAGAGAACAATTTAAATGTGGTGAGACAGTTGGCCTGCTAAAGTAGGCATGAGGAACAGAGGCACACCGTGCAGTTAACGATTTGGGAACATCTGCTCATTTATTCATACTTTACAGTAATGCTACAAGAAATAAACTTAACAAAAAACACAAAAATCTGTACTTTGGTCTAATTCGACAGACTCTGAAGATTCCAGCTCTATTGAATCATGATGGTAGCTGTATAAATAACTTCCAACATGAAGCATGGAGGCGGAGGTGTGATGGTGTTGTGCTGTTTTGCTGATGCTGAATGTTAGGCAAAACTCAAACACGGCATCCTAAAACAAGCCTCCATGTACAACTTACACTTGGTCACTTATGCTAAAGTGTGGTTTCGGGTTGTGTAATCGGTGCTCCTACGCAGACCTCATGTGTCTGTGACACCTTCAGCTCTCAGGTTGTGACCTACAAAACAGCTCATGAAAGTTTTAACTAAACTGACTAACTTCATTTTCATTTTATTCAAATTTGTACAACTTTTTGTAAAATATGCTACTTACTTAACTATTTTACGTGCTATTTGTAGCATTGAATGGCTCATTCACATCTGGGTCGGGCCAGTCTGGTCTTGGTTTGGTCGGCCCGGCCCCCCCCTGCGGCCTGCGCTTCATTAAAGGCCTAATCTGCAACTTTTCATATTTTTTAATAATTTTCTTCAGCCTGTATGTACAAAAAAATTACCTTTGCAGGGTTAATGAAAGGTCACTCAGACCCCACTGCCCCCCTGTGGCCAGAATACTGTACTTGCAAGAACTCAAGAAACTCCTGAAGGCCCAGCTCTTCAGAGAGCATCTTCTAAACTAGCACCTCCCTGCACCCGTCCCCCTCTCTACTGTCCACTCTTTGTTCCCTCCTCTCCATGATTGATGTCAAGTTGTTGTTCTTATTGTTGTTAGCTTCAAGGGCAACATGCAGATAACCACTTGTAAGTTGCTTTGGACAAAAGCGTCTGCTAAACATAAACATTGGAAGCATCAGCCATCCATTTCCCTCCAGGAGAGTTTTGGCCGTGGATGGCTTCCTTGATGTGCTCTTCGGTGGACTTGCAAGATCACAAGATCCCTCAAGACTTCAAAAGTCACGCTTTGTGTCTGTAATCTACCGTTAAAGCAAGAGTTAGTAAATCACGTTTGATATCGCTGTTTGATGTCATATATGATGTTGCTCCTCTCCTCTGGCAGGAATAAAGCCATGAAAAACACATGCTGCACTTCTGGAATGATACTGAGAGTAAATAAGCCGATGGGTCACATGCAAGCTACATATACATGAAATTCCATCACTGCAGTACTTTTATTTTGAAAATTCCTGGGGATTTTACACTGAAACCCTGTGTGATTTCCTGTCTAGCCTTTTGTTAACTGCAGAAATTGACAGTCCCAGAAGCGGCTCACAGCAAAAATAGAACACAATCTTATCATTAGCGGCGCGGTGCTTCTGGGATGCGCCTGAAAATTGCCGCGTTGCAGCTGGTTTGAAACGCTCTTTAGATTATAATGGATTATATTTGATGCTTTCAGTGGGAAACCAGGTTTTGGTCCCACTTTAGATTAGTAATGTGGAAGTGATATGCCAGCGCTGGAGTTCGCTTCCAGCACGTTTCCTGCATGTTTTAGATCGTGAACACAGCTGATTTGTTTGATTCATGAACAACTTCAGTAGAAACTAATGAAGGCTGAGGAGACATTTCAGTAGTTAGATTAGGTAGTTTAACAGTGAACTGTGACCTAATAACAGACTCTATGGGGTTGTTAAAGCAAGCCCAAACTGGATAGTTTCCCTTTAAAACAGGGTTCTAATTTCTGGTGTTTAGAACTGATTCCATTTGTGTATTAAACAGCTTTGGCGTGTATGCTAATAAATAAAACAATAGTAATTAACACAGCATCATCGGACATATATTTTACTATCACACATCAACTTGTAAACTACTAAGTTTTCCAAATATTGCCATAAAATGGGCAATAAAAGAATGACACCAAGTTTTTGCTTCAGGGCACATTACAGGCAAAACTATATAAGAAATAAAAGTCCTACATTCTTTCTGTAACAAAAACTCATTTTAAATCAGTACAGCTAAGCTCTAGAACTTCACCTTCATTTGTACCACCTCCTCATTTATAAGTGTCATGGAAAGATGATTAACAATTAAGCAGATGCCTACTGGTGTGCATCTGTAGCTCCCATGTGTGCCCTTTTTAAAACCACGGGATGAAGACGTTCACACCACTGAGGCCTAAAGAAATCACCTGTTGATATCCCATTAATAATTCAGGCACCAACCGTCAAATGGACTCATGTTTGATGGTAGACAAGTTACCACCTCTCCATCGACAAATACATGACTGCGCGACATAAATACATAAAATCATGGCAGATGAGCTGACAATACACACAAGTTTCAAACCAACAAATCTCTGACTTCCAGCTGCCATCTGAGAACTGACTCATTAAAGCTCAAATAAAACATGTTTGACTCTTTGGGTGTGTCCGAATCCACAGGCAGGATGCTTATGAGTACGGGTCCTCACCGGTCTAGCAAGGCCGGGTCCTTGCTCGACCGATAAAACCAGAACCCAGCGGCTCTGAATTCAGACAGTCTAGCCTTCAACTCTACGGTGGCCCGTAGGTCCCGTCAGCCGTGGCGGCAGCTACACGCAAAGGAAAAATGCTAAAGCTAACGAAAATCGAGCAGAAATATTAAGGAGCTACAGCAGCTTCACGTCCATCAGCAGCGAATGTTCACAACCGTTTTCAGGTAAAGTAACTTTGTTTATTCTAGAAGCTTTCAGGACTTACATGTTAACTTTAGATGGTTTAATGTATGTTTTAAGCTACATAATGAACTGGTTAAATGTACACAACACATTTCTACAGAGTATTATCATGTAGGTAATTAATATAAACCAAATGCATTATAAATGTTGAATGCAGTAGGATGTTTTCTAATGTAAATTGGACCTTAGAACGTCTTATTTTGCATCAAAACACTTTAAAAAACAGGCTTTTTAATAAAATAGCATTGAACTGTTTTCAATGTGCATTTGTTTATTTAACTTAAGCCTAATAATGATCAGATCTGTCTTAAAAATGTAAATTCTCTGTCGTTTTCCCTGCTGCTTTTCTTTAAACTGAACAGAACCAACATACTGCAGGTTATGTTTTGTTTTACATTTTTCAATTAAAGAAAACTCTTTTTTTAATCTATTACAGGTCAGCATGCACTGTGCTGCACTTCTGCCTCTGTGCTGGTGAAGTTGTGGGTCTGGAGGATGAGCCTGAGGAAGATGTGAGTGGAGGAGGTCAGTGGTGCTCTGTCCTGCAGGAGGTACCAGCAGACCACCACTGCTGCTAACAGGCAAGTCATTTATGTAGAACCTCTATTAAAAACAACACTGTGGTTTTATTTGCTGAAGAGTCACAATTGTTATACCAGTGGATCCATAAACAATCTCCTCATTTCATATTTCTGAATACATCTTAAGAGATGTAACAGCCGTCGTCTGGGTCAGCCCAGCAGTCCCTGTAGATGGACGATGGAGTGGACAGTGAGAGGAAGCGTCCCAAAGCTCTCTCTGCAGACCGTCCTGTATGATGTTCCTCTGACCAGAAACGTCCAGCCACGGGTCTGCTCCAGCCCTCCATCCACACCTGGATCCTCCTGCAGCAGATCCAGCTGCACTGTTAAAGACTTCCTGCTCACTCAGTTTAAATAAATGATCCAGGAAGAGTCACTCAGGTTAATCCTGCTTTAACCGTACTTAACTGGTCCATACTGGTTTTGATCTGTAAATAAGTTTAACCTTTTATAAATAATCTTGTCTCCTTACCGTCTTTTCATTTTCTGTTCATGTAACATGTTCAAAAACATCTGTAATAATAAAACTGGTGATAAAATCAGTGACCAGAAAGAGTTACCAGTTAGTATTTGCTTTAATAAATGTGTTCAAATATCAAACAGCTAAATAACATTAACATGATGACAGTAGAAGGCCTCTCTCCCAGGATGACCAACAGGTAAAGCCTCTCCTGACCCTGGGCACCTGCAGTCCTAGACAGAGAAAATCAGACCACAGGTGACAAAAAGGCAATAAACACATTTTTACATTTATCCACATGAGAAGATAAAAATTCTATTCTTCACACAAACTTTTTACTTCATTAAAACGTGTCGGCTGTGTAAATCCCTGAATGTAAAACTACTTTTCACAGAAGAACTTCTGTGGTTGTGTGAACAGCTTCACGCTTCATCTCTAAGCTGAATAAAAACACTTCTTTGCTCCGTTGTCCTTAAAACAAATGACAAGTTTTATTCGCCACACACACACACACACACACACACACACACACACACACACACACACACACACACGGGAATAACTACAGGACCTGCGATACAAACTCATTCTGGCTGATTTCTGCCTAAAATGTAATTTAAAAACAAATATGCAAACAAAAAATGTCTATAAACAGATCCGTTTTAAGCTTTTTAGTTTTCTACGGGTAGTTTTTAACAAACTTACGTTTAAAACTTCGTAGCTCTCCCTATTTTCTCTTCCTGTTGAAAATCCACAGCCGGCGCGCAAAGCATGCCGGGATAGCCTTGTCCTGTGAGGATACAACAGACCCGTCCTCGAAATGTAGGCAGAGCGAGGACGCATTTGAGGACGGGAGAATGAGTATTCTTGGAATTCAGTCAGTACTCGTCGCTGTGCTGTGAGGTCATCGACCTCAAAACGCGCTCTTACAAGCATCCTTCCTGTGGATTCGGACACACCCTCTGTAGAGCCCAATGCCATGAAATTCATTACTTTCAAAATGAACCTTCAACCATCTGAAAAACTGCCAGTTGGGAGTCGTGCAGCGTGCAGAGGAAAAAAATGTTTTTGTGTTGATTCTTTTATCCAACATTAACGTTCTCCTACTAAAATACATCAGACAAGACACTGAC